AACTATGATTAAAAGATTAACTATGGTTGATACAGTCCCAAAAAATGCTATGGATGCTTTTTATTTCAAACACATTTTAGATTATACTCTCAATTATAAAATGGTTATATATATATTAGCAGCTCTTTAGTAAACTAATGAGAGAACATTCACTTTTTTAAGAAGAATAACAGAGCCTTGCAGAGGTACCATTTGCAGGACCAGGCCCAGATTTTATTTTAAAATTTTTTCCGGCCCGGGTTTTTTTTTAAAAAAATTTTCAGGCCCGGCCCGGCTGGCTTAGCCCGAATTTTTTAAAATAAATTATATTTATTTTTAATATTTATAGCTAATAATGGCGATTTCAAATATTTGGTTTTAAAATATACAACTCGGCTCGGATATTTTTTCTTAAAAAATTTTCAGGCCCAGCTCGGGTGTTTTTAAAAAAAAATTACGAGCCCGGCCCGGGTATATTTAAAAAAATTAAAATACAGTCCGGCTCAGGGGCCGGGCCTGCAAGTCTGTGAAAAACATACCTATGAAATACAACATCTGAAAGTAGATTGAATGATTTGGATCTTTTGAATATTCATAGACATTTAACGCCAAGCAACGATTGATAATTGAAAAATTAGCTCAAAACATACAAAATACAATTATTCCTAAGAAACTTTTTGTGTATTAATTTATATTTACAACATTTAAATTTTTTATACTTTATATATTTTAAAAGCTCAAAAAATTCAAATTTCAATTTTGGGTCATTTAGGTGATTCATATCGTGGGTTATATTCACTTTATATTTTATGATTCACATTTAAATGCCGGTTTATATATATAATTTTTTTAATTCACATTAGTTTAAAATTGTGTATTAGAAAAGTTATTAATCCTAATAAATTTATGCTTAGTATTTTTAATTAAAAATATTATTTCTTAAAAAAATTTATTATCCCCCCCCCCCCAGACCAAATTCCTGCGTACGCGCCTGAGATATGGTAACAAGTGGAAAAATACATTAACAGTGAAACAAAAGCTCTATTAATTGGGGCGTTAAAAAAGGATAGTATCAAAAATATCCACGTTTATAAACTAAGCTATAAAACAGTGACAAATATTAATTACTCCCATCTCAAAAATAAAATAAAATAGGGGGCTAACGTGCAAGCATTAAGGTAAGTCAAGAACAGGAAGAATATATTAAATTGTATACCTTAAATAGGTTATGTGAGATGATTGAAGAAAGATATGTTGTATAAATATCAAAAAGTACGGTATAAAGATTACTCTCAGGATTTTAGGTATTGCTTTAAAATAGTATCACTGTCTTCAGTTATAGAAAATACCTAATGAAATATCGAGATTCGCAAAGAATACGCGAATTGGTTTGTAGATGTAGCCTATATGAAAGAAAAATCTATCTATCTTTATCGATGAGAGCGGGTTTTAAATATCAATGAGGCGGTTATATGGATATTCAAAAATTAAAAGGGCTATTTAAGATGTTCAAGGGATAAAGACGATGAATTATACAATAATTGCTGCTCTCGCGATTGCGGGATTATTCAGATTCAAGATTATTGATGGCCCCTACAACGCTATGCACCTTAGCAACCATGTAAATAAAATACTAAATCATTTTGAAGAATAATAACATGACGAATATGATTTTCGTGATGGATAATGATCCATTTCATCATATTGAAAATGCGTTCTTTTATTGGAAGGATTTGGTCAGAAATCGAAATCCCAATAACGAGGAGGAAAAAATTCGTTTTATAGAGCATGAAAGCCGATTTTTAAAAACTGCTAACTCAATATTTTAGCCAGAAAAATGTTGTCTAAGCCTCGAGATTTTGTTAATAGATGTCCAAACCTTTATGCCGCCTATGAGCAAAATCTCAAGGCTTGCATAATATTTTTCCTAGTAAAATATTGAATTAGCAGTTTTTAAAATCGACTTAAAAATGAGCCGTTTAACAACATTAGCATGGAGAAAGAGAAATATCTAAGGAGAATGCAACAAATAATTATAGCAATATGGAGATCTATATTCCAAAATGTAGAAGAGGGGAAATTATTGAATAATTAATATAAATTATTGTTGCTTATTATATTATACATCGTATAAAAAAAAAATTGTCTGCCAATGAGAAATATAATATAAGTGAAAATTTAAAATCAATAAATTATGTTTTAAAAATGCAAAAAAAAGAATGAACAAATATGAGAGAAAAAATAAATTGAGAAATGATCCGAAAAATAAAGATTAAAAATAACCTAAAGAGATTGAAAAAGTTAGAAATATGTAAAAGATAACGATAGAAAGGAAAAATTTTCCTTGATTGACACTTTTCCTTTTTTGATTTGACTATTTCCGTTATGATTGACACATTTTCTTTTTTGAATGGAAAGCATTTTATTAAAATGAAATTTGGATCTTTGTAAATAGTTATTATTTTAAAGACGTTTTTTTTATAATCGTTGAGCAGTCTATATAAGTGTTCTTAATTTGCTTGAGCAGGCCAGCTCTGAGCACGAACCCTGAGCACAATCCTGGGGTTCAGAGCCGAGGAATAGAATTTATTTATTTTCTTGCTACTAAGCATAAAAAAAATGTTTTATAAGATTATTTGGATTTAACATGTCTGCTATATAATTATAATAACAATAAATGTTTTATTATTTAGAAAATAAGTTGTTAGAATTTGGAAAATAAAATACATAAAAATTCTGTAAGATATGCCTTAGCATTAATTATTATTTATTTATTTTTAGTAATGTTATTTTTATTTAAATATTTTAAAATATCATATGATTTAATTATTTTTTAAATTTAGATATATAATATATGAATTTAAATATGATCTATACTATCTTGTATTATGAAAATGGATTTATTTATTTGATGTTATTTTAATAATTATAAAAATGATATGCTGCTTAGAGATCTGCAAAGTTAGGCCCGGCCCGTTAAAAAAATTTTGGGCCGGGTCTGGTCGGATCTTGGAAATTTTATTAAATATATCTAAATTTATCAATTTTATATTGATTTTTTTTATGTAAAATAAAAATTTTTGATTTAATTTATTGAAACTTAACGCTATATAACACATGTCTTTTATTTTAAGTAATTATAAAAATTAATTTCTATATTTAAATAAATTCGGGCCAGGCCGGGCCGGCAAAATTTTTAAAAAAATTTCGGGTTCGGGCCAGGTTTGAAAAATTAGGCCCGATGCAGATCACTAGCTGCTATCAGCATCTACATGATAAAAATTTTCACTGGATGCAAATCCCCTCAAAAACCTATGCCTACCCCACTAAAAAATTTCCCCCACCTTGGACAGCGTATGTTTTCCCATTATTAATTACATTTATAACTGGTACTCCTTTACATAAATTTTAAAAATATAACTTAAATTATTAATGCCATACTACAAAAACTATCAAAATATTGTGATACGTAAAAAGAGTTTTTTTTATCGACCTAAATTCAATTTAAAAAACCCCCACATTTACAATGAAGGTATTATTATAATATATTGTTTTGCATGGATATGAGTTTACTGATAGAATCTCTAATCCTTTCAAAATACATTTTATAAAATAATGTTTATTTATGATCGTGTTCATTAGGGTCGAATTTAGCAATATCATTGTATTAAAATAACCCATAATAAAAGTATTAAATTAATTTTTTTTTACAACAATACATTATGCACTATTTTATCTAAAACTTTAATTAGATATACCCACCTTAAATTTATTCTACCCCAAGTTACTCCTTACCCCACTTCAGAAAAATTGGATGCAAACTGTTTCCAACCTTCACCGCTCATGTAAACGCTGATTCGAGATTAGAACTAACAGAAAACACTTAAATTTTAAATACTTATTTAGTCACATCTAATTTAAATAAGATTATACTAATATTTTAAATAGTTATTCCAGATTCCCCCCACCCACCCCACTTTTTTAAATTTATTGAATCTCGAAAGCCCCTTTTATTAAATAATTTACATTTTTAGGTAATAACTCCATTTTATTTTAAACTAGAAATTAGTTGCATACCCCCCCCCCCCACCCTCCCCCAAAAAAAGACAACATTAGGTATAAATTACAAATTTGTTAATTAGACAGGTTTGATTATATACATATCGTATAATATATTTCAAATAATATAAAATTAAATAATTATTTTATTTTTTTTAAAAAGGAGGAGCATATTAAAATGAAGAAAAAGCGCCGACTAAACCGCAATAATTAGTGGTAAACATGATGTGATTTATAGGAAGAGGCGATACGACACCCAAAATTTCTGTAGCCTTCACATCTATAGTGGATGGTGCTGCAAATATTTGAACACCTTTAATTATAAATTAACAGACAGATAATCGTATATATAAAGTTTTGGATATTTTAACTATTAATTGTGGTGCCCCCTGTCTCATATATTTAACACAGAGCGATACTTTTGGAACATGACAAGATATACAAAAAAATCTTATTCGTCAATACTTGTGAATTACGACTTCGAAATTTTATTCCTATAAAATCAAAAGATCGAAAGATAATTTTACTTTAACAATATCATGTTTATATTTTCATCGAATTCGAAAGTACATTTTCTATAATCAATCAATATTGTATCCTTAAACATAATACGGTTTAATATTCAAAAGGCATATTTGAAGAAAGAAAATTGATAAAATATTATGAATATTTTTTTTTGTAATTTGTTGCTTTAGCGAATCGTAAATGATCATTTATATAGTTAGGTGATAATTTTTAAATCAGGTCTATTTATGATATATAATTTAAATGAGTTTATATAAAAGTGATCAGACATCAAAGGTAGTATATTTATCCAATCCATATCTCTTCGACTTATTTTAATCCTACTCCTTACCCAGGTAACGTTTTATTAACTATTAATTTCATCCCATAAACTAAAATTTTATTCATATAAAACTATTCCCTGAGTTGGGCTATTATTCGAATATCATGTTGTTGAATCATTGTTTATTTTTTCAAATTATATATGAGTTTTTTTTAATACCCAAAGCCTTAATCGCTTTTGCTATCGGAATGGGATCTTGGTCTGATGGCGTTGAAGTAAATATAAGGATCTTCTTCTGCGATCCTGGTCTACCAGCTTTCATGAGCATGTTCCTTGCCAGAGCTAAGGCTCTGTCTAGCCTAGGAATACCTCCTATCAATGATATATATGGTTTGGTTAGGAAATTGGAATCCAATAGCATTTGCAATATATTATTTTTTTAAACAAAACTTTTTTATGGTTCGGTTTAAACATTGGCAGTTTTAAACAAACTGATCAACAGTTTGAGAAATGGTGGTCAAATTTATAAGGCTCGCAGAGAGAAATGTAGGGGGGGGGAGTTTAAAAAGCCGAATTTTAGCGGCAGCTCATTGTTTTAAATTTTTTTTAACCTGCCCGCGCTATTATATTTAAAAAAAATGTATTTCAATATTTTAAGTTTTATGGGTGTTGGAAAATGGAAGGGTGAATTTAAAATAAAATTTTATCTTATACCAGTAGAGACTATTGTGTTTAACCTAGCGGTAACGATATTGATTTTATTTCCTGCTCTTAATTTGAGAACGACGGTTGCCGTTTCCTCGTATTTCACTATACCCACATGGGTGCGGTTTGCGCTTATGTTGAGCGATCGATTAATCAATTTGGCTAAGATCTTTGAAATTATTATATTTCAATTTTATTTTTATTTTTAAAATAGTGTATAAAATTTATGATAATTAATCAAATAAAAGTGATTTGTTACATCAAACTAAAATGCTCTTCAAAATAAAAATAAAAATAAGTGATATTTGATCGCCGAAAATCTTTCTTAATTAAATATTTTTTTTTTGTTTTATCAAATTTTATCCTTAAATTCCCCAAATCGTAGTAAAAAAATATGCATAAAAAAATATCTTTTATGTTGTAAAATCACAAATTTATAGAAGATAAATAAAATTATTTTAAGAAAAAATTTTAAATTTTATGATTTTCTTTTTCAAAAACTCTCATATTGTTTTAAGGTTTAAAGTATGGTTAAAGTAAAAGGGTAGGTATTAAATAAAGACCATTTTTATTCAATATAATTCGTTATTTTAAATGATAAGATAAGATTATGCATTCAACCGGAAAAAAGTTTTCACAAAGTTTATTATCGATTTAATTAACCTTTAGCGTGCAGAGAGAAATATTTAAAAGTCATAGGTGGTTATTTAAAAAAAATAAAATAAGTAAATCGCCATTAAATTTCTAAACGGAAATTATTAGCGATCATAAAAAAAAAAATATTCACTAGTTATTTTAGGATTTACAAAAAAAAAGGCATCCAAGCATAATAATTTTTTTAAATTAAATATATATACATATAATTGAGAAATTAAAATTGATAAATCATACAATTAGAGCCTTTTTTGCACACGTATAGTTAGCATTAGGGCTTACCACAGTTTCCATTATAAGTATTATGTCAGTTACTATGCTCTTATTTCCACTCAAGAACTTTCTTATTACATTTGGAGCAACGACTGGAACTAGGTTTTTTTTTTTTAAATGTATATATATTTAAGAAAAGTTTTAAAATAATATAAAGATATTTATGAATGGATAATAACACAGAGTGTTCCATAAATATCGAGTTCTTAGGACCCTGAATTTAAGTTGGAGTAGTAAAAAATACGACTTAAATTAAGCGACTAAATGAGCCAGAAGATCGTGCTTTAAATCGGCCAGATGAATCAACTTCGAAATTTCTCGATGAGTCGGCTTTCGGCTTCAAATTTATTTTGAATAGGTCTGATATTATTGTTTTACTCCGTTAAAAAAGTATTAAAAATTTAAGTCACTTTAGGCCAAATTAAATATTTTTAAACCACTAATGAGTATTGGTTGTAAGAAGATGACCATGCTACTATCATCTGCTCTCGCATTAGGAATTGCTTCCTGAATTCTGACTAAAAAATAGTTTGCTTTTTTTTTACTGTATATCATATTAATTTAAATGTGAAATTAATTTATCGATGGTTAATATTTGTTACGCACGTTTTCGGATGTTTTAATTAGCCATTTTAGTGCTATCTAAATAAATGTTATATTTATCACATTGCGAACAAAATATGAGTCGCCAAATGATTATAAATTAAATAAATAAAATTTTATTTAAAAATTTTTTTTCATAAGTTTAAGTATTTTCAAATGTAGGTTTTGGCCACTTTACTCCATTCTTTTTGATATATTACGTGCCATAGAGGGAATAATCTTGAATAGTTTGCGACTTGAAATTTTTAATCAAATATTTTACTTTAGTATATTGCTAGTTTCAAATAATTTTTGTGAAAAATTAGTGTTGTTAAACAGCTTGTTTTGAGCCTATTTTTTAAAAGCTGCTAACTCAATATTACATCCAGAAAAATATTACGCAAGCCCGAAGATTTTGCTCATAAAAGGAACAAAGGTTTAGACATATAGTATCGAAATCTAGAAGCTTAGACAATTGAGTTAGATATTAAATTTTTATTATAAATCTTTAAAAAAAAAACCCCCAAAAAATTAATGGCGAGATTGTTCCGAAATTTATAGGGTTAACTTACTCTAAACGTGCTAGTGCCAGTATAAATTAACCGCCAAATCAGAATTTTTTTTTAAAAAAAAATTAAAAAACCCTGGCAATGTTTTAAAATTAAAAAGATCTTTAGAAATCTCCCGTTGTAATACGTATTACAAATACGGCGGATACATTAATCAAACCCCACAAAACAGGTAAAAAACTAATAATATATATCATATTTACGCTGTGCGTTGACACTCGTCGCTAATACCCAATAGGTCAAGAATAAAACGAATGAATTATATAATAGTTTCGTCATCTGTAATATCATAATTCCTTATTCTTTTCGCTAGAAATTTTAAACGATATTTTATTTATTTATTTTTTTAATTATGGCCAGAAAAATTTTTTTTAAATTTTGATTTAAAATTTTACCAAATATATATATAAATAAGATCAAATTTTTAAAAGCGATTATTATAATTGCTTAATTTTAATTTCAATTTTAAATTTTTTGGTTAATTTCGTAAAACATATCATTTAGGTGTTAATTTCGCACAATGGCTTTATCTTAATTAATTCCTTTTAAGTAAATAATACGCTTAATTTAACGAACATATTGGCTCTCTAAATTTAATGCGTTAAACTCAGATTTATATCTTATCATCCTGGAATTATATATATATATAAATATATATTAAATATTTTTAATTGCCTTTTTATTTATAGGTTACCGTCTAAAATATTATTTTTTTATAAAGAAATTCGAATTCAAATGTTTTGCTAATCGTATCTTTGGATATTTTTAGACCTTATCCTTTATACTAGTCTTGTTAAAAAGCCAGATTTTTTCAAAATGTCCCGATTAGATCTTAGCCTAAAATAATATTGTGCAAGTATCAAGATTTGGCAAATAGATTCTCCAAGCATTTCTGCCAGCTATGAGCATAATCATTAGTCTTTACATAATGTTATTTTTGGCTATTATAATCTTAATTGGGCCGTTTTTTTTAAATCGACCCCTCGAATCGGACTTTTTAAACAACACAACTTTATACAATGTGATTGTATTTTCTTCAATAATTATCATTTTAAAAACTTGTAAGAATCACACCTTCCCACCTCTCTCCTCCTTCACAAAAAAAAAAGAAGTTGAATGTATTAAGTGTAAATGTAAATCTTGTTTTATATTGAAGAATATGAAGATCAAAATTATGAATTTTTAATGATATTATTAGATAAATTAATAATATTTATAAAAAAAATGCAAGGAATCCTTAGAAAATTATGGCACAAGTTATAATTATCCACATCATATTTAATATAAGCATAATATTTTATAATATATTTTATAAAGTTTAAGGTCATTTCTATCATATATCCAAATATTAAATCAAAATATAAATTTTTTTTTAATTATTATTACTCAATTCAATATATATATTTTTTAAAATAAGCTATTAAATAATTAATTTTTATCTGAAATGGTAAAATATAATAATGATAAAATTAATTTTATACAAGGCTATTTATATCTTAAAAAGCAAAACCTTTAAATATATTTTTAAGGCCATTTACAAATTTAGTATTTCTAGATTAGGACAGGTTATAAAATACGAAATAAGCATATTATGAATCTATTTCGAATGGTTAAGTTTGAAATTCAAAAATATATATCATAATTATACCAAAAATCGTAGATTTTACATGGTCGTGCCTTATTTTTTAGGTAAAATAACATTATTAAGAAATGATTATCCATGAAGTTAGTAGTAGGGTTTTAAGAACTATATTGTTTATTACTATTTAATTTTTTTTTTAAAAAAAAAAATTCAGAAACCTGGGAAAGAAAATCACAATAGAAGGAAATATATAAGGAAGAAGAAAAAATCACAGGAATTAAAAGACTTTCGGAAACTTCTAGAAAAAAAGGCTCTAGGAAAATCTTAGAAAAAAAACACCCGATTTAATCAAAAATAGTAATGCATGAGGTTTAAGTTTGAGGCCGGTTAGAGTTATCAGGTTTGATGAATACTTGATTATATGTTAGCGAAATATCAAACTCTTCAAGGCTCTCTAAGCAACATAACTATATGTATAGGAATGATTTTATCGAAATCTAGTTATGTTTAAACATATGTTCAGTATGGGCTCCAATCACCATGGCTTGATGTTGGCTAGGGTTAGTGAATAGTGTAATACTTCTACCTGCTATGATTAAGATTCGCTATCAGTTTATATATAATTTTTTGCTGGATATTATGCTGCAGAATTCACTAAAAATTTTAACTAAACCTGCTTGAGTCTTTTCAACAAAAACATATGCACTTTATAAATTATTCATTCTTCTTTATCAGAAATATAAAAAAAACCATATTTTTTTTATAAATTATTTATAATTACCAAACAAATGAATTTATTTTAACAAAAAAAAAAGAAGAAGAAATGGGTGTTCCCTTTTTGTTCCCACTTTTTATTTGTTGCTCTTGTTTAAATTTTCCTTCGAAGTCACGAATAATAATTTATCTTCCCCTTCCTCGAACCTCCTGCGGGTGACGTCCCTTTTCAATCTTTCATTATTTTCGGTGAGCCTTTCGTTGGTCGCGTCTAGGGCCTTGATTTCTTGGCTTATTTTTTCGATCTTTTTCTCGAAGCTGCCCAACTTTTTATCCATGACCTCGAGGTCTGACAGTAAAGTTTTGTAGAGTTTCAGGAATTCCTTTTCTTCTTCCAAGGAATTGGTATCCAAAGCTTTGTTGACATTTAAAGATATATCCTCCGGGTGAGCTACTTCAATTTTTTTTTTTTTTTAAAAAAAATCGATGGTGGTATTATAAATTAATATTATTCTCGCCTATGTGAGATTTACAAAAATACCAAAAAAAAAGGAAAATCACCTTTGAGGTAAGAGTCCAACGATTTTAGAAGGCAAGTTAGAAACTCGTTATCGACCACGCCAATACTTTTCTTGCTCGTCGGCGGTGAATTTGTGTTGGCTATGGTGGGCAGCGTTTTGTTGTACCTTTTGTATATATCGCTTTCTGGACCAAATTCTATATCGTTAATCGCGTCCTCTACCGCTTCTAACTGGTAGGCCAATTCGCACTCCAGCGTTAGCGATTTATCGAGTTCTTCCTTGACAGTTTCGTGGTCTTTGTTCATTTTATCGAAATTCGCTATCACGGTATCCATTTGTTTTTTCAACTTCGCTATCAATTTTGGGGCCTGCTTTTCGGAGCCGCTGTCATATCTGGCTTGCGCGAGGCTCAACTCTTTACGAGTATTTTCACTGAGTAAAAAAAAATGATTGGCATTAATTTGAATGGTTACAAGAATACTATCAAAATATGAAACTAAATAACCGTCATATAATTTCTCTAAAAAAAATATTTTTTTTTTCTGTTTTTTGAATAAACCTTAAATTATCTAAAGGTAATCCCAGCACTAATAAATCCCAAACGTCTTTGAGGGGCGAAGCATTTCTTTCATCCCTTCGTTGATTGAGAGGATCATCTTCCTCTGACAGGTTACCCGAATCGGTAGCCATTATAACTCTCTTGTGAGGGCCATCTCTTTGCGCAGGAACTTGCAGGGAATTGGCCAATCGATCGAACGATTCTTTGACCATCGTGGAAGACGTTCCATCACTTTGATATATATCGGTAATTGGTGTGGTAAATTGTTTGAATGATGTACTGGAAGAGATTGGAATTCCTTCCTCATCCTCGTCGCATGTAAGCACGTAGGATCTCCTACGGTTTCCGCCGCCATTTACGGTATTTGACATGTCTATGGTTTATTTATAGCTTTGATTTATTATATTCGAACTTTCATCAAAATCATTATATACAATTCAAAATTAGAGATTTTATTTACGTAAAAAAAAAAATATTTTTTAATTTTAATATGTACGTATGAATAACGTGACATCGTGTCAGGCAAAATAAAATTTCCTAATTTTGTTAAATTATATAATTATACACTATATTTTCTTAGAATTCTTAAATATTATAAACTATCATTGAAATAATTAATCATTTTCCCCCCAATATAATGTTGGTTGTACTATTATATATCACAATAAATAAAATTTGCGTCAAATACGAATCGCTGCCTTAGTATCAATATTGGTCGGTATATTTTCCATTTTGGATTATAAATTACGAGTACGAAAAGTCGTAAACAGAACTTACTACCATAGAAAATATTGAACAACCCTTTGCCGTCACTCTCTACCAACATGGGAGTTATTCCTTTAGAGATATATGGAAGTAAATGAATCCTGCTCCCTCTAGTTACTCTCCCCCTCGTTCAAGTAGACATTGATCGCGAAAATCGTTATAAAACACGAGGGAAAAAAACTGAAGAAAAAAAAAATTATGATTTAATTTTCTAAAAATTGCACACTGACCCAGAAATTTGTAGAAAATATTCTCATTTTTATTTAAACATAAAATCTTCCTTTTAAACAAAGGTTACTATTTGGCATCCTTTTGGCGGGAATTTCTTGATAAAATAATTTAGTTTTAATTTGACTGTTGCAAAAATAATTTTTGAGAGTTTTTATGGCGTGACGTAGAATTAGATCTAGTGTTGTTAAACGGCTCAATTTGAGACAATTTTTAAAAAACGGCCAACTCAACCCTGAACACATATTTTTTAAGCCTAGAGATTTTGTTAATAGATGTCGAAATTTTTGTGCCATCAATGATGAAAATCTTCGAACTTGGGCAATAATTTTCTGGATATCGAGCACTTTAGCAACACTGATTAGATCTATTTAGAATTATTTGTTTACATGTATTTCATCTTGATTCGATCATTCAATTTTAAAATTCTTGATTAACAAATAACTAACTTGAATCAAAATTTTTATAGAACACCAATAAAATCGACGAAATATGAATTTATTTGTAAATCTTTTAAATTTTTGGTATAAATATTCGGATTCGCTAAATATTTGAATTGATCCTAAAGAAAAAAATATAAAAAAAATCACTGCCAATCAGAAATTATATATTTTTTTGCATTATATCTACTTAACTAGCTAAAATTTAGGGTATACTCAAAAAATAATAGTTGACTAGATTTTGAATTAATTTTGTTCTAAAAATTAAAACTCTAGTGCTGAGAAAACTACCAAAAACAAACTCTACCTTGATATTTTTTTGGGTCAAAAGCGATGTAAATCATTTTACTTCTATGCTCAAGTTAGTTGTAGAATTTTAGATATCAAAATATAAAACAGGTATCTCCTGCTAGAGTCATATGAGGTTAAAGGGTTAGGCTATGACCGTTTAATGATTAGATGTGCAAATATTGGGTGGCCATATCCAATTTACCTAAGTATTGGTGGGGGGGGGGGGCGGAATCAAAGTTATCAACCAAAAAAAAGAAAAATCAAATTTTATGTAGAAATCAAAATTAGCAAAAGCAAAAGTAAATTCAAAAATAATTAACAACAAAAAGAAATTTAAATTTAAAAAAATAATAGAAATACAAAAATATAAATCAACATTAACAAAAAAAAAAGGAAATTTAAAATATAAATATATAGAAATACAAATCAAAATTAACAAAAAAAAAGGTAATTTAAATTTAAAATAAAATAGAAATCCAAAAATAAAAATTAACAAAAAAAATTGAAATCAAAATTAACAAAAAAAGGAAATTTAAATTTAAAGAAAAATAGAAATACAAAAATACAAATTAAAATTAGCATTAAAAAAGAAAATTAAATTTTAAAAAAAATACAGAAATACAAATCAAAAATTAACAAAAACAAAAGGAAATTCAAATTTATATAACATTATTACAATAAAATGATATTTAAATAAGGTTATTTAGAAAGTTTATTGTATATAATCTTTTCGCTTAAGCCATTAAGGGAATAACATTAATAGTGAAAAAATTGAGTTTTTTTTTCATTTTCCTTTTTTGAATTCCTTCATATGAAAAAGTTGGCATATAAGCACTGCGTGACAGAACTAATCAGGACATTTCAATACATATATTATTTTATTCAGGTGTAAATATGTTAGGATTTTTAAAATCTATTGTTTTTCAATGCTATCTGGGTATTTATGAGAAGATAAACTCCCGCCCAGTGATCTAAACTATAAACGAATATCAGTTCAAATTCGGAAGGGCTGAGGATTTAATTCTGTTCGTAAAATTTAATATCAGTTATATTTGAATCTTTTACTACAATACAAAATACTTTCTAATTTAATATTTAAAATACAAATATTAAATACTTTCTAAAATAATCAAATAGAATGCATGTACAAATACAAAAAAATATATGTATTTAGTATTTAAATTTTACTGCCTATGATAATATCCGTATCTAATTTTTTAATGTATAATTTAAAATCCATCAAATTTATTATATAAGGAAATAATAATCCTATCACGTTTTTATTTATTATTTAAAAATATATTTTTTATTCCTTTTTTTAAAGAATGTATATTTATTTGCTGTAGTTTATTTTAGATTATTATGTTATTTTATAAATGGCACTATAAGTTTTATATATAATAAGCAAATAATCATTAAAAAAATTTCTTAGAATTTTCTTTTCAAGTAATTACACACAATCACAGGAAATGGTGTTCGGGTCAATTTAACTGATTTTAAATTATAATTTTAGCCAAAATAATACTACGTAAGCCTCGATATTTTATTGCTTTCTGCCATCGATTAGTAAAATCTCTAGGATTGCGTAATATATTCTGGCTAAAATCAGGAAAGAAAGTAAACAGGCAATACTTGAAATCTACTAGTAGGAGCAAATGCTTTAAAGCTCAATTTATTTTAATATATTTTTACATTTTTTAAATAAAAATTTAAACCCGATGATGACGGCCAAAAGGTTGAAAATAAGAAAGTAATATGACCTTTTTCAGATTTTCACATAATCGCAATAGTTATTTCTACAAATTTGACTCTAGGCTCTTCAGTAGGTTATAATTTTATAAGATCTTAGAAAAAAATATTTCTCAAATATAGTGTTAATCGACTAAACGCGGTAATTTATTAAGCCGCATTTAACCCCATTTTTTCCTCCAAGCAGTTTGTTTTCAAAAAACCCTTTAAGTTTAAATTTTGCTAATATATGGATGTGGTGAGTGGATCAGGCGATAAAAAGGATGATGTTAACAATATAGATAGGGTTGAAGGTGAAGAGAATGGTGCTTCTCAACTAGATTTTATTTACAAAGCTATGGGTAAAATAATAAAATTTAAATGATGTAAATCTAAAATTATTTATCAATTTGATTTGTATATAGTTCAAAGAGATCCAAATAAGAGAAGAATAAAGCCTGTTAACCGGCAAAATCTATTTAATCAGATCAACATATCAGATAGTAGTGAAGATAGTGATTTCATACCTAATGAAGGTGGTTTATATTTTATGAATATATTATTTTCCAAATATATTAATATTTGTCAATAAATAGCTTTTTTGCTCCATTATTTTATCATTAAAACAAGTATATTATTTTAATTAATTTCCTAGTAAAATAAATTCATTATATACATCTAAATTTTTAGATGCTTGTATAAAAAATATAAATTAAAATTATAAATGTCTGATTCTTCAAAATTGATCTAAAAATTATTGATAATATTTTATATTATAATATATATAATAATAAATGTTACCTTACAGATTAAATATGATAAAATTATTATTATTCTAATATTAATATATTTGCATAAAAGATTTAAATAACCTATTATTAGATCAAACGAAAACAAATGATGAATATTAGACAAAAAAATAATTTATATTATTATATGAAAGTAATGCACTTTTAGCTTGTCTTTGGAATTAATTCCACAGTTTAGTTTGATCTTCTGTTCTTTTTGAACTGATTGAAAAATTATATACTATCATTATAATTATGAAATAACCATAAACAATACCAAGAAGTTTCAGAACCTATTTATTTTACTTAAACACCAAAATTTTGAATAAAATCTTTGAGAATCAACAAAAATTGAAGAAATTACAAATTTTTATCTTCAACCTGATAATAGGTATACATTATTTTTTTTTTAATGCTGTTTTGACATAATTCAAATTAGAAATATACAAAGCCTTGCTGGTTTGGGTATACTTAAAAAAATTTTTAATATATCAGGTGGGCAGGCAATTCATACATAATAAATTTGGCAGGATCTCAAAAATTTCTGATTTTTAATTTAACATCAATGATCTATTTTATTTTAAATACTGTGTTGCTAAATTTAATCTGTAAATAAAATGAAATCATAGGACATTTTATAACTTTTAATGGACCGATTTGTGCATTAATTATGTTTTGATATATATTTTTAAATTTCAAACTAATATTTTGATTAATACTATATGAAAAGAAATTATGACTATTTTTTTGTGTTATATGAGCTGTCTAACTAAAATAGTAAATTTTAATAAAGTAATAAATTCGCAAATAAATTAAAAAGTTATTCATGATATGAAACTATTACTAATACAGAAATCAAAACACGATTTATAAAATGGTTATAGAAATAGAGAGCCACAGAGGAGAGATACGAGAATCTTAATAGAAACTGGGAAAAAAAAAATTAGACATAAACATAAATAGACATTATTTATGATTGATAGCCTTTAAATTTATACAAAAAATTTAACCATCCAGGCATCATTTTTTTAAAAATTTTTTAATGGGCTAGGCCTAATTTCTTGTGAAATTTTAATGGTTTATGTTGGAAAATTAGAAAAAAAAAGATATCTTGTGCAAAAAGTCTTAAGCCAAAAAGGTTGTACTTGTTGATTAATTCATATTAACTACAGAACAATTAATCCACATCTTAGAACTTTTTAAGATAAAAATTTTTCAATATGATTTCTAATTTAGTACAATCTCTAAATATGACAATTATCTTAATATTGATTTACTATATTTTATCAAAATTGGCATGGGAATGGTGGAACAAAGGGCTTAATAGAAATCTAAAAAAACCTATTTTTTGAAAACTACAATTATAAAGCTGCTAAAACATTTATTAGCCTTTTTTAAAAAAAATAATTTTAATTAACACCCCAAAATTGAATAAATTAGATTTTGAACACCCTTAAATTTAAAAAATGAGCCATGGCACTTGTTGGACCAAGTGACTACTGATCTTAAGATACACCCTCAATCTACGAATAAAATAACTGATTTTACAAATTATTGTCATGTTACAACCTCAAGTTTGTTTTTTTTAAAAAAAAATTTGATTTTGACTTTTGGGGGAAGCATATAAAAAATAAAAATTTTAAACATGAAATTAATATATTATTTTTTTATATAAAATATTAAATTATTAAATTAAAAAGATATGTAAAAACTTCACAAACTATTTATATAGCTTATTACATTGGGTTTGTTGTATAGTGTTGTTAAAAAGCCTGATTTGGGTCGATTTTTAAAAATGGCACAATTAAGATTTTAACCAAAATAATATTGTGCTAACCTCAAGATTTGGCTAGTAGAAGCTCAAATCTTTCTCCCATCTATGAGCAAAATCACCAGGCTTACACAATATTATTTTGGTCATAATCTTAATACTTTGTTAACAAACTCACTAGTCATTATATTTATTTTAACTCAATTTTATACATATCATGTCTAGTCATATTCAAATTTCCTTTTTCTGTACCCCTTACTCGTACTAGTGTTGATAAACGGCTTAACTCAATATTTTAGCCAGAAAAATATGGCCTAAGCCATGGATATTATATGTCTAGACCTTTGTTCCTTCTATGAGCAAAATCTTCAGGCTTGCGTAATATTTTTTCTGGATGAAATATTGAGTTAGCCGGTTTTTAAAAATCGACTCAAAACGAGCCTTTTAACAACACTAACTCATTCACTATTTTTTAAAATTTTTTTAGTACTTTAGAATTGAATTATGTTATTTGTTATAATAGAAAAAAAAATTTACTTCTTACAAATCTAAATATTATTATAAAGTATTATTAAATACATTATATAAATTTTTAAAAATATATAAATATTATTAATTAGATTTCTTTTTAGTTGATTATGCATTTTTTTTTAAAAAAACAATTGGGAAAGAATCTTGATGTAGCTTGTAAAAAATTAAGAGGGTACGTTTCGTTTACTTTAATAAGCTGTCATCATTTATATATATTTTTTTTTTACTTTGGCGTTACCTATTATACCGAAATTTTTTCGGTTTATACTACTCGTTAAAGCTACTAGTTCAGAAGCCATAAAGGCCAATGCGCTCGGCTGAATTCTACCCTCTCGCTTTCTTGTGAAGTGTGGTTTAAAGAATTTAGCCGGCAGGCGGGTGTTAGCCGGTTTTGTAAAGGAGCGCTCATAGACCGGCTACCATTTTTTCGAAGACGGTTTAACCATAATAGTTTTGGTTAGGGATGTACCGATATCACTTTTTAGAAACCGATTCGATCCGATATTTCCAATATTGAATTGATATCGGCCGATTACCTATCCGATATCATATCTAATTTTGTATTCTGTAATGATACCAATGGTTTTAATTTTTAATATACTTTTTATTAATTTAACTGTACCATAACTTATGTCATTTAAATATATTATAATGATCAGTTATAGTTTATATTCAATTTAATTGCAATTCTAAAAGTATATGAAATAAATATTTAAAATTAATATATCAAAGATTTCTTTTTTAGAAATACCAAAATTTCCAATTTATCAGAGATCGGTCTGCGGTGATGGGGACTGCCAATATCACAAGCATCATTAAAAACAGATTCTGAAAAGATTATTGAACACTTTTTTAAACAGAATGCGAAAAAAAAATAACAATATGGCAAAATGTTTATTAACTTATTTTTACTATTAAAAAAAATTAAGTATAATAAAAATGGATTTCGATTTTATTTATAAATATAAATGGTTTTTTAGATATAAATAATATTTTATTTTTGTTAAAAGCGCCATTTTTTATCAGATCGGATCGGAAAATTTTACAATATTTGCCGATAACTGATATTTTAAAATGGGTGAAATATCGGCCCGATCCGATATAAAATATCGTTACATCCCTAATTATAACCGAAATAAGATCATGTAAGCCTAAAGATTTTGCTCGGAGCTTGGCAGAAATGCTTGGACATCTATTTGCCAAATCTCGTTACCTTACATAATATTATTTTAGCTTGAAATCTTAATCGGGCCGCTTTGAAGAAATCGACCCCAAATCGGTCCTTTTAAAAAGACGACCAAATATTATGATTTTTATTTTTGTGCCCTAGTGATGCCAATTGGTGTCAATATCTTATACACGTGTTGTAAAATAAAATTTGAACTGAAAATTTAGTACTGAATAAAGAATTTATGAAGAAGGATAATCATTTTTCTCTAAAATTGAAAGTATTGACTCGTATCGGTATATTTACTGAAGCATTTTTACTTGTACGATTCTGTATGCTGGTCAAATAGGATCAAGTTTTAAGCTCTTGGCATTTTGCTTGTACGATTCTGTATGCTGGTCAAATAGGATCAAGTTTTAAGCTCTTGGCATTTTGCTTTAAAACGCCAAGTTCTAGTGCGATGGTATTCTTTCAATCGTTTCTTTTCTAAGCCAATATGTTATGAATTTAAATATTTTTGAAACATTAAACGCCAACTATCGGTAGCAATATTATTAAATTTTTAAATTATTTACTTTTATGACAATTTAAAGCTTTAAAATTAATGTTTAGTTTGCCAGCAATTTATATAAATAAAATTTTATCTAATATTAAACAATCTATTTATTAATTTGTTTCAAATATTCGATGAAGATATTAAAACATACTTACACGTAATATTTATTTTATTATATAAATATAATATATAAAAATTATTAACTACGTGGATTCATAATATATTGGTCATCTTATGTCCGTTAGAAAATTTAAAATTATATTTTGAAATAATTATTTCCAATTTTTTTTTGCTATTTATCAGTGACTTGCTTAGGTAATATACTATATTTATTTTTGATTTTTATAGCTCTTGTAATGGGGATTTCAAATATTTGGTTTTTAAAATATACAGTTCTGCCCGCGTATATTTGAAAAATTAAAATGTGGCCCGGCCCGTGTATTTGGGTAGGGCGGGGCCTTATCGCTCGGAAAATTAAGCCCAATTAATTTGGTATCGAGAGATTATATTTAATTTAATAAATATAATTTAGGAGAATTGAATAATCAGAGAGCGAGTCTAAATTTTGCTCTCAAAGCAAGCGTTTGGAGCCCCACAAATTTTTCTATTCGTGCCCCACCCCCCTTGCCTTGAAATTTCTATTTGATAAATATATTCTCGTTTATTTTTAATCATTTATATTTTGATAAAAAAAGAAGCGAAACTTATTTTTATTTTTTACGAATATTTTATTTTTTTCTAAACTCCGACCCGATTCTTGAACCCTACTTGCTACAAGATTGACATTCGAAATGGAATTTTTTTTTAAAAAAAAAAGTTCAAAATTTATGAATATAAATGCAAAAAAAAATTGAAACTATAAAATTTTTTACGAGTTTTAAAAATGGCTCTTCAAATAATCAGATTTTACACAAAATTCCCCAAAACAAATTTTATTTTTAATGAATCTTCTATAAATGCAAAAAAAAATTGAAACTATAAAATTTTTTACGAGTTTTAAAAATGGCTCTTCAAATAATCAGATTTTACACAAAATTCCCCAAAACAAATTTTATTTTTAATGAATCTTCTTACAAGTAATTTTTTTTGTTATTTTTATGTAACAAAAAAAAACCTTTTTCTCAGCTTTGTTTTTAAAAGTTATATATAATATAACCTTGAAAAATAAATTGAATATTAGATACGGACGCTACCGATGAGTTTGAAGAAGAGTCATCTGTGTCCAGCGGTGTGCCGAGCAACGGGAAAAGGGGAGACGTCTCTTACGATTCTGAAGCAATGTATTTGGACGATAAATCGGAGTCAAAAATTTTGGGTGAATCATCCATTAATCTTGATTTGGAACACGAACATTCTATGATCGACGTAATTTAATAAATTGATCCATAATTTAATTTTTAATATACCATGCAAAATTTACTTTTATTAATTTGGGATGAAAGTTATCTGGTAATAAGGTAGCATTATCGAAGTTTAAAATTCTTAATTATATTATATTATGTATAAACATATATGCCGTATGGGGATTCGGAATCTCTCAACTTTAAATCATTTACAAAGGGCGATTTTTGGATTTTTAAAACCTGATTTAACCGGAAATGTATTTCTAGCATGTGTAGAGTACCAAAACTGTAAATTTCAAACAATTTCGCTATGAACTTTAGAAATACTTTCTAATTTATATTAATTTTTATATGGATTTTTCATATCCCAAGAGATTCCGAATCCTCATATGACATATATACGTTAGCGTCAATGTGTTATTTTCGGCAATCTTATGTACTACATTGCCTGATTTTTTCGGCAATGTGTTATAGTTGATTGGCAGGGTGAATTTGTTATTTCGGCAATGTACACAATTGCCTGGGTTAAAACAGGCAATATGTTATTTTTGTAATATTAAATTGTTAATAATTTTTTAAGATTAATATTTTACTTGATTAATTTATAACATTATTTTTTAGATATAATATAATGTTTTTTAAATATAATATTTTTAAAATGATTTTTTTATATATTTACTTTTTACATACATTTTTTCTGATATATCTTTTGATAATTTTTTTAGGTAAAAGTGACAATTGTCATAATCTTTATTTTTGAATTTTTTTAAAATAAATAGGTGATAATATGTTGTGTGAACATGTTAAATTAAAATTTCAGTGAAGATGTACTATAAAAGAGTGACAATTGTCATAATCGTTATTTTTGAACTTATTTGAGATTTTTTTAAAGTAAATAGGTAAAAATAAGTTATGTGAACATATTAAATTAATATTTCAGTGAAGATGTACTATAGAAAAGTGACAATTATCATAATCGTTATTTTTGAACTTATTTGAGTTTTTTTTTAAGTATAAATAAGTAAAAATATGTTTTGTAAACATGTTAAATTAATATTTCAGTGAAGATGTACTCTAGAAAAGTGGCAATTGTCATAATCGGTATTTTTGAATTTATTTGAGTTTTTTTTTAAAGCAAATAGGCAAAAATATGTTGTGTAAACATGTTAAATTGAAATTTCAGTTTAGTAATATCAACAATAAAATTCCTAAATTCGCTTTTATTTATATATTCAAAATTAATGATGAGTTATTTTCCTGCAAATCGTCAATGCCTTGATTTGATTAAACTCGAGATTTTATTATGAATACATTAATGACTTTAAACGATAAAAAATTCCAATATTATGATTTAACTATACTCATCTTCATAGCATCCGGAAATGTTTTTTTTAAACATAATTTATAATAGTAGGCCGCGAATGTATAATTAAAATAATTTTAAGATTATAAAATATTAACTGCGAAATATATTTAAATACAAAATCATGCATCAGTTATTTTGTGTATCAACTAACTATAATATCTTTGACTTATTTATTTCATTTCAATTTTGTAAGTGAGTAAATATATTTTTAAAATATTTATTCACTTTTAGTGAAACGATCTAAAATTATTATAAGTTAGAGCAAATATTGAAATATAAATCTATCTAAGTATTTAAATAGCCTTTCGAAATACATTTTCACGAATATGTTCATGAAAAGTATCGTCTTCGGTAGCTATAAAAAAAATACTGAATAATTTTACAAGATAAAAACATCACTTATTAGGGAAATTTCGAAAGTTGGTCTAATCGTACAAGCTAAAAAAAAATGAAAAGGCTTAGCGATAAAAAAACTAAAACCTGGAGAAATAGGTGATTCCATTATTGCCAATTCTACCCCTTGATTTGGGGGTACTAGATCACAAAATGTTGCTGGCAGTAATTACGGATAATTCTACAGAAGGATTTCATAAATTGGGAACCAGACGTGGCTATTTGTCTGTTCATTATTGCTAGGTCACAGTTTGGCCTAATAAAAAATAATTTTATTAACGTTGGAAATTTGCCGCCGAAGGTCATTAAGCCTTTAGAACAATGGTTGGCATGTCTTCAGGATCTGAGCAAGGATTTAAACGCTGTCATCGCGAACAAAATAGCACGATGGATAGATGCAAATGCAAGGCATCTAACGTGTCTTGCAATTCTCATTGCCATTCTACAAATAATATATGCCAAAAATAAATGATTATTTTATATTTTATATTGAAAAATAAAAAAGTGATTTGTAAATGTTTTTTTTTGTCTCTATTTGTCAAGAGATAAAATTCTTAGAGATATCTTATAGGGTAGGGATTTATGTTAATAATATGGCGTAAAAATATTTTTTAACATAAAATTTAGTCGTAAAATGAATTGGTAAAATTTATCTTCTGCCTTATAAATTAGGGGGGGGGGGTGAGGGGAAGTGAAAATCCGCAACCCTTTTACCAAATGTGCCTTGTTTGGTAAATATTGTATAAAAATAATGAAGAATTTTACACCTACCAAAAAAAAAACTAAAAATGTATATATGATGTCATAAAAAAAATTTAAGAAGATATTTAAAAATAACGATCGTGTAAAATTTGTGACAATTTATTTAAAATATACAAACTGGTCAAAGGCCTTCAAAAGAGGGAAGCCCATCAAACATTATTAAATAAATTACCCGTCTTGTCAAATAGTGTCGTTAAACGGTTAGACTTGAGCCGATTTAAAAAAACGGTCAACTCAATATTTTATCCAGAAAAATCGAACGCAATCCTCAAGATTTTCACTCATGGGTGGCACTGGCAGGAAGGTTGGTTTCATCGATTAGCGAAATCGCACGGCGCCTTAGGCAATATTTTTCTGGCTTAAATATTGAGCTAGCCGTTTTTAAAAATCGGCTCATATCTAGCCATTTAAACAACAACTATTGTAAAAAAATATATAATTCGTATAAAATTGGTAAAAAATTAAAATTATAGAAAATAAACCATCTTTTATTTGTATGTATTTTTAAAAAAATTGGAGATCGAAAGATATCTTTAGTGTTTGTTAAACGGCTTACTCAATATTTTAGCCAGAAAAATATTGTGTCTAAATCTCGAGATTTCGTTATGAGCAAAATCTTAAAGCTTGCATATAATTTTTCTTAATAAAGCTCAAAATGAGCCCTTTTTAACAACCACTATATATCTTAGGGAAAAAAAATTAATATATAAAAAATCATTTAAAAAAAATATATATTTAACAATTTAACATATAAATTATCTCAAAAATATTGTAAGATCAAAATACCTTTAACAATCTTAAAAATATTATTTAAAAAAAAATATATATTAAATAAAACAAAATCTATAAATCTATAAATTATTAAAAATAAATTTGTAAAACAGAATACATTGCCTGATTTAACCGAGCAATGTGCACATTGCCGAAGTAACAAATTGACCCCGCCTATTAGTACTATAACACATTTCCGAAAATAACAGATTTTACGCTAATATACGTATGCCAGAGATGTACAGAGGTACCATTTGCATAGCCCAGCCCAGATTTTAGAAAGAAAAAATTTTCGGCCCGACCCTGGTTTTATATTTTCGGGCCCGATTCTTTTTAAAATATAAGGTCCGGCTCGGGCATTTAAAGCCGGGCCTGCAGGTCTTAGGTATATATATATGTTGTATTCCATATTAAATCAACCAAAAAAAGTCGATTATCAACCCGACCCCCTTCGTTTTTTTTTAAAATTTGTATGTTGGTAGTATATACACTAACTAATAAAAATGTAAAATTTTACTTTTCAAATCGGCTTACTTCATGAGATATGGCCATCTTTAGAAACGCTAAAATTCCAAAATACACCATATTTAATTTTAAATATCTCAAAAAGTAATTAAGCTGTAGGCATGATTTAAATTTTATTAAATAGCTCTAGAATAGCCCTTTAATATGATATAAAAATTATTTTATTAATAAAAAGTCTATTACCAAAAACCGGAAATAGAAAACCGGAAATAGCTATAAAATAAAAATTGCTCTTTTTTTTCTTTCAAATTTTTTTTACAAATAGACATTATATTTTTTAATATTTGTACAAAATCCTAGATTGGGACCATTACTGGGCCAATAGTTATTACGCTTTAAATATAAATAGTATGGCTTAAATCCTAAATTATACCAAATATATAGTAATTTACGAAACAAATAAAAAGAAAATTCCTTTATGATCGGGCCGATTATATTTTTTTTATAAATTTTTCGGGCTGTGAGCCCACTAGTAGACATTATGTCATATTTAACATATAAGCTTAGCGATTTTATTTTAGAGAGAAAATAATTGTAAAAATATTTATAACTTTATTTAGCTAATTATTTATATTACATGAATATCAAATGGAAAATTAATATTGTTATAAACATATTAAATTAAATAATAACATTTAAATTATCTAATGAATTAGAATAACGTTTGACTTTCATTTTTCCTTCCATTGGAATAAATGAATGATATTTTTGTGTCCCGGGAATTAGTTTGGCCGTTAAAAATCTATTTTCGAGATTGGTTTCCATTCTTAAATATTCAACGTTGCTGACATAATTAATACCCGAAATATTAATTCTCGCATAATTATATAAATCCATAGGAGTTAATATATGATTTTCATAAGGACGTTGCAGGCTTGCTCTAGCAGCCAACCTCTTTATAATTCCCCCTAAACTATCGCAAGGAGTTTTGCCATGTGCAGTTGCAAAAAAATGCCATTCTGCCTTGATCCCAAAATCATTATAATGGTTGTAGAGGTTTACAAAGTTTTTTTTGTTCTTATACTGGGTAACGGCTCCATCAGAAAAATAATAAATTATTGAAATCTTATTAAATCTTGCTTTCAAGAATTGAATTAAATATGTTTGAAATAAATAAAAGGAACAAGTGTTGTGTTTAAGACAATCTGATATAACTACGTAACTTATATGTTTGATGGTACCACTTTCGCAGTAATAAATCATAAATGGATGAAGTGTTGCCTGATTATTAGTCCAATGGAAGCCTTGGGCGTGATCTTGAACTACAAAAGCGTAGTTCTCTGCAAAATCGGATATTATTAGATATTCCCCATCCTTCAAATTCGATTTTAATGACTTAAAAAATGAAGATTGTTCCGAAGAAATAAATGCATGAGGAATTAAAATATTTAATTTTTCATTCAAATACTCCACAAATTCGCTGGCGGACTTAGTTAACGTTTCGAGGGTGGTACGGTCTGCCGCCAACCATTGTTTAAATGTTATATAATCTATGGCATTATTATCAAACAATAAATGTAATCTTTCTTTAAGTTCCAAAGTGCCGGGACACATTTGCCATTTCTTTAAGTAACAGCAAGGTTGGGCTGGATTGCATAGACTTTGTGCAATGTAATGTTTATAATCTTTTAAGGGAGGAAATGGATAGTTATGCTGGTTTGCAGTTAACTGATTTAATTTACCCCCAATTATAATTAATTTAAAATTTTGATGAAATGTACAGATGCACATTGTATGCGTTCCAGACCTGCCTGCTAAGATACAGTTTTTTGGTCTCATGATAGCAAACTTGCTGAAACCTACCTTTATATTACTGTTTATTTCTTTAAAATTTATAAATAATTCTTTTACATTACACAAAACTAATCTCTTTTGTACTTGGTTCCTTTTTCCATTAACTTTCATTGATATAAAATTATTCATACCTGGCATAAGTCTGCTGTTTTCATCAGAATTATAAAATTCTATTACTTTATTTGCAATGTCATCCGAAATTATTCTACTTGGTTTTATGATATTTGGGTTTGACAAAACACCCTTTTCTTCAACTAATTGTTTAGCTGTCCGGGCCATAAAATTTGTGGTTGAAAATTCCTCTTCAATTTTATCAAGAGTTTAAGATTTTGGTAAAACCGTTAAAATTTGTATTTTTTCATTGCGAGAACTTGTAGCAAATTTTTCTTTCAGTTGATTTATGATTTCGGCTTCATCTTTTTTTGCTTGATCCTCTAGATTTATTTAAAAAACTTTTTTGATTTTTCCCTGAATTTTCAAAAATTTATTTACAGGATATTTTTTTTCATTTAACCTTTTCTTTTTAATAGGTGTCTCCCCTAAAAATGGCAAAGTTTCATTTAAAGTTGAAATTGAAGTATTAAAATCTGTATAAGAGTCGGGATTATTGCATGGTTGATCATGTTCAGAATCGCTAAATGTTTCATTAATAGTTGAGGTAGAAGGTAAGTTAGAAATAGAAGGTAATGTGATCGGGATCGTTGAAATAAAAGGTGAGATCAGATTTGTTGAATATTTTTTTAATTTTTTCCGGCAAGAGCTACAAATTTTTTGATTAATTGATAAGCTAGAATTCACTTCTATCATCCATTGTAAAACATTTCTAAGATCGTAACGTACTAAATGAGATTTTATTTTAAAGGGATTACAGCACTTTACTGGGATAGAAATAACTTTTCTAGACATTTAAATTTTTTTGGTAAGGAATAAAAGATAACTATTAATTTTATATAATTATTTTAAATTAAAAATAAATTGCATAATGAATACCGATAATTTAATTTTCTTAGAAAAATGGCTTTATAAAATTAATCAATAAAAATGACGGCTGTTGCTGTTGGAATTGAATTTGATTTTTATGATAATTATTTTATATGATAATTAATTATAAGTAGAAAATAATCTTTATGAAAATATATTTCTGACGATCACAAAGATAATTTTTTATCCGGCAAAGATAATAATCTACATAATTCACTCATAGAATTGCCAGGTCAAAAATCTCGAATTTAAGAAGAAATTTTTTGGGGGGGAGGGCGAATATAAATCTTAAGATGGGGTTGGAATTTCAGTGTTATACTATTATTCACAAATATTATCACTTTTGTTAAAAAAATAATTACTCATTTCGTATAATATAGAATTTAAGCCATACTATTTATATTTAAAGCGTAATAACTATTGGCCCAGTAATGGTCCCAATCTAGGATTTTGTACAAATATTAAAATATATAATGTCTATTTGTTAAAAAATTTTGAGAAAAAAAAAGGCCAATTTTTATTTTATAACCATTTCCGGTTTTCTATTTCCGGTTTTCGGTAATAAAATTATTTTTAATATAATAAATTTTATATCATATTAAAGGGCTATTTTAGAGTTATTTAATAAAGTTTAAATTATACCTTTAGCTTAATTACTTTTTGAGATATTTAAAATTAAATATGGTGTATTTTGAACTTTTCGCGTTTCTAAAGATGGCCATATCTCATGAAGTAAGCTGAGTTGAGAATTAAAATTTTATATTATTGCTAGTTAGTGTATATACTACCATCATACAAATTTTAAAAAAAATCTGAGAGGGTCGGGTTGAATCTTCAGTTGATTTGATATGGAATACAACATATATAAGTGGATTCCGATCATTTAAATTTTAGATTAAAACGTAAATTTTTATTCTACCATATTTGTTTATTCAGAATATACCGGAAGTTATGGTGTGTATGGTTTGTTTGTGTGATAATCGGTAAAAAAAAATATATTAAATACATTTAATATGCCGCCAATCAGGGGTCAAACGTTTAACACACTATTTTTTTTATAACTGCTGGGTCTCATTCGACATCAAATCGATCACCATTCTACCACCCCTTAAGAGTTTGGGTAAAATTTTGCACGCAAAATAGGGTATGCGTGTGACTTAGCAGCGTTCAAATTACAACCTAGCCTTTATATTTTTTATATCAAAGGTTTAAGAATGATAAAATGACCGTTGCAATTATCATTTAATTTGATATTTACTGAAAACTGCCTGTGATTTTAGTATCAAAATATATCACTATTAAAAATATTATATATTTTTTTTGGCTATTTTACAAATATTGCTTCTTTTTTTTTCAATCCCTACAATATCGAGAAAGTTTTAAGATTTTGAGGGATTATTATTATTAAATAACTATGCATCAAATGGCTCTGACATGTAGCAATGTTTTCTTTGAATATAGTCAATTATTTAATTGCAACATCTAAATTATCGATTATTGTATCTTATATTCTAGGATTATGTGTAAAAAAATCAACCGGATGATCCCATAAGAGAAGCTTCATCTGGAATGATACAAAAATGCGAGGAATAGCTTATATCACCGTTTAACTATGCAGTGTCTATACTCGATCCTAGAATTTGGATGCAGTAGTAAGTATTCAGCTATATTCTAAGAAAACTTTGAAAAACATGTTGGTGGTCATTAAATGCACGCAAATTCGATAAAAATTAACAATCCTTCAAATCTTAAAACCATTTCAATATCGTACGAGAGATCCTTTTCTTTCTCCGGAAATTCCATTACTAAGCTAAGGAACAGAATGACTCCCCCCATTCTGGAACAATATATTTAACTTTCTTCTCTGGACATGGTCACTAGAGTTCCGCTGCAAATCACGGCCTGGCCTGTTAAATAATTTCGGTTGAGACTGGGGGAAGGGGGGGGGTCTAATATTTTTTTAAAAAAAATTTCGGACCAAAATTTTTATTATTTAGTCAGGATCCGGCTTGATGGGACAAATTTTTAAAAAAAATTTGTTGCCCGATGCAAATCACCTAATGGACACAATTTTCCTTCGGGAATTATATATTTTTATAATAAACAAACTTCAATTAAACTGGTAAAGAATAGTAAATGTAAGGAGATGACTCGTTTAGGAATATATATTTCTTAAAAATGAACAGCTTATCTATACATTTAATCTTTGCTATACTATAATAACACTCGTGTTCAGGGTTTTAGCTCGTGGAATGTGTTCCAGATTCGTACTTCAAGGCAGGCCCGAGCACCAAATCGGGTTGTAATTTTTTCCGCCAAACATTTTTATCACCGCTTAACAATCGCCCTTTTTACATATGGCATTCTATCTACATAAAAAAAATTAAGTTAAATAATAGCCAACATAAAGGATAACCAACCTATGAAAAAAATAACTCAATTTTTATGTGCCCCTATATAATTGTAAAAGGTGACAAGCTACACCAAAGCTGATCTACTTTTCATACAATGTAGAAAGGGAATAGATAGTTATATCTTCACGCATTAATGTTTGCGAAAAGCATATCTGTTTTAGACATGTAAATGTCAAATAAATACAGTACAAAAAAAATATGGCTATAATGCAATTTTTTATTTTGACTCCTGGGTTGGCAATATATATATATATATATCAATTTTAGTTTCTGATTGTTTAATACCTCTTTTTCTTTCTTTTTTTATATATACCAGAATTGCCTCTGAATATTTAGTGGAATGTGATGTTTGTGGTTTGGTTGTTCATGAAAGTATATAAAATCTTATGAATTATATTTAAAAAAAAAATATATATTATTGAATACGAAATTACATAATAATAATAATGATATTTGACTAGTGTTGTTAAAGGGACTCATTTTGAGCCGATTTTTAAAAACAGCTGACTCAATATGGAACATTATTGTGCAAGCCTTAAGATTTTGCTCATAGGTGGCACAAAAGTTTTAACATTAACGAAATCTTGAAGCTTGGACAATATTTTTCTGGCTAAAATACTGAGTTAGCCGTTATTAAAAATCGGTTCTCAGAAACAATACTATATTTGACTATATTCACGCCAAATAATATTATGATAAACCCATTCGTGGTCTGTTACAAAAAGTCTTATGCCAATATACTTTCTTTATGCTAGCATGTTTTAATACAGGGAACAATGATCCCTCTTCATAAATTGGGCCCTGACAGTAAGGTATATTTCTGTGGAATCGTGGAGCGAGCGCTAATGTATTTGAGATTGTCTCTTTAGTGTTTACGTGCTGTGAATTATTATTTTGTAATTTAAAATTTAGTTCCCTTTTAAAACTTTCGTACCTTTTAAATCTTTAAAATAAATCAGCTTGTTATGGTATATTGCCTGCAAACTCTCTCAAAATTAACTGCGGTAATAACATAAACCTTAACATTGACAACAGTGGAAAGTCGTCTTCTCAGAGATCCAAATCCATAGCTGCCAGCATCCATCCTGATAAAAAAATCGATACTATCTCGAATTCCTCAACTTCTTCCCAATATTCCACCGAGCCCTGGTTTTGCAGTCCGTGCCGTGCAGCTGTCAAATATCCCGCATGTAAATTATGCCCATTTGAGCCAGGGATAGGTGCCTTTAAGGAGACTGACGTTAAAACGTAAATTGATATTCTTTAATATTATTTTTCACAAGTGTTTACTTTTTGAAGGGCATACAACAGGAAATGAATCCATTCTCATTTAGCCAATAATCAAAGTTATCACCCTACATATATAATTATTTAAGGGAACCTGTTAAAATAAAGCCTTTTACCATTACTTTAATGTTTTTAACATAGCAATTTTTAAATGAAAATACATTCATAACTTGTCTAATTTATTTTATATATATATATATATCGGTTCAAATCCGAAATAAATAAAACAATCACTCAAAACTATAGTTAAAATAACTTATTTTCAATCCCTTCAGAACTAAAAATTAAGATTAACCATGCCAAATTAACTTTTCCATAAGCGTATTATTCAATAAAACCTTATTAAAACTTTTACCTCATATAGTTTATTATTTTGCCCGGTTCATCAAATAAACGGGCCCAAACTATTTGTCCCATCATAAATTTGTGTTTTTTTAGTTCCCACTGAGGATATAGCATTTTTTTGAGTTTTTAAGAGATCAATAGGAACTTTGGTTCTTCGTCCAAGAAATAACTCCAAAGTAGTGATACCTTCTCGGTTTCGAGAATTGAGGTAATATATCTCATTAACATTTGCTACCATCTTCTCAGCCTGTCCGTTAGAGCTGGGATGATACGGTAGCCCAAAAAATGTGCTTGGTCTGTGACTCGTCACATGACTGTTTGAAATTGTCGCCCACGAAGGTGAGGGACCTCTATCGGAAACAATAGTGTCAGGGTAATATACTCAATTATGTAAATTTTTTTCTTGCTCAAGTAATACTAGATATTTTTTTATTTATAAACATAAATTATTTATTTTTTTAATCGTTACATTTTTTTGTCAGAAAAACGCAAAAAAAACATATATTTTGTCACAATACTCAAATGATCTACTTTGAGTCATCAAAGGTTTATTCTTAATTTTTTATTACATTGAATTCATAGTGGCGCGAATGCTATCCGATTTAACAGCTGATAGTTTTTTCAATTTTTCTTTATTAAAATTATCATTTTTTAGATTTGAATTGAATTAAAGATAATATAATTAAATAAATATTAATTGATCTCATAGTGCGCACAAATTGACAGTTTGCGTACGTTTTTTAACGTAACTCATCTGTGTTTAAATTGAAAGCAGTACGTTTTTTCTTTATTTTAAAATTGAAAACATTTTTATTAAACAATATGGAATTTTTTAGTTTACAAGATAAGCAACTAATTGCTTTATATTTACTAAAGAGAAGGAAATCTACGAAGACAAGAAGGAAGACCTCAAAAATATTTATGGAGAGAAATTTATTTTCAGAGTATATTACTATAAAAGCAGATCTTACTCCATCCCAATTTTTCAATTGTACAAGGATGAGGAGAACGACTTTCTCCTATATTCTGAATCTCATAAAAGACGATATACAACCTAAGGTGACGAATTTCAACAAGCAAATAGATGCAGAGGATCGTCTATTTCTGACCTTAAGGTAAAATATGGTAATTTAACACAAAATTATTTATATTTAAGGTTTCTTATAACTGGAGTTTCCTTCTCCCAGTTGGCATTTAGTGCAAGGATATCCAAATCCTGCATAGCCTATATTGTGAAATCTGTGTGCAGGGCTATATGGGAAGCTGCTGCAGAGAAGCATATGCCCAAACCTACAAAAAAGGATTGGGAAAGAGTAAATACTTTATAACATATTATATATTTTGTTTATTTAGATTTCCCAAGAGTTCATGATGCATTCAGGGTTTCCAAATTGTTTTGGGGCCTTGGATGGGAAACATAAATATAAAATGCCCTAAAAATACTGGCTCACTACATTTTTGTTATAAGCAAAGATTTTCAATTGTATTGTTAGCACTTATTGACTATAATAGGAAGTTTTTGTACATTGATGTAGGAGCTTATGGGAAACAAAGTGATGGTGGAGTGTTTAGAAATAGCTCTCTGTATAGAGGTTTTATTATATATAATAATTTGCTGTTATTAATTTTCAATTACTATTAATTAATATATAGAAATTATTAACCATACACTGGGCCTTCCACCTCCTATGCCATTTCCAGGGACAAATGAAGAGATGCCATATGTTATGGTAGCTGATAATGCCTTTCCATTATCCAATTATCTAATGAAACCTTTTCCAAAAAAAAATCTGACATTAGAGGAGATAAAATATAATGCTAGATTGTCCCATGCAAGGGTAAGTGTGGAGAGAAGTTTTGGAGGGATTGTTAAAAAATTCGATACTCTTAACAAACCTATGGAAATTGGTGTTGATTATGCAGAAATAATAGTTAAGTGTATATGTATTTTACACAACATTATCATATCCTTGGAGGGCTTACCTGATGATGTTGATCAGATAGGTATTTAAAAAATATTTAATATAAATTGGATAAATCTATATTTTGTTATTTTAAAAAATATATTTACAGATATCACGAACTTGAATGTAAGACCTATGTCTGTTATTAGGGACAATAATGCATCATCTAATGAAGCAAGGAATATCAGAAATTCATTCAAAATTTTTTAAATTCATAAATGATTTTATATTATTATTTATATATTTATTTTATCTTAATATATTTTTATATATAATCTACATATATTAATAAAAATGCTTAATAAATTTTGAATAGTTTGCTAATTTATATATTTTTCAACCTTTCAGGATACTAGAAATAGAATAATTTTTCTATTATAATCACATAAGGTGATGTCAAAAAATTAGCTCAATAAAACATAGTAAATATTTTCTATATAAATAGTCAATATCTTAAAAAATCATACACTATTATTCTTTTTACATTAATTTCTAGATAATATTGCCTAAACTATGGTTAAAAAAAATTGCAAAGGGCTTGTGATAAACATTGGCATATATTCCTAGAAAGGCATCAAATTTAGATCTCTAATTATTGTTTCAAAATTTATAATATATATACTTACTAATCTTAAATTTACAATTCTCCCAACCATGATATCCCTGATATTTTTATTTATTAGATTTTCATAAATGTTAATTCAATCACATTCTTTCATAATTTGATATCCTATCTTATTAAAAAACTATATATTTTAATAAAAATGCCAAATGATAGTTAGCTCATTTATATATTTTTTTGAAAAATGGACACTATTAATATTGAATACTACTTTATTTTATATATAAATATATATATTTACAATAATATTACAAAAATATAAATATTTACAATAAAAATTATGATATAATTTGACTAAATAATTCTAATACTGTTTCATTTTGCAGGGTTTCTGTTGTATTGTCATCTTTTGGTAGTGTCATAAGATTGTGATACAATTTAGTTGTCACACATTTGAAAAAACATTTGCTTGATTGGCTCATTCCTTCCAAGCCATCTGCCATTGATTGAAGATACAATCTAAAATAATATTAAATTCATAGATAAAAAAAGATATTATACTCGCTCTCATGTGGCCTTTCTTCCAAAAGAGTATCTAGTTTTTCATCCACATTTACCTTTAAAGCAGGTGTCTTAGCTTTTGCTTTGGGATAAAAACTATCACTAGTTATCCTATCCATTGTAGTGGGCTCCATAAATTTTATGTACTCATACCATCTGTAGGAAAGTTTAGATCCAGAAGATTTGCCCATTTTTACTTTATTCAGTTGATCCTTGAAGTTCTTCATCTTCTTCTTTATGCATGACACAGTTGTATCATGCTGAGGAAATTCAACTTCCATGCTATTAAAAATATAATTTCTTTAATCTTATATATATATTTATGCCTTTGGCTAATTGATAAACCATTTAGCACTAATGTAGAATTTTTATGGTCTGGATGGCGTACAAATTGAGCTTTTCAACGCTCCGTTTTAAAAGCAATTAATGCATTTTAAATGGTGTTGTGCAAATTGGATTTTTTTACGGCAAGGTTTAAAAAAAAGCAATCTGGTTTGATTTTTTTATGCTTTTTTATTTCGCGCCAATATATATTTTTAATTTTATTTAGTGATTTTATATAATTATACATATTGTAATATATTAAAAATATTTAATAAACTTTTTTAAATTTTAAAATGGAAACAAATGCGAAATTGTAAGTTAATTATTTTACATTTATATAATTATTATATGTTATTTAGAGTGTGGGACGACATAGTGACAAAAAAATTCTGTGCCTTATTAGAGAGTCAAGAAATGGTCTGGAATCAGCAGCATCCAGACCATAAAAATTCTACATTAGTGCTAAATGGTTTATCATCCATTAGCCAAAGGTATAAATATATATATAAGATTAAAGAAATTATATTTTTAATAGCATGGAAGTTGAATTTCCTCAGCATGATACAACTGTGTCATGCATAAAGAAGAAAATGAAGAACTTCAAGGATCAACTGAATAAAGTAAAAATGGGCAAATCTTCTGGATCTAAACTTTCCTACAGATGGTATGAGTACATAAAATTTATGGAGCCCACTACAATGGATAGGATAACTAGTGATAGTTTTTATCCCAAAGCAAAAGCTAAGACACCTGCTTTAAAGGTAAATGTGGATGAAAAACTAGTTACTCTTTTGGAAGAAAGGCCACATGAGAGCGAATATAATATCTTTTTTTATCTATGAATTTAATATTATTTTAGATTGTATCTTCAATCAATGGCAGATGGCTTGGAAGGAATGAGCCAATCAAGCAAATGTTTTTTCAAATGTGTGACAACTAAATTGTATCACAATCTTATGACACTACCAAAAGATGACAATACAACAGAAACCCTGCAAAATGAAACAGCATTAGAATTATTTAGTCAAATTATATCATAATTTTTATTGTAAATATTTATATTTTTGTAATATTATTGTAAATATATATATTTATATATAAAATAAAGTAGTATTCAATATTAATAGTGTCCATTTTTCAAAAAAATATATAAATGAGCTAACTATCATTTGGCATTTTTATTAAAATATATAGTTTTTTAATAAGATAGGATATCAAATTATGAAAGAATGTGATTGAATTAACATTTATGAAAATCTAATAAATAAAAATATCAGGGATATCATGGTTGGGAGAATTGTAAATTTAAGATTAGTAAGTATATATATTATAAATTTTGAAACAATAATTAGAGATCTAAATTTGATGCCTTTCTAGGAATATATGCCAATGTTTATCACAAGCCCTTTGCAATTTTTTTTAACCATAGTTTAGGCAATATTATCTAGAAATTAATGTAAAAAGAATAATAGTGTATGATTTTTTAAGATATTGACTATTTATATAGAAAATATTTACTATGTTTTATTGAGCTAATTTTTTGACATCACCTTATGTGATTATAATAGAAAAATTATTCTATTTCTAGTATCCTGAAAGGTTGAAAAATATATAAATTAGCAAACTATTCAAAATTTATTAAGCATTTTTATTAATATATGTAGATTATAAATAAAAATATATTAAGATAAAATAAATATATAAATAATAATATAAAATCATTTATGAATTTAAAAAAATTTTGAATGAATTTCTGATATTCCTTGCTTCATTAGATGATGCATTATTGTCCCTAATAACAGACATAGGTCTTACATTCAAGTTCGTGATATCTGTAAATATATTTTTTAAAATAACAAAATATAGATTTATCCAATTTATATTAAATATTTTTTAAATACCTATCTGATCAACATCATCAGGTAAGCCCTCCAAGGATATGATAATGTTGTGTAAAATACATATACACTTAACTATTATTTCTGCATAATCAACACCAATTTCCATAGGTTTGTTAAGAGTATCGAATTTTTTAACAATCCCTCCAAAACTTCTCTCCACACTTACCCTTGCATGGGACAATCTAGCATTATATTTTATCTCCTCTAATGTCAGATTTTTTTTTGGAAAAGGTTTCATTAGATAATTGGATAATGGAAAGGCATTATCAGCTACCATAACATATGGCATCTCTTCATTTGTCCCTGGAAATGGCATAGGAGGTGGAAGGTCCAGTGTATGGTTAATAATTTCTATATATTAATTAATAGTAATTGAAAATTAATAACAGCAAATTATTATGTATAATAAAACCTCTATACAGAGAGCTATTTCTAAACACTCCACCATCACTTTGTTTCCCATAAGCTCCTACATCAATGTACAAAAACTTCCTATTATAGTCAATAAGTGCTAACAATACAATTGAAAATCTTTGCTTATAACAAAAATGTAGTGAGCCAGTATTTTTAGGGCATTTTATATTTATGTTTCCCATCCAAGGCCCCAAAACAATTTGGAAACCCTGAATGCATCATGAACTCTTGGGAAATCTAAATAAACAAAATATATAATATGTTATAAAGTATTTACTCTTTCCCAATCCTTTTTTGTAGGTTTGGGCATATGCTTCTCTGCAGCAGCTTCCCATATAGCCCTGCACACAGATTTCACAATATAGGCTATGCAGGATTTGGATATCCTTGCACTAAATGCCAACTGGGAGAAGGAAACTCCAGTTATAAGAAACCTTAAATATAAATAATTTTGTGTTAAATTACCATATTTTACCTTAAGGTCAGAAATAGACGATCCTCTGCATCTATTTGCTTGTTGAAATTCGTCACCTTAGGTTGTATATCGTCTTTTATGAGATTCAGAATATAGGAGAAAGTCGTTCTCCTCATCCTTGTACAATTGAAAAATTGGGATGGAGTAAGATCTGCTTTTATAGTAATATACTCTGAAAATAAATTTCTCTCCATAAATATTTTTGAGGTCTTCCTTCTTGTCTTCGTAGATTTCCTTCTCTTTAGTAAATATAAAGCAATTAGTTGCTTATCTTGTAAACTAAAAAATTCCATATTGTTTAATAAAAATGTTTTCAATTTTAAAATAAAGAAAAAACGTACTGCTTTCAATTTAAACACAGATGAGAAAATGCATTATTTGCTTTTAAAACGGAGCGTTGAAAAGCTCAATTTGTACGCACTATCATGAACAGATTTTAAAAATCGATCAGCTGTTAAGTTCGCGATCGTAATAGTGCCTCTATGAATTCAAGGTTATCCCATAAACATTTTATGTGAAAAATATATTAGATGGGTTCACTTGATTTGCGCCCTGTACATTCCGGGAGTAACGTTTGCCGACGTGGAACACCTTTCAGCTGTTACGCTTTTCGAATTGAATTACAAGAGATTTGGAGAAAGGGTGAATAATTAATGTTTATTTTTCAAGGCGTTTTATATGGCCAAGTCCGATAGGACCGTTAGTATATTTTTGATGAGGATGTTTACTGTGTTGGCCTTTCTAATTACTAGATGACCAACCAAGCCACAAAGAGACATTATAATAAAATTCCAAAGGATACGAACTGAGCCTCTTATAAATACTTATGAACCGGTTCATAATGGTTTTCAAAATTTTATTTACTTATTTTTGAATGATTAAGCCTATTTAAAAATATAAAATAATACAGGTTTCTTTTCAAATTTTTTGTGTTACAGGACTCTCTAAATTCGTTAGTATACAATGTTAATGTACAGTTTTTAAATTATTAAGGCATTTTTTTTTACTTCATCATCCATACCCCAGAAAGTTTTTTCTAAGAGTGATAGGCTTTATGAGTTGTATGTATCAATTGTATTATACCAAGAACCAATCTATCTTGGAGATTCATTCATTAAAAGTGTAGTGTCCTTTCTTCAGTTTACATTTCCAGTACTTTAGAGCCGATGGGGCTTAACACTTCAATTAATAAAAGTGTCGATTAGTTAATGCTCACGCATAGGGCCAAAGGGCAGCCTTTTATTTGGGATTACACTTTTATTGGCGCCATTGTCAAATCAAATGCTCCACCATGTCAATCTCCTGTCAATAGATTCTAAACAATGAATATGCTACTTCAGAGAAAATATATTTATTTTACCGTTTTGTTAGGTTACTACCTTAAGGAATTAGGAGAAAACAACCCATTTTTTTAAATGTGATAGGTTAAAATAAATTAACCAATCATTTATAGGCGTCACTAGAAATTCAGATTCAATAAAATTTGCATTCCTGCATTCAAAGGCCTCGATTTTAAAATGTATCTATAATATTTTAAGTTTAAAAATATATTGCGAGTTTTTAATATACTTTAGTTAATTCTGCTTAATATAGTAAAATTAAATTTTGGATATATATCATGTTATTATATTTATAATAATTATTGAACCTTCATACTTATTATATTATAAAAATTATATGTATTTTAAATTATAAATAAGGAATGCGCATATTGCGAAAATCGTCTGCTTTCTAAGACAGGGATATGCATAAAATGCGATGCGGGCATGTGTCGTACATTTTTCCACGTTACCTGGTAACAATAATATAATATATATAGTTTATAAAAATAACGATCCCAAACATGAACATTGTTATTTAATTATTAATAAATTTAATGGTAGACGAGTGAGTGAGAGCTATCAAATGAAGCGAGTAATTGGTAGTTCGATTCTTGTTGGGGCCCATTTTTCTTGAGCCTCTTTTTCATCAATTCTTGTTCTCCGGGGTTAGTAGTTAGTATATAGCGGATGCTGACCAGGACGTGATTTAGAGTGAAGTGGGACCCTTAAAAAATTTGTCATTCTTGTTTAGAAATTTTGTCCAAATTTATATATATTATATTTTTGTTTTGTCGCATCGCCGGGGTGGCCTAGTGGGTTATGATGTAGGCTTGGAATTGGAAGGTCCCAGGTTCGGTCCTGAAATATTACTTTATTTATTATAAAAAGAGTATAATATATTTTACTTTTACATATAATTTTTTTTAGCGTTGGTATAATTTTAAAAATTATTAAGAATGAAAATAATCGTTAAGGCAATAGCTTGATGGGAAATTTTATTTCTTTACTATTTTTTTTAACTTTGAATCTTTTATTGATCATGTTTTAATTTTGGGGCAATATATTCCAATCAATTCAGATGATTTCATAAAAGAAATTTTTGGGGTTTTGTATTTTAAAGTGTTTGAAAAAAAAATTAATATAAATTTGAATTGTGAATTTAAAGAGTATTCGAAAGTTTGTTGTAAAATTGTCGGAAATTTGGAGAAGCCATTTTCTGCACATATTGGATTACATTTCCCGAAAAAAAATTTAAAAAATAAATGCGTTCGATAAAAATTCAAAGTTTGAAAAAAGTAAAATAACAACATCGAACTTATCACCTTACCAAATAATATAAAATGGATATTAAGTCACGTGACATAACATGATTTTGAATATTTTTCTTGGGGTTATTTTTTCCAACGTTAATCAAAGTAGAAGGAAAAAAAAACAAAAATCATGAAAGAACGCCAATCATATTTTTTTTTTAAACTTATAAATGAATGACATATTTTTCGTGTTTTGATATTTTAAATTTTTGCCCAAGGGGAAGAAAATTAAAATTTATTAACAGATATTTCAAACACATTTGATTTCATAGATTACATATGATTGTGGCCTATAATATATTTTTTTTTAAAATATTTTATTAGCGCCCAAAGGGAGGGTCTCCTAATCGAGAATTATAATTCTAACAACCTCCTGAAGTCGCCAAATCTCTCGGGCAAAAATAACCGCGTCAAAACGCCAAATAATAATTTCCCGAATTCTGGTACCAATGCTCTGAGCCCGGAATCGGCCTATTTCGCTTTTTGCAAGGCTCATCACGGCGACAAAACGTCGATCAGGAAAAGGGCGCGGGAATTCGCGCTGGCGCGAAAAAGGCAGACCCTCATCAGATCCAAGTCGCTGAAAGGAGGAAACTATGCTGGAAGCCTTTTTTACAAAAGTTTATATTTCTTTACCGTTTCTTTTTTCTTCTTGATAGGTGGTCACTACAAATTTAATCATTGTTAATCAATTCATTAGATTTTTTTTGCATACAGATGCAGTGGTATCTTATAATATTCTCGCTTTACGACAGTTTAATTAATTTTAAAATGCTTTTTGAGTTTTACAAGACAAAATTAATTTATTTAATAATAATGTCTGGTTTATAGTTTTGTTAAATGGCTAACCCAATATTTTAGCCAAAAAAATATTACGCAAAGCCACATGTATGTTAATAACTGCCCAAAATCTTTCTGCCCATTTATGAGGAAAATCTTTGAGGGTTGCTTAATATTTTTTGGCCAATATATTGGGGCTAGGCATTAAACAACACTAGGATAGTTGACTTTAATAAAAAAAAAAATTTTTTAAATAAATTACCATTCTTAGAAGATTTAAACAACAACGATATAGAAAATATGCTAAAATGTGATGACGTGCCAGACGCCGAAGCAGTTCACAATCGTTTGAAGTTTGTTTTTATTTAATAAAAACTTCCAATTATTGATTAATTTTAATAAATAAACTAAATATTTTCCCCCATGACTTCTTTAAGATATGTCTCAAAAATAAATAAATACAAAAGTTCTTAAATTTCGCGATATTTTAAAGCCCGAACAAATATTTTTTTAAATTCAAATTTCAGGTCGATTTTAGCTGACATTTACGAATGTATGGCTAAAAGGGCACGATATGTTTTCAAATTTACATTTTCTCGTTTATTAATGGTTTGTCATACCAAAAAAATATAGATGTACCCTTCTCTTAATCATTTCCCATCTTTTTTCATCCCAGTTTGATGGACTTTCTGAGAGAACCAAGCGTTCTTCTACCACATAGGGCTAGGCCTTAATATCACGTAAATAAAACTAATCTTATTACTGATTTTGAGAATTTGTTCATTGAGGTAAATTCCGTAAAATTAAGGATAGATTAGAGTAGGGGTTATAATTCGGTTTTTAACACGCTCACAAATAAAATTTATAATTGACATTCGAGTCAAGAGAAACGGGTGGGTGGTCTTTGATGGAGTGGGCTATAGGTTGCATATTTTTTTATTTAAATGAGATAAGAAGGTAATGCATCATTTTGCAAGTTTAATTATATTTTTTTTATAAATAAAAAAAATAGCCAATAATGAACGAATAACTAATTCGACCAATCAAAATATTGCCAATCGATGGGTCAGCTGATATTGCCAGAAATCTGAACCATATTACAGAACCTAACCTGAACCGAGGTCTGCTTGTCGGTTAGAACCTTTTGATTTCATAACTGTTTTAGAGATTATTATTAATCGATTTAGATATCGTATATTGCTATTTGAACAACCCCAGTTACCTAAATTATCGTATAAAAAAGTGTTTCTCCTTCATAAAATTTATTATCCCTTTCTTTACAGGATAAACAAAAGAAATTTTTTATGGGGGTGGGTGGGGGGGGGAGAATCTGGAATAAATTTTTTTTAAGGAATAAGTTTCGACCGGTTTTTAAAACTCGAGCCTAATCTAATTATCTTTTTTACGAATCGAAACCATGGGTGGGGTCCATTTTTTTAAGAATACTTGATTGCAGACCTCGATAGTAGTTTGAAAACGGTCTTAATAAGATTTTAGCCAGAATAATACGTTGTAAATCCTGGAGGTTTTGCTCGTAGGTGGGCAAAAGGGGGGTATGGACCTCTATTCGCCAAATCTCGAGGCTTGCATAATACTATTTTGGACTAAAATATCGGGGCCATTTTATAACACTACTTAATAGTGCACAAAAATTGAGCCATTTTGCCGTAATTTTTTGACAAAATTCGAGGTTGCCTTTTTATTAATATCCGTCTGTTCGAAATTTTAAATAAGTTCTTTAAAAAAAAAGGATTTGTCCTCGAAAATTATATTATCGTCTGCCTTCTTATTTCTTTAAATTTTCTAAAATATTCCTCTTTTTTAGGATATTAAGTAAGTTATTTATATTACATTTGGGATAGGTTCTAAATCGCTAAAAATTGGGAACCTGGCTTATATCTCCTAGAAAATTTTTAGAGTAAATTTGAAATTAATATTAATTTCAAATTTACTTTTCTTTAAAAATTTTATAGGAGTAAGCCAGGTTCCCAATTTTTAGCGATTTAGAACGGGAACCTTACATTTTGTATATAATATTACAAAGCAAAAGGATAAAGAGAGTAATAAAAAAGCAAACCTATTTGCGTTTTTTTTAAAATGGTTGCTAAATTGAAATGCATTATTTGCCCTTACACGTTTGAAACGCTCAATTTATGCGCGGTATAATAGTTATAGAAAAAATAAAAATGATTACAATAAATTTTGCCCTATCTTTATAAAGGTTTTTTTTGTTTTACTTTGCCTTTTTTTTTAAAGTTATAAAATCTAATTTTTTTTAAAAAAAATTAATATAGACCCAAACCTAATATGTATTTTTAGGCTTTGACCCTAATATTAAATATATTTATTAACTTTAACGAAAAAAAAGTGAAATAGACTATTTTTAATGTAAAAATAGAATAGTGGTCTAAATTGTTATATTTTTAGAAAATGTGATGCTCAGGTACATAAAAAATTCCTTTACCTTTTCTGGGAATAAAAAAAACTTCAGATTTTTTTTAAAAAAAGTAATTATTTTTAAGAAAGGGATTCAAGATATACCTAATTGATACCAAATATAGGTCTCTATCAATTTGAATAATATTTATTTTAAACAATTTTTCCAGATTAGGAAGGACATAGCTTTAGCCCTCCATATCTTCGGAACTCATTGAGTTAGAGCTTAAAAAAAATCAAATAATTATCATGCAAAGTTTAATAGAATTTACTAAAATTTAACTTTTTAAAATTCTAAGAAATTAATAAAAATTTAGCTTTGAAAGTTTATAAAATTGTCAAATTTTTACGGGAAAAAAAAATTATAGTAAGTAACATTCATTAATATTTTTCAAATTATGATAAGACATGGGAAATATAAAAATAATTTGGTAGGAATTATACATGTACAAAACTTTTAAAAATTTTTATTTGGACAATGTTTCTTAATTTTACAAACTTAGGAAAATTTATAAATATATTTAGGTCATTGCCTTATAAAAAGATTTTTAATTTTTTTTTTCCTTATCAAAGAAAAAGGATTTTGAAGAAGTTAGCCATTTCCCGGAGTAGCTACGAACGCGAGAGGGTTAGGTTTGGCGCCCTCCTAGATAATTGGATACCCACGCCAGATTTGCGCGAGAATTATTCGCGCCATCTAACATCGGATCCTATTTTCGTAGATGCTCTTTTATCCAAGGCTAATGTGGCCGGTATCAGAATCGATGTATGTAGGATTTTATTTTTAATATATATTACTGTTCTATCTACTCAATTCATTCATTCCTAACGCCTCTTTATTTCTATCGAAATTCTTCAATATATATAAATATATCTTCCTTCTAACTACCACTGTCTCTTCTCTACCATTATATCTTCATATCTAAATGACATAATAATATCTAGACTGACAATGCATACGTTAAAAGTGTCCATCAATGAAAACAGCTTGAGACGCCATTTTGATTACCCATGTCATTATTAAAAATTTAAACGAGAGGTCAATTTATTCCTATGTCTGAAGCAAACTTTACTAAAGAATCGCCTTAATATCGAGATAACAAGGAAGCAAGTTATCGATTTAATAATATTTTTTGACATCTACACGTGTTACCAAAATGGCAGGTCCAGCTGATTTGCATTCAACGATTTCAAGTGCATTATTATGAATGCATCGTCAGTCTAGGTATCATTATATGTCATTTATCCAACCACCGAAACCATATAATTCCTCAAGAAAAATTGAATATTAGCCAAATATTTATCCGCCAATTTTAAAACCTCTTTTTAAATATATATATATATATCCCTAAAATAAAAATATTTTAAAAGTCATTGCTCGGCTTCGGAACTTTCCTTGATTACACTCAGGATAATAGTCGCCGAATTTCCGTGTGTGATGAAAATTTAAATTTCAACAATGATCCAAATGATCTCGATCCTCCCGTTATGAATTTAAATGACAGTAGACACAATTTACCAGTTCTTCCGGCCTTTTCCCACAAATTTATCACCTATTTTAAGGGTAAATAGCGGTCTTAATTAAGCCTTTGATAACTCGTATTATTAAATTTATTGCCACATCCCCAATTTTGGGTGCGATTTTACTGGAATAATTTTATGATAAATCACCTTAGTATATTTGAAATTTTTTTAAAATATTTCAAAAAAAAAAATTATATTAAGTGTTTTATAGTGTACCCGACTATTCTCATAAGGAGCGTTAATTTACACGCGATTCGCCTAAGGATTGCCAATAAGCACCATTATACCGGCGATTCGCCTTTAGACATTTCGCTTATAGCTTTTTCGCCTGAGAAGCGCTAGTGAATACCATCAAGTGCTAATGAGTGCCAAACTGTTAATTTATTAACCAAAGCGTTCATAGGCTCCAGTTTAAATAACCGGATATTCATTGGCGCTCTTTAGGCGAAATGTCTTAGACGACAAGGCTACCGACGAAATACCTTAGGGGAAACACACCCCACGATCATGTTTTTTTATATGTAACTTTCAAATCATATCTAAGAATTTAAATTCCCTATGTACAATCTAATATTATATATGAATCTATGTGTTAAAAATTGGGATCCATTGAAATCAACATATTGCCAGCTGATTGGGATTTTATAATTAAAGAGTAGAGGATTTTGTGATCAGCTGCTGCTATATATCATTTTTAATATTATAAAATTCTTTATACTTTTAAATTATCGACCGTAAATCAAAAGGCCCTACAGCTGACAAGAATTAGTCATATTTTCAAATTTTAAGTTGATTGGCAGTCTGTCTAGCGTTATTTTTATGTGGGATCCTGATTTGGGTTTATAAATTTTTTAATGCTCTTGTTGGGATTTTATGAGCACGCTATTACCAAAAAAATGGTGCTATACTTGCCCCGGTCCAAAAATACCCTGCTTTGAGTTGTTTTTCCTTAAAAAAATTGATCCATATTCCTAAAATGTGATCTCTGATTTGAAACGAAAAGTTTGTAAAAAAAATTTTAATCTTTATTGCGAGAAAAGATAAGAAAAAATATTATATTATTATTGTCTACTTTTTTTCTTCTTTTTAACCTCTCATTATTTTTTTTTGATAGGCGTAACTCAGCTGATTTTATTTTTGCCATTGATTATATCTCACGTTAACAAGAATTTTATTTATTTTTAAATCAGCGAGGGAGACGGAACTCGAAAAATGGATGGATCTTATTAAAACCAAAAATGACGAAATTCAAAAACTGAAAATGACAAGGGACAAGCTGATAAAAGCTTGCCAAATCGTAAATCACACCCCATTTTTTATTATACTTTAATCTCGAGAAATATTTACGTGGAACAGTCCCTATAATTTTTAAAAAACGTTATTACATCATGCAAATAGTGTTGGTAAACGGCTCATTTTTGAATTAGCGATTTTTAAAAAAAACCGCTAACTCGATATTTTTAAATTATTATGCAAGCCTTCAGATTTTGCTCATAGGTGGCACAAAGGTTTGAACATCTGTTAACGAAATCTCGAGGCTTAGGCGATAATTAGTGTTGTTAAACGACCTAACTTTAGACAGCTGTAAAAGAGCATAGACATGTTTTCAACCAAAAATATTCCAATTTAGAAGAACGATTTGCGACTATTTAAATTTTTTACAATTTTGAGCAAGAAGAATATTCGCGATCATATATTTATAAGTATTAAAAAAATTATATCTTTTTTGATAGTTATAAAAACTATTTTTTAAATGATAAATCACATTTTTTTTTAAGAAAAAAATTGACCAGTAACCCCAAAACGTAAACCGGTATTAACCGTAATTATTTACAAAACCTGAACCGTTAAAAAAGTGGTCATCCGAATCTGCCAAAATGCCTGTGAACCGCCATTGTATCAATTAGATATTTTTGTATATGGCTATTTTGCAGAGTTGTTAAAAGATACTTTTTAAATATATCTAGATACAGATACATCATCTAAAATAATATCTAGATACAGATATTTTAATCAAAAATCTATCTAGATACAGATAAGATACCACATTTTTATATCTAGATACTTGTATCTAGATCCTTTAACAACTCTGCTATTTTGAGAGTGCCAGCCTATTTCTCGACTATAAAATTTATACTTTCTCCTTTATAGACGATATAATTTTACAGAGGGATAATCTTAAAAAATTTTTTATTTGACTCTTTATTATTTAATTATTTTTTTGAAATGATTATGGAATATTTTTTTTAAAAAAAATGCGCCATTAGAATTCGAATAGCTTTTTATCCGAAAAGATTCTAACCGGGGTTTTTTTTAAAAAAATAAATTGATCCTATATTCCTTACGGTTCAGATCCCTTTAATTAACATATGGTAGATGTCAATCATTCTGAAATTTAGGATAATTATTTGAAAATACCCATATTAAACTTTATCCCAAATAGTCTAGTTGTGAGTTTAATATTCATTTTTTTTATTATACAGCCTCGATAATCAGCTGGGCTGATCCATACCCGGCCCACCTACCTAATATTATATTTTCTACTGGGCCTGGGATTTTGAAAATGTTTTTTAATTGGGCTTAAATCTAAAAAAAAAAATTTCATTCTTTATTATCATTGAATACAATAAATTAGATTGGATTAGGGCAAAATTTTTGAAACATATTAAGAACTTGAGCCGGGCCTGATCAAAAAATCAAAGTCCGTAAAGGTCTTTGACAACCATTTCGCTTGCCAAGCAGCGCATAATTTGCATGATGTTAATTATACAGCTATGCTATTGTTTTACGATGAATTGTCCATCGCTTTAGCGACATCACGGCATTTGGTGGTTCCTTTCTTAAACGCGGCCTACTCTTACGATTTTATATATTATTCGTATTTTTTTTCCCCATTCCATATTATTAATCCAAGCTTATATTTTTAAAATTTTTTAAAAAAAAAATCTTTTTAAAGGCTAAAGAATCCAAGAATCAATCCCATCTTTTCCTCCAATCTAATATCGATTCCATCAAAAATATCTGGAATTATCTGTGTCTCTTGAAAGGACATCATTCAGTAAATTCAGTTTCATTTTTCTAAATTTATCGAATATATATTTTTTTTATATAATTGACAAATAACGGATTTAACAGTTATAAAAAAATATCGGATTGGATCAGAGTGATTGATCAATACCATTTTTAGGAATAACGGTTATTGGCCAATCACGTTGAATAGGCCCATCTGATCCATTATAAAGAAAAATGGATAGAGGAATATTTATTTAGGATCTGCGATGTTAATATTAGATATTTTTTTTTTAATTAATAATAGCCTTTATGTTTATGTTTTTTTGGTATATTATATATACGGTTTATTCTATTCTCTATAGACATTTCCCCGATATTATTATTAACCATAAGATGGGGATTATAAGATTTGATGGCTATTAAATTCTTCGAAATGTTTCCTAATTTGTGTTAATGATGAGCGAAAAATTTGCAACCTGGGTAGTAGAATTGGATAGACATTATCTTGGACTTGATAAATAAACTTATTTCTGAAAACTGAACTTTGTTCAAATCTTAAAATATTTTGTTTTCTCGAAATAGATAATCTTTTCAAAGAATAATACATAATTTTTCTTTCAAAAACCCAGCCATCGCATACTTCTAACTCCAATTCCACTACCTTCCTATTGATATTGTTGGTGTCTTTTCTTTGGAATATGCCCATACCATTTCCACTATAATAAGAAATGTTGCAATCAGAGACTACGATCTAATAATCTAGTATTAAAAGTTTCATTTTCTGGTCCACTCTAAAAAAAATTTTACTGCCCCCTACTCCTTTGATTTGTATTATACGACCTGGATTTTCTTTTCTATTTTTAAATAATGAATATGAATCGATTATTTTTTTTTACAAAATCAGTATACATTGCCCAAGCGGTTTCAATTGCTAACTTCAACTATAGACCCATCGAATAATAAAATGAATACCGACGAAAGAAGTGTCGCAAATAAGATAACTCAAAAATCTAAAAACGTCGGTATACGATCAAAAAAAGGCGTAACAATGCACAAGTTATACTTTTTTTTAAAATTAACATTGATGCTTTTCTTCGTAGACAAATTTTTATACCAGGTGCAAAAACCATGGACTGTTCGAAACTTGCACGTAACCATGATAATGATTTTTAAATTTACTACCAGAGGCGATTCGTTACTTAAAAGGGTCCGTACATAGGAGTGTCAGCTTTTAGCGCCATTTTTTGTGGTTTGTGTGTCGGCTAATTGTCTTATTTATACTATCATATGAAATATTAATGAATGAATTGCCATTCTAGTAGTATAATACACATCATAGAACCATGCCGAATTTTTTTTAAACTGAGATTAATTCCTCGTTGGTCACGGTTTGGAACAAGTCTTAATTTTTTTTTATAAAAAATTTTAGCAGTTAATTTATTGTTATTCATTCGTTAAGGCCAAAAATGTAAAAATATTTTTGAACCCATTTTAAAACTTATTCGTGTTGTAGATTAAAATCTTAAACCATTAGAAAATATGAATGTAACATAAAGCAAAATTATGAGCTCAATAATCTAATAATACTAAAGCTGCCAATGTTGCTTATAACTAACTATAGCAGGATCTCAAATATAATACAATGTTAGCTTTCCCATGGGTACTCAAATCATGATTTAAGCGTAATTTTTTATTAAAATAAGTTATTAAATAGATAAATGTATTTAATATTCTTTATTTAAACAAAGAAATGCTTTCTTTTGATGAAAGAAAATCTGTATAAAATTCTTTAAAGTTAAAGGCCAATAAGCTTAAAATTTAAAAAATCTCTTTTATATCCCTGGATATTCATAATCTCCAAGCCATTATTAATGAAGTCGAATGATTTTAGCAAGCATTTTTGAGCTGTTAAAAGGAAATATCATTGTTGAGGTTGCTGTAGGTCTTTCAGGATGAGACAATGCAATAATCTCGAATGATATTATGAGGTGATGTTTGTAGATGTTACTTATAATAAAGTGAATAATTATGGAATGACCTCTATTCATTTCCTTGGTTGTTGATGGGAATGGTCCAAATAGTATCACTTTGGCTTGTACAAAGAAGCTGTAAATGTGCGATTTTATATAATTTACATAATAATCCGAACCGATATTTTTTGGTTCGGATCACTGAAATATTGCCCCGATCTGATAAAAAAATTATCGGTACATCCCTAGTTATAAGTATGATAAAGAAAAATTATTACTTTAAAAGATATTTGGAATGGTATCTCAATTTGGGAAAGCTAATGTTATATATTTGAGTAATAAATTATTAATTTATAATTAATTATATTTTTTAACTAAATATCACGGGCGTTAGTGGTAGTCTATTTAAATTATCCGATATATAGGTGTTGTGTATGCCACATTTGCGATGAGACCATATCCGAGAGTTTGATCGAATGCGATACCTGTCAGAAACTTTATCACATGACGTGCCACGACCCGCCACTGAAAAAAAAACCTCTCAAATCCAAATTTTACACCTGGTTAGTTTTTTTCTAAGGAATTTTCTTTTTCTCCTACATTAATCGCGTTTTAATTTATACTTAGATTAACATTATTTAAATTTCGAAATTATGAACAAAAATCGTATAACCAGACTTATAATATGTTTTTTAAAGCAAAATCAAAAAGACTCCTCCATACTTTATTTGCACTACTTTAAATAATCATTATAAACCCTTTTTAACCAGATGCTTAGAACTCTGGTCAAAGAACTCGTTTTAATTGGGCCTATCTTAAAAACGAATTAGATAATTTACTATACCGAGCCCAATTTTTAAGGGCTAAAAGGGTTTATCTTATTGTTACTTCTTTCTTTATATGACACGTGATTTTTTTACAGCAAATTAGTTCTAACTGAGAGAATTCTTTGACGAGCGGATTGACGTACCGTAAATCACGTCACCCATCAAATTTGACTGGTTATCAGTAGTAAAAGACGAATGATTACATTTTGTTCTTATTAAATTTTAAATTAACCAAATTATTGTTTATTCATTTTCGAACCAAATAAATAAATTTATTTATTGATTCGTATTTTGAATAGGCCTAGTTCCGATTAATTTTAAACCAAAAAGAATAAATATATCATTTAAGGACTTTGACCTTATAAATTAATCAACTCTTTTTTTTACTATTAATTAAAAGGGTTTGTATTCGATGCAATCAAGGTACCCAATTAATATAAATTGTAAAACCAACAAATTTATTAAGTTAATCAAATTACGAAAACTTCTATTAACAAGAATAAAAACTAACTAATTTATAAAAAAAATTCCATTTCCTTTTATATCGCTTTACATTTACATACAAAAAAACAATTTATTTCTTTAAACACAAAAATAATAATCACTTTATGCATTTGAGTATTGAACTAATCGTTTTCTTTCCTCAATTTAAAACATTCACATAAATATTCAAATTTTCCTTTTAGTCACTACTTCCAACAGGGTTGAGCACCATTGTAGAAGATAAATAAAAACATAATTAAAAAAAAGATAATATGTTGGAATAATGAAGATTGAAACAAAATGTAATAACATAATTTATGGTTTCCTTATTTTATCTCCATTAAATATAAAATAATGAATTATAAAAGTAAAATACATTAAATTAACATTATAAAAAGATTATAGTAATAAAAAAAAATAATTAAAAAAGAATTCTTTCCAAAAACTGAAAGCGAATTTTTTATCCATAAAATTTAAAATTTACAACTTCGAAATATCCTTCATTTACATAGTCTATAATATGAAATTAAATAAATACCGTAATAATTCTTCTAATTTGAATAAGACAGTTTTTTTGTTCAAAATTATTGATCTGAATATTACAATAATTTTATTCTCAAAATATCCCCTTTTAGATTTAAGCCATTGGATATTTTTTTTTATATAGTTACACATCTTCGACGATATCGATAATATTATTTGATTGGCTGTTGGGGATAATTTTGTTTTTTCGAAATAATATTTCAAACTTGTAAATCACCATTATTTAATTTTTTTTTAAAACGCGAAGATAGAGGACTCAGTGTGCGTGAAGATAACGTTTTATATATTTTTTCCGTCATATAAGGGACACGCACAATTTGTTTTGTATCCTTGATTAAATCTTAATAAACTATTATTATACTTTCGCGTTCCCATTTTCTTCCGCGCTCGCAAATGTTATAGGCAATGTTCCCAATGCGTCGAAAACGTTTCGCTTACCATAGATTCCTCCCAACTAAACAATACGGAAAGTTGTAACGATAATAAAGATGAAACGTTTGAAAACGACGCCGAAAATAATGACGGTCCAACGAGCAACGTTAAAAATAGGAACCGTAAAAGACCCCAACGCTTTTCGCATTCTATTTCTTCCGATAACAATGACGGAAGTCCCTTGACTGGAAAAGGCGGCGAAAAAAACGTCAAAAGTTTTATGAACAAAATAATAATTATTTTATAACCACCCTAGATCATATTAAAACGATGGACTTAAAGAAGAAAAAAATTTTTTGCGGGTTATTTTTATCACATTTAGGGGGGGGGGGGATAATAAAATTTTTTAAGAAATATTATTGTTTTTTAAAAATAATCAAGCATTAATTTATGTTGTCACACCATCAGGTCTTAAATCATCTACTTGAGATAAATTTGATGGTTCAAGATTGTTTTTAATGTGTGCAGCTGTTAGGCTTTTATTTATTATATGGTTTACAGCTGAGTGTTGATTTATTAATCACATGTGGGAAATTCTGTGGTTAATTTTATATATTACTCAAAAAATTTTGATTACTTGTAAATTTTTATAGTATGTAACACATTTCCATAATGTGAAACATTCTTATATAGTTAAATAACTTTCCATAATTATTGTAAAAAACATTTTGATTTTGATATAATTTTTTTTAAAAAAATTTTTAATAAAAAACGAACGTCAAATTTATAAATCGAATATAATTTTTTAATGTTTTGGTCTAAAATTTTCTTAGGCGTCAAGAAAGGTGTCAGAAAATTTGAAGGATTAATATGGCAGTAAATTATCGAATCAGGAACTCAGAATTCCTGCATAAGTATTAGTGATCTGCATCGGGCCTAATTTTTCAAGCCCGGCCCGGTCCGAAATTTTTTTAAAAAGATTTACCGACCCGCTATCTTGCCCGAATTTATTTAAATATAGAAAATAATTTTTAAAAATTACTCAAAATAAAAGACATATGTTATATGTTGTCTAGTTTCTATAAATGAAATCAAATATTTTTATTTTACATAAAAAATTTAGATATATTTAAAAAAAATTTCTAGACCCAACCCTACCCGGCCCTTTTTTAAAAAATATTAGGCCCGAATCCGATTTATTTAAAAAAAAATTAGGTCTGAGCACGGTTCGACGGGTACTATATAATATTGTGATCTTAATATAACTAAAATTTATGATAGAAATAAATATACTATAATTATAATATATTTGATACTAGTGTCGTTAAACAGCCCAATTAAGATTTTGGCAAAAAGAGGTCATCTATGAGCTAAATCTTCGGGCTTGCTGTGTATTATTTTGGTTAAAATTTTATCGGGCCGTTTAACTGCAAAGCATTTGGGGGAAGGAAGCTCGCTTTTTTTTTAATGTTCACCAATATCTTCACTTTTTTGATCTTTCACTAGAGCAAGGACTTTGAAGATTTTTTAAATTTTAAGTAATAAGATTCTCTAGCCATAGCAAATATTACGCAAGCCACGAAATTTCGTTAAGAGATATCCAAATTCATAAGTAAAATCATAATGGGGTGGGAAAGTGAAAAATCTCTCCTCATTTCGTAAATATCATTTTTAAAGTAATAAAAAAAATTCTCCTTACACCCTCTTTCACCTTCCCCTCGTATATAACATTCGCTATAAATAAGAATTTGAAAGTAAAATAAATAATAGTTTAATCATTTTTTTATATCAACAAAAAAGTGAATATCCAAAAATTATTTTAATAAGAGAACCTGCCCAAATAAGATTTATGGCAGGAAATATCACTTTGTAGTGCCCTCTATAGGATGGAGATACACCTATGTCCAAACCTGTCATCTATGAGTAAAATCTCCAGGCTTGCGTTATTTTTTTTTTGGCTAAAATATTAGGTTAACCCTTTTAAAAAATTCGACGATAAGTCATTTTGATTATTATTTACAATATTTATATCATAAATCTCTTCTTTTTTTTAGAAAAATCCCATTCTAAAAAAAGAAAATTGGTCATCAATATTAAACCCTCATGTGAACAGCTCAAGAGTGAATTCCCTTCGCCCCAGGTCCCAGATTCACAACCGGTTTGAAAAAAAGGACTTCTTTAGAACAAAATTTTTGACATGTAAAAATAATTTCGAAAATATTTTTTTATGATAAAAAGTGCTTGTATAAATTGATTTTTTTTTATTATCTTCTATTCAAATTTTTACCATTTAATAAATACATTTATAATTATTACAGTAAAGCTTTTAAGTTTCATATTTGATGTATTTTATCGATATTTTAATATGTTGTGATGTATGTTATAGATATTTTAATATATATGTTATGTAAATTTTCATTTATAAACATTAAACTGATTTATCGTCCGTTTTAGATGTAAAAAATAAAGTATCTCTTTTTTGTTTATATATAATAAGATAAATATCCCCAAAAAATTTGACATAAATTTTTTCAATTGGGTGTTCCGCTTACTCATTCCTAAAGGATAGAATTTCTTTTACAATGTTGGTACCACTTACTTATTCCTAGAAAAAACAAAAATACGACTTTTTTTTTAAGTTGCATTTGCTAAGAAAAAAAATGAATTATTATTTGGGGAAAATTTCGGCCCTTTTATACGATAAAATAAGTAAATAATATTGATAAATAATTCTTCAAAATAAATAGTCTTACAAATAATATAATCAAAATTCAAATTCATTCAACATTGTTACAAATCTAAATTATTGAGCATATAAATAACCCCCCGATTACAACATAAATAAAATTCAATTGATTGTGAACATAGAGCCATTTATTAATATAATGACATAATTAAAATGACTAATTTTCATAATCGCGCACGTCTTGTTAGTCTGGTCATAGGTCTAACGAGGAGCAAGGGGAAATCCCTCCTCTTCCGAAATTTGTCAGTATCCATAAATATCATTTTAAGCTCATATAAATAAAATACACCCGAGGTGAAAAAACAAAATAATTTTTATAAAAATCGAATGTAGCCGAAGACCTACAATAACTGGATCTCCAATAAAATTTATATGAATAAAACCTCAGTTAATACTACTTTGGCTACGCCTATAAATCCGGTATTGCATGATTTAACAATGTAGCAAATTTATTGAGTCATATATTTTCAGTAATCGTTATTTATTTCTTGAAAAATAAAATCTTTTTTTATAAAAATTTATGTTGCCCTGCTATTGGTAGTTAGTGCGAATTCGCGGCTAAATATGCAAAAAATAAATGTAAAATTATCTTATTCTATACTTCGCTGCGATTCGCGTTAACTGGAAACGCGGGGTTACTTCGAGTTAAAAAGGCGATTTTCGAAAAAAAAATGATTAAATATGCATAAATATATCAACTTACTTTAATTATAAATATACAAACCCCGTATTGCATAGATACCATTTGAGTGCATAGCATAGATTCAATTATAAAATCCTTTATTCATTTTATTAACTCAACTAACTACATTTTTACAATAACAATTTATCAGGAACGCAATAAAGGAGATTATTATTCTATACATTTTATTCCTTTTCATTGGTATATGAAAGTTAAGCTTTATAAGGCGACATAACAAGTCCTCGATTTCGTTATACCATTTGAGTGTATATTTGACATAGATTCAATTATAAAATCCTTTATTCATTTTATTAACTCAACTCTAACTACATTTTTACAATAGCAATTTATCAGGAACGCAATAAAGGAGATTATTATACTATACATTTTATTCCTTTTTATTGGTATATGAAACTTAATGAAAGTTAAGCTTTATAAGGCGACATAACAAGTCCTCGATTTCGTTAACCTGACAAATCAAAGATGCCGCTAACATTTCTCACTAACTTTAAGAGTTTATGGGTCCCGCTATTTTTTAGAGTAAAAAAAACAACTTCTCTTGAGCTTATAGACAAATTAATTTCATACAAAATCGACTCAAAATATTAAAGGCGCTCTCAAATTGGCCTCCTTATAATTAGCTGTCCACTGATGAGACCTACAGAAAACCCCTTCCATTTTAACAACAATCACTCAATAACCTTATTTTCATTGTGCTTCTGATTTCATTTCAGATGAAGTAAGGAAGGCAATTCTATCTAAGGAGATTCCACTCATGACCTTGATGGGATCAGGCCCATATTCCTCTAGGATACAACTTCTCGGTTGATAAACTGACAAACCTCCATCCTTTAAAATTACAAACTTCTGCAATCTTATGTGGTGAGCTTTGTCTCCTGCATTCATTTTGAAGTTAGACATTGTCTTACATAAGCCTAACTAAAATATCATACCAATAGCCATTGTTTCAACATTCCGTCTCTTTGTATAATGATTATATTCAGGATTAGATATGAGGCCTATTTTTCTCACCCCATTCAATTAGAGGTAGGAGTTATTGGAGGCTGTACATCTTTCACGTTCTCACTTGTAGAGCAATCCTACAAATAGAACATTTTTCAAAATTGATTTTGCTGTTGCATACAACACCCTCTCCCGTAACTCATTCTAACAATTAATGAGCATATAATTCTATACACCAAATTCCTATATTCCTGTTATTAATTCCCATCCATTTTGCAATTCAACTCTCAACCAAGGGCATCCAACAAGATTAGGTTCCCTTGTATTTTATCTGGGAATCAATAAGGTAATCCAAACCATTCAAAATGCCCTATTTAAGTCATCTGGTAAATAGTCAACGGAATCATTAACTTAATCGTAAATCAATAAGGCCATAGACATAAAGGAAATAAGATGGCTGTTGGTTTCATTCTCAACACCATAAAATCCGACTTTGTGCAAGTAACTCCGATCAAAATCCCCTCAATTTCAACAACCTCCCAGGCAAAGATAAACCTTCTAGATTCTCCTATTCACTGCAATTAGCGTTTTCCTCCTCCCCTCTACTCTAAATATTTTGCTTGAGTTTAGTGGCATTCTTGATTTACTAATTAAGTCATTATTTCTCCTGATAAACTTCTTTAACATTCCAATCCTTTTTGCTTTATGCTCAACTTCCATTTTCAAATTTTCTATCACTCTTAGCATATATGAAATGGGATAAAATAACTTGAACCTAAATTCCACTGAAACAACATAGGCAGCTTCATTACCCACCAAATGTCATGGTTTGCGGATATCTCCCACCGATCTTGCTCTTATTGCACATATTTCGAGCAGCCTACTTTCTAAACCTTTAATCATTTCCCAAAAAAATGACTTTTTCTAGGAGAAATTATTATAGAAGACACGTGCTGTTGCTCGCGCCGTGTTGAGTTGACACTTTTTTGGTTATGTTATTTTCATATGTTTTTTAAATATGTTTTTTTTGGATGAAGTGTCAAGGCACGGAAATCATCAAATCTGCGTTTTTGTGATAAAATGATGGCAGGTGTGTTCATCTGGTGCAACTTGGTTATAAATTAAATTGATATATATTTCTTTTTTAGATCATTACTAACATCAAAATTTGCTAACTATTTACAACCAACAGAATATACTAATTTAGCATAGAGATATGAAAATTTTAAATTAAAATCGGTCTTCCCTTACCTTATAATGTTATTAAATATAGCTGTGGTTTATGGGTGTGGGCTGTTAATCTTTGTCCACTATCTTTCAATCAGCTCACAGACCTTTAAATAATGGTCATTGAACTATTATGGGTACAAGTACGTGTGGCTTACCCACAAACGGGTAAAAAACTTCTCATATCTTTTCCCAGATTTTTTATAGGGTTAGGGTTAGGGTTAGGGTTAGGGTTAGGGTTTTAATGAATGTGGCATTCGCCAGCGTCTACATGAGCGGAGGGGTAGGAACAGTTCGCGTCCTATTTTTTCGAGAAAAGGGGGGGGGGTAGGGGGTAGGCTGCTTTAATGGGGGTAAGGGATAGGCTGCTTTAATGGGGGTAAGGGATAGGCTGCTTTAATGATGGTAAGATAAATTTTTTGGGGGGTTATCTATTAAATTTTGAGATGGAATAGGACAAAATTTATTGCTGTAAAAATTATTACTTTTATAATATAATTATTATAATACAATTCATCTACCAAATCTATATATTGCAAACAATCATACACATTGTTTTCCAAATAAAACTTTCGGCTATCATTTTAGCAAGCTAATAATGCCATAATAATTAAATCATTGTAAATAATGGAGGTTTTAATTGAATTTATTATCTAAATAATAAATTCTTATTCACAAAATATCGATAGTTGGTACTAGAGATAGATTAATTTAAGTTATCCTTTAAAAATTCTCTTAAAAGAGTATCAATAAATTTAAAAGGTAAAAATAATAATAGGGAGACACCGCTGCCGAAGCCGGTAAATTTTTTTAGGGGGGTAAGCAAAGGTTTTTGAAGGAGGTTTGCATCCAGTGAAAATCCTGTAATGTAGACGCTGGCATTCGCTTATAAAATTATTTATCAATATTAATTATTGCTAGGTTATAGTAAAAAAAATTAAGTGAAAATTGAGAAGAAAAAAATTGAGAAAAGGTCAGAAAAATAAAGATTAACAATGACTTAAAGCAAAAATGGGAAGAAAATGATAAATTGAAGAAAAAAATTTAAGAAAAATTGACAAGAAAAAAATTTAAAAAAATAAGGATTTTCTTTTTTTTTAATTTTTTTTCCATCGGGTTTTTTTCCATCGGTTTTTTTCCATCTGTTTTTTTCCATCGGGTTTTAGTTCCATCGGGTTTTTTTTCCATGGGGTATTTTTTCCATCGGGTTTTTTTCCATGGGTTTTTTTCCAAGGGTCTTTTTTTCCTATTACCATATACGAGATAAAAAAAAAGTTAATGAAGTAGATGAGATAATAATCTTTTTGGATTTTTCATTTTGTTTTGCAATTATTATTCTATAACTTCTTCAGTAAGAAGCTCTCATTGACACGAATAAAGGGGTTTTCGGTGTATTTAAAAATTGATTTTACCTTTTTATTTTTATTTTTCCTTTATTTCCTATTTTTGCTACTTGGTAAAACAAAATTATCAACATTTCACAAGAAAAATTTTGATGATATATATGTGTTAGCGTCAATGTGGTTTTTCGGACAATGTGTTTATTTTTTTAACTTTAAATCATTTTTTGATCGTGTTTTTAAGTCCTCTGCTATACTGGGAGATTATATATGGAATATTAGGGGACATCGCTTGATTCCACCTATAAATATTTTTTTCAAAAAAAATTGGTATTTATATTTTAATAAAAATTTGGTCTTTGGTGCTGGCAAATAGTCTGATATAGATTTATTAACTTATGAGAGACTGTGAACCAATTAAAAAAAAATTTTTTTTTATTTGGGTTAATTATTATTTTGGTATCTGTTATAATTGAAAATAATTAACTAATGTAACAATTTGTTTTAGAAGTAAGTTTTATTACCCCCATTTACTCGTAACATATTATGCTACCAATAGCAATGCCCTCATTTGATCAGTAGTTTTTTATCTTTAAAAAAAAGCAATATATTTTTTTATGAATATTTTACGCCAACTAAAGGATTCTTCTTTATACAATTTTTTTTTTAATTATAAATAAAAATTTTAGATGATAGAAACACAAGATGAGAGGGATTCGATTATTAAAAACGAATTTATTTCCTATATTACATAACGAAATATCTATATATACATAATTCTAGCTTTTTATAACGATTACCAATTTGAATAATAAAATGGCACTGTTAATATATGGTGGTGTTGTATAAACATAGAAATGTTGAGAGAAAATTTATTTATTTATTATAAGATATAACTAACTAAAAAATAAATAATTTTTAAATATAAAATAAGATATATATGTAAATGTTTTATAAAAAAATAATTTAAACGAAAAACAAGGTTACAGGCTAAAAATTAAGTAAGGTTATTATTCAAATAATACCAATTAAAGTTATATAAAATATCAATATAAATTTAAAAAACAATCTCAATTAACATTCTCCTTCTTCTGAAAAGCCTTCCCATAATTCATCTTAGCGTCATAGAAAATAAATCTTGAAATCGTTGGCTTGATTCTATCACGTTGGTTTGTTTATATCAGAGTTGTTAAACGCTATTTTTGAAAGTAGCGCGCTACCGCTTTCGCTATTTGTCAAAAAAAGTAGCGCGCTATTAGCTACTTTTGAGCTACATCGTTATATAATATTTTAATATTTAATTTACTTCTTTTTTTTATGTTTTAATGTTAATTTTTATTTTATATATTTTTTTTAAAGTATTAATTTATATGTATTTTTTTTTTATATTTGACTTTCCTATCTTTAACATAATCTTTTAAATAATTAGGTTTTGACTTAATTTTTATTGGTCTCGTTGTTGATGTTACGTTTTCATTTTTATCTACGTCCACACTTCCTTCTTTTAAAAAAATTCTTTGGTTGAGAATCGTGGTATACAAATGTATTGCAACATTTTCTTTTTCTTAACTGGTCCAGATATCTCCTTGTAATGCCTTTATCTGTATTAACTTGGACATGGTGTCACTCCATGTATCATTTCCTTGTACTTTATACTACACAAAATCCCCTACTTTAAAAGTTCTATTAAATGATAACGTTTTATCTATTCTAATTTTTTTTTCTTCCTTCGGTTTAAATAAGATTTAGTTTTAATATCACGATTAAACATTCTATTAGATCATTTGGTGTATTTCTGTAGTTGAATAAGAAATTGTATGTGAAGTGTCTAAATCAATCTTAATATTTCTTTTCATATGTTCCTTAAACGTTCACACCGATAGAATTCGCGAGGGTTAAACTTGAATAAAATAAATATATTTAAGATTTTAATGGTGGCTATGTAAAAATGTAGCATTAGTATATGTTTGAATGTTCATGAATAAACATCAGAATTACGTTATTTTGATGAAATAATTTTTTATATTTAACATAATAATAAAAATTAATATATTAGATATTGCGACATTCCAACTGTTTTCCTTTTTTTTAAAAAAAAAGAAGAAGATATTCCTCCCCATACTTCAAGTTAGCAACTATTCCATAGTCTACTACACAATTGGTGCTTTTGCCAGAGCAAAGGATTTTTTCAAGGCACTCTGCCAAGAAACACGTTTAATTTCTGGCGATCCACAGGTATTTTTTGAATTTTCATTGGAAATTTATAGGTCTCATAGCATATCAATCCATGGTGCCATAACATAAATGCACCTCCTCATGTTTATTTTTTCAATATGTTATATTATTTTTATTTATATATAGCTTATATCTTTTATAGTAAATTATAATCGTTTATTAAATCTAAATAAATAATTGTTCACATTTATTGTTTGTCATTATGGTTTAGCTTGATTATCATCATCTCGTTAGCTCTAGATTTCGTTATTCGTTGTAATTATTTTTTGTTATCATTATCATTATTTTTTTTATTTATCGTTGAATTGAATAAATTGATATAAGAAATTGGAGATATATAAAATGATTTGAATAAATCGAATATTGAAATGAAATTATTAAAATTGGATGTGAAATTTAGAATAAATGTGTTCGTAATGATAGTGTATATAATTTAATTTCTGGTATATATAAAGAAATATATATATATTTTTAAATCTTTATTTCCTTTTTTTTGTGTAATCATTCAAAACTTCGCTCAATCAAAGAACAAAATAATATTATTATCAAGCACATCTCTAGTCAATTCCACTTACTAAGACAAATTACTATAAAGCTCTAGAATTCAAAAGATCCAATATATTTAAATTCTTGATTTTCAAGATATAAATTTCTTAATTTTTTCAAGAAATCTTCTCTAAACGATTGTAATCAACTAGCATTTACACAGAGATATCTTAAACTTAAAATTTATTTAACCCCCCCCCCTCCTCGCTCTCGCCTATAAAATAATTAAATTATATTGTAGTTCTCGGGTACTGGCTCTTTTTTTTGCCCCACACATTTTTATAAGCCTATAGACGTTTAAGCAACATTTTTCCAAATGTTACGCTTACAAGTACGTGCGGCTTGCTCATAAACATGTGTAGATTAGTTCCAATTAGATGGAAAATGAGGAAACCCTAGCGTAACTCTGTCTAACTCAACGCTAGATGGCAAAAGCGCAATATAATATCACGTATAATTTAATTAAACTTTTTACCTTTTTTAAAGAAACTCTTTTTTTATTTTTTAAACGCAAAGTATTTCAATCTAAAAAATTACAAAGAAGAATAATTATTATTTTTATCAAAAAAAAAATATTCATAAAAAAGTGTATAAAAATTAAATTAAAAACTAAAAGGTCACCTTATTCTCGATATTCCTAAAATTATCACTCCTGGATTTTATTTTGGACAAACATTGTATTTCTTCATTTAAGGCTTTCAAATTATTTTAAGTTTCTATATAATTAAAATGTAATTTTATATATAGAAAGAAATTACTTCATTTTGTGTCAAAACTATCTTTGATTGCATTGAAAATGCATATTAATTTTTTTTGTTATAAAAATGATTCAATTTAAAATATAATTATACATAGTTTAAACATAAAATAAGTATCTGGCAAAATTATTTTGAATCATAAAGTTTAAAAATAATTTATTACGTGATACGTGATGAAGCGCATTCGCCCTCTAAACGTTATAGGTTCAATAAATCCTTAGATCGGTTATTCCGAGAAATGGTAAGGACATTCTTGAATATTTCGATAAAAATTGCATCAATGAACTATCAAGGGAGGTCACAAGAAGCAATTCTCAATCCCAGACAGGTCGAATTGGGCTTCGATTTCTTCCAGAAACTTAAATCAGAGCACTCTATCCAACGAATAACTCATAAATAATCAATGCGAAGGTTCGAATCATCGTTTTTCTAATCTGGTTGGGAATAAACACCCATCAATCTGGGTATTGAATAAAAAAATAAAATAGGTGGCTGCCGATGAAAACTTGAACGATGGCGTGTAGGTAGTTGGACACCGAAACCAATATCGCAGTGCTTAAACAAGAAAAAATGCTGACATTTAAATTGGTACTGGAAAAAAAAATATCCCAGTTAAATAACCCATGTATTACTTATTTTCGTAAATTTTTTTACTTTAGTAATAAATACAATATCCGTCCTTAAGTACTCTATTAAGTAGACTAAATTTCACAAAATTTGCAATAAGATCTGTTTATTTTATTGAAAAATCATTATTATGTATATAATTTATTATTAAAATCTATTTTTATATTATTTTTTTCTAAAATACTAATTTGTCAATACCTTATTAAATCCAAATAAAATTATACCGATATTATTAGATCTTAAGTAAATTCGCTGGGGGATTTTTCCAGGGGGTTTTTTCCAGGGGGTTTTTTTTCCGGGGGTTTTTTTCTGGGTGTTTTTTTCCGGCATTCACATATATCAATATATCCATATATATAATTTAAAAATTTAATTAATATTTAATTTTTTTAATTTTTAAGTTAACTCAGAAATTCATATATATTCGAAATCACCAAATTTCCATTTTAATGATGTATATATCGATATATATAATATTAACTTTCAGATAATAATTAATAATATATATATAATTTAAAAAAATATTTAGATGGTACGAATGTCAAATGATAAGATCTAAAGCTGTTAATTATTTGTCGAAGCAATGTAAAAAGAGTAAAAGATTCGTAGATGTTTAGACAGATGTATCTTAATGCATTAGGAGAAAAAAAATAATGTTAAACTGAACAATAGAAATTATATACGAGAATTCAAAATCTATCAAATTTCGAATTTATTGAAGGCCATTTGTAATAATTTTACGAAAAATATATTGCACCACATGTAAACTAAGAATATTTGAGACTAAATTTTGGAACTAATTATAATTTCAGGTAGGTTCTTTATGTATCGTAAAATAAATTTCCGATCAAATCAGATTTTTCAAATTTGAAGATCGCCTTCGATTAATTTAAGATAATCAGAATCCCATGGATTTCATACAATTGGAGACTGTCTAATTAATTTAAAATTCTTAGCCATTTATAATTAGCTCTATTATGATATTAATTATAACTTTAATATTATATGATCAAATATATTTAATTTAGTAATAATTATTTTATATTTTTAAATTAGGAGATCATAATATCCGAGTTAAAAATATATAATATTGTATTAACACATGTTTAACATTCTCATCCGTTTAAATTTATTAAAATATTTAAATCTCTAAACATTCACTATGAAAGTATTATTAATTTTATTATTTTATATATTATTAATTATGTGTTATATTATATTAGCTGAACGTGGCATATCCAGCTACTGGAGCTCAAAAGATGATCGAAATTGATGATGAAAGAAAAATGAACATATTTTATGAAAAGAGAATGGCTGCTGAAATTAATGCCGACCCTCTAGGGGAGGAATGGAAAGTGAGTAGATATATTTAATCTTAAAACAATATATCTCTTTAAAAATATATTTGTGATAAGTATTAATTTTTTCTTTGATATTGTCAAGGGATATGTATTGAAAATCTCAGGTGGTAATGACAAACAAGGGTTTCCTATGAAACAAGGTGTTCTGACTAATGGCAGAGTTCGATTATTGCTGTCAAAAGGGCACACATGTTATAGACCTAGAAGGAAAGGTGAAAGAAAAAGAAAATCAGTTAGAGGTTGTATAGTTGACTCCAACCTTAGTGTATTATCACTTGTTATACTTAAAAAAGGTGAATTTATATATATATTATAGTTCTGTAATATAGTAACATATTTTTGCTTATGAAATAGATTTTAACTTTAGATTAAATTTTAATAGGTGTCATAAATTCATTACATATATATTAATTATATTTAAAGGTGAGAAGGATATTCCAGGCTTGACTGATAAACAAATACCCAGAAGGTTAGGACCCAAAAGAGCAAACAAGATAAGAAAACTTTTTAATTTAACCAAGGAAGATGATGTCAGACAGTATGTTATCAAAAGGCCTCTACCTATTAAAGAAGGTTAAAATTAAATGTTTTGCATCTTTTTTATAAAATATTAACATTTTTTTATGTTTTATCTATATATTTTATAAATTGTTCTATTTTCCATAAATTTGTTATTTGCTTTTTCAGATAGAAATTTATATTATGAGAGCCCATTATATATTCAAACTTCATAGATTAAAAAAAAATGTAAATATCCCTTTCATTTTAAACAAAGTTAATTTTAAGAATACTATTAAAAAGTTTAGTTATATGTTATTCAATAAATAAACAAGGTAAAATATTTGATTATTTTATATCAATGACTTTGATATATATTTCTGAAAGGTAGGTGCTTAAGAAGAAAAAAATTTTTCTCTTCTAACATCAAAATATTGCTTGAAATTCCTAAAAAAATATTGATGATACTACAAATGAAGTCTGATAAATATTGTAATATCTTTCTTTTAATATTTTAGAAAATACTTTCTTTTTATATTTCATTAAAAGTTATTTTTAATCCTAATTATCAAATGGATTCTCATATGGCTTTTTAAAATTATTTATTCTTAAAAATACATTAATAAATTATTTAACAATTCAGAGACATGCAGGCACAGGCAGGCCTTATATTTTAAAACTAAATATTTGAAGTTGTCATGGCTATAAATATCAAAAATAAATATAATATATTTTTTTAAATCCAGGCCATGTTTGTAAAAAACAGATGGGTTGAGGGTTTGAGGCTTAAATATTACCATAGCTGATTTCACAACCAAAAAAGAAAGATGGTGAATACAAACTAGACATTTTTTATTAATAAATTTATAAAAATTTATACAATATTTAACTACTAATATAAAAGTTTAATATATAAAAGTAAAACATGTATAATTAAAAACAAATTAAAATGATAATTTATGTAATAATTATATATAAAATATTTAAATATATCATAATCATCGATATAATAAATTTTTAAATGATTTCATTTAATACCAGAATGTAGATAATCTGGCATCTAACATGTTGACTTGTCAGGTGTAAAAGATAAGTTATTGACCCGTCAGATAACTTTCCCCATTATTTTCTATTTTTACCTAAAATACAATATTAAAAACGTAGAGGGAAAAGTAACTTCAAAATAATTTTTTCATATGCCTGAATGATTAATTTTAAGGTATTTTGTTTTTCTCTCGCTTTCCTCATTCCTGATGTCCACTTTAAACACCAAATTTTAATTATCATCATCAGATAGTTTTTCCTAATTACCATATATATCTCATCTGCAAGTTTCTTTTTCTGGATAGGCAATTCATTAAAGGTACTATCAGATAATTTTTTTAAATTGGATTAAGATAATCCTTAACTATGCGCATACTAAAATTTAGTGTGGTTATTATGCTTGTAAGTCCATGCTACTTATTTGTAATAAATTGTCATTCAAATTCAAATCTAGTTCTTTTTGAAGATATCCACCGAACCCTTCAGATTTGAAGCTATATTAAACTTTACATTGATAGTGAAATGTGTATATATATTTATGAAGGTCTTTAACTGTGGATAACTAAATTTTGAAAAGTTGACATAATTCAGTAAATCACATACGAAATTATTTTTTAATAACACTTTAATTATTTCTATGCTGTGAAATTTATTTTTCTAATTGTAAGTATTTAAATCCGTTTACATTAGGTAAGTTATAATAACATTTATTTAAATTGTAAGCTCTTTATTTTTTGAAATTAGCAGATTTTATAATTTTTATATAGATCATACTTAGGGAGCACCTGGATTTTTTCTATAAACTTATTTAAATAAAACCTATGATTAACCAAGACATATGAAAAGTGTAATAATTAATTAATCAATTGTTTTAAGTTAAAAAGATATTGAAATTGATTATTTGAATAAAATAATGTTTAGATTTAGATTCTGCATTTTATTTAACAATTATCTCCTTCCATATATATATTTAGATGGACATGAATCAAAAATTTTATGTCAAAATATAATTTTCACAAATTCTGAATTTAAATGACAATAAAATTTAAAAATATCCTTTAATGGAATGTAATATTTAATTAGTAGGTAATATGACATTCAGAATCTATTCACATGATATAATGTTAATATTAATTTTCTCAAACTTTAACACATTTAAAAAAAACTACATTTTAAAATATATTATGCAGTCAAAAATTTCATGGATGGAAAAGATGTAATCTATTTTACCAATCTTTTCCTCACAAATATTACAACATTCACCCACAATGTAAATATCGAATCTGCTATATAATTTTATTATCCCAAAAAAATAATAATTTCAACTTTTATAAATTAACATTTTTTACAATTTTTAATAAAAATATTTGAAGAACAATTGAATCTGAGGAAGTGCATTATATAAGTTAATAACTATGAATAAACTTAAAGAACAAATTGGAGCATACTTTATCAAAGCAAATCTAAAACATCAAATTAGAAAAATGGATCCCCTCATTCAACTCCATCCTAATGCTCTACCAACATTTCAATCTGTGAAAACTATTATGAATTGGTACATTATTAAACGCTAAATTTAAATATAAGATGTGGAACGTGTATGATATTCAAGGAGTAAGAACAAATAACCATTTTGAAGGATTTCATTGTTCTCTAAAAGAGTATATAACATATTCTCACATTCATATCTTTTTATTGATATATTAAAAGAAATAAATGGGGGAAAAGTTAGAAAAAAAAAATACTGTATAATAGACAAGAAGCATTTTTATATTACACTACCTATACACCAATGCAGTATTTAGATAAAATATTAAGATAGATAATATCGAAAAAAAATAATATAATGAAAAAGAATTTAGTCAGCTGGTATAACCATTCAGTACACAAAAATGACACAAGCACTCTGATGGCCCCTTAGCAACCATTTTTAATTTGGCTTATTTCTATTTATAATATTTTATCATGTATATTATTTGGATAATTATCTGAACCTGGCCATTATTCAATATATCAAACATAACACCATTTTTTTTCAATATTTCATAAGTTTTTAGTTTATTCAAAAAATCAAATATTCTTCAAAGATATTTCTGTGTATTTAAATCTTTACTTTCGCATTTCTTGAATAAGATATTTAATATCGAACAAAAATAATAAAATGAAATCTAGTCAGTAGGTATCTCATTATATTTTTCTAATATTAAATATCTTGATATTTTATCTAGATACTGCATTGGTGTATAAGTAGCATAATATACAAATGTTTCTCATCTATATTATACAGTATTTTTTTTCTTTCGGTAACTTTTTTCCCATTACGCAATTGGATGACTTTGATATCCATATCTTGTTGTATTTGTTTTAATATATCAATAAAAAGATATAAATGAGGATGAGAATATGTTATATACTCTTAGAGAATGATGAAATCCTTCAACATGGTTATTTGTTCTTACTTCTTGAACATCATACATGTTCCCCATCTTATATTTAAATTTAGTTGGGTTAATCCAGTACTTGTATGTAAAATGATCTCTTATGGGATCTAAATTAAAGGCTTGTACTTCATTATTTAATTCAGACAATATCAATGGTATGTCCATTTTGGTTAAGAAGTGTATCACTATTAGTCTGCCATAAAATCTCTTAAAATCAGGATTAAGACAACTAAGCTGTCACCTATTACCCTATATACGTCTTTAAATACATTGACAATAAAAAAAGTAGAAATGGTTGGAAACATTTCTTTGAGTGCTGTAAATACTCCCATTTTGAAATCTATAAGTGCTTTAGGAGGAGAAAAGAAAACACCTATAGATCAACAATAGTTTTTTAAAAGATTCGACATTTTAAGATACGTTTCTTTGTTTTTATTTGGCAATAATATATGCTAGCAAGGAATTATTGTATGATTAATCATTCTATGAATAGTGTTTAATTGTTTAAATAATAATGGACACGAAGAAAATGTACTGTTCATCAAAATTTGGTCGGCACTAGAGAGGCTTTCAAGTAGTTCAGTAGAAAATATTAATAATTCATTATTTTCATTACAAATTAAAAATGTTTCATTATCTAGTGTTTTATAATCGGAAATCGAATTCATAAGAGGCAAAGGAGGTCTCAATGATTTAATAACATGAATCATAATAGTTTTGACAGATAGAAATGTTGGTAGAGCATTAGGATGGAGTTGAACGAGGGGATCCATTTTTCTATACACATAATTGATTATATGTTTTACGTTTGCTTTGATAGGTGTATGTTGAATTTGTTCTTTAATTTTATTCAGAGCTACTAAAATAGCATCTGCTCTTCCTCAGATTGATATTGATCAGGATGGTTGTAAATATATGTCAATGTAACCTGCATATTTAATAATGTAACCTGCATATTTAATAATGTACCTCTTGCATACAATGTCTTAGTCAACATAAATAAAAATCCTAATTTTTGGTGTATATATATAGTAGATATTTATTTGAACAAATAAATTACGTTTTTTTGGGAAAGAATAAAATTATATGGCTGTTCTACATTCAAATATAAGGACTGAATGTTATTGACTGATATGGGTAAACAGCTACAATGAAGATATTGACTACATCTTCATCTATAAAACTTTCATTAATACTTTCCCCAGCTTTTTGTGCAGGATTGATCACGAAGGCACATATCTTGATTTTCCTCCAACTATATACCAGCAATCCCCACATCACTCTCCCCAACCTCTTGTGCAGGAGATCTAGAAGGCACGAATTCTTTTGATTCCTAAGAAAAAATATATTAACAAAATATGATTAACTATTTTAGAAAATTTTATGAGAATATTTCATATTATTTTGTAAAATACTTCATCTTCTTGCAGTCAAATATTTGCAAATATCTAGAAAATAATAAATCACATCTTGTATATTAAATAATTTACCACTGCATTCTGCTGTCACAATGAATACGTTATTTACTTTATAACCTTTCCCAGGGCAGGTTGGAGATGTACAAATATAATAAAAAATATAATGAATTTAATTTTTGTAATATTTTGATCTTCTGTATGAAGAGTATCATTGGAGATTATTACAATTATGGTATCGAGTTAATGACTTTACTACCTAATTTAAAGAAGAGTATAATAAAAAAATTATTTACCACAGCACATCTAATCAAAACTAAGAAAAATATATTAATTAAAACCAATTACCTTTGCCAAGGTTCACACAAACTTGCTAATATTGAGTGGATAATTATAATTTACTAAGTTTAGAAAAATATATATAAATGTTTATTATGTAAAATATTATGATTAAAACCGATTATAACAAATTTATTTGATTATCATTAAAAAGCTTAAAATGAATTTTCCTTTTTCTAATCCAATAATATTTTTAAGCCTACAAATTATTTTATTGGTTGTTTTGGCTATTAATTTTTATAATTTTAAACGAAAGATTGATGACTTGTGTATATTGTTTAATATTTGTTATATCTATTTTAAAACTAGGTGCCAAATCCACCAAGCCTCGCTTCAAAGCCCCTAAGATACAACGGCTTGTCACTCCATCGAGAATCCAAAGAAAACGTCGTGAAATGGCTGAAAAACGACATCGCGCCACTCGCCGTGAAGCGGAAGCGGCAGAATACGAGCGAATGCTGCAGACCATTCGACGGGAAAAAATGGCTCGTCGAAAAACCGAACACGACTCTCGCAAACGCAGAAGGACGGCCACTACAACAGAAAGTGATAAGGAAGCTAGTTCCCATATGTCAAAACGAAAGATCGTGTCAGAAGCAGAAAAAAGTAAAAAACAGGAAACGACAGAAAAGAAGCAGACATTGACAGAAAAAAAGCCCACAACGACAGAGAAAAAGCCCACAACGTCAGAAAAAAAGGCGACAACTGATAAAAAACAGGTACCAGCGAAATCCTCAGTTCCAGCTGGCGGTAAGGTCAAAAAGGCTAAGGGCAAGAAATGATACTGAGATAAAATTATATCATTTTGCAAAGTGTCGACCATATTATAAATATAATTTATCTTGAATGAATAGCGTTTTTATTAAACATGTTTATAAAAGATATATCGAATATTTGGGATAATAAAAATCGAAACAAAAAAAATATGTTTAAATATCTGTCTATAAATTTGTCCTCCAAAGAGTCGAATAATCATATGTATTCGATTTCAATTATTTTTTTTAAAATAAAATTTTGACCTTGGGCTAACCCTAAATGTTTAAGTTAAGTTTTACTGTCGTTATAAATATATTTTACAGTAACGCCGATTTGTATAATGTGTTAAATAAGTCCCGCCAGTTTTATAAAATGTATAAATATCTTTGTTTATAACAGTTTAAATATTTTTAAGAAGCTAATTATTACCGACGTTTTAAATATTTTTACACGTTTTCTTTTATCTTATTAATGACCAGTATTTTATTTAGTCTTCATTTTTACCCAAACGCAATTCTACACAATTTTTAGGAAGTAGTTGAATAGATTATTAAATTATTATTGGAATGAGGCTTTTTAACTTATTTTTAAAAAAAAATTATCGAAAATCTTATTAATTGATAAGATATATATTTAAACATTATTTTTTATAATATCTATATAGGTATGAATGTGACTTTTACTCTTTTTTTATAAATCAACATAATGTTACCTAATAAATTTTAAATTATAATCGTATTAAAGATATTAGATTGTAAATTAATTGAAAAGGTTTTAAAATATAATCAAGTTGCAAAAATTATTAAATTTAATTAAAATAAAATTTCTTAAAAATGTTGATCGGTCAGGATTCTTAACCTATGGGAAAAATTAAATGTACCTACGAAAAGGATTTTACAGTAAGAGTTCTTGTAAAAAAAAATTTTAAATTAAATGATTAATTTTATTTTAATACTCATTTGTAAAATAATTGTAGTTTTGCATTTTATTAAATGAATATTTTTTAAATAAAATATGTGATTAGTTTATTGTAAATCAAAAAAGTACCAATTCAATTCTCCCTTATTATTTATACTATAGCAATTATTTTTATCTTATGCCGGTTATCAAAGCTTAAGTAGTTATAATTGTTTTTTTAATTATCCATTAAATTTGTTTTTGTAATGACATTCAAATTTTAAATTGTTTTTTTTTGTTAACGTTGAACTATACAAATATTGTTAATGACTTTATACAAGTTACAATTTATTTTGAAAGGTCATTTTATTACCTTCAGTGATAATTTAAATTAAATATTTTAACAAAAACAACGAATTTTATTTGTATTTTCAGTGAAAAATAAATTTGATGTTCATGAATTTATTATAATATATCATGGGATTCTTTGATAAAATAAATCTGATTTTTATTATTCCTACTAGTATTATGTAGACTTTCAGAAAACAACAACAGCAAATTCGTGATTTAATTAACGATCAATTTTTATATTATGGAAGATTTCTCGTTTCCCTATTGGAGATTTCTTTACCCCTGTCTTATTTGATAAATAGTTTTGAGTTAAATTTTTTATAAGAGTGTATTTTTGATATTAGTACTAACTATTATTATTTTATGATATAACATACCACTATAGGTGGTACGGGTGGTACGTCAATAATATATAAAATCTTAATTGCTTTCATCATATTACTCTGGTTCTTTTTCTTTAGTTTCTAAATTTCAAACATGACTACCGTGTAAATAACTCAAAGCTTCAAAATAATTTCCTCTAACTGAAGCATATACTTGTATATTTTAGATAAACAATACTGATCAAGAGTGTAGTCGTTTATATATCATTAAAAATGTAAGATAATCTTACAGAAATTTAATATCTCACAATAATTCTCTCGATTACTTTTCTAGCATCCATCATGTTATTTAAAAGGAAACTCTAATTTATGATTTGGATTGGTCGTTTATATTCTCTTCAAGAATTGTTGATTTGGTTAGTCCTATAAATTTTTACTATAAAACATTGTCTAAAATGATAACTGAGAGTTATATTAGTTTCATGACCTTTTATCAAAGTTGCTAAGAATTATATTATATTATGTAGTTTTTAGAAACCATCATCAATTGAGGCATATGTATGAAATAATTAACCTATTTTATCACTTGTAATTCTTTAGTAGAAAATTTTTTTTATATTAGCAATCGAAAATACTTTATACTGTAATAAATAGATGTTGTAATATAAAAAATTATTTTTATAAATGTCTTGTATTGTTTTAATTATTTATATCTAATTTATTTTTCCTGCATAATATAATTAGTGTTGATAAACGACTAAGTCGAGTCGACTTAGCCTAAAATCTAGTCAAGTTTGAGTCGCAAAACTCATTTCAATTTGAGCGGCTCAATGAGCCGCATGAGTCGGCTTCAGAGTCGGCTCGATGAGTCGGCTTTAAGTAAACAACTATAATGAGTATAATATATAGAGGGACTCTGAAGCCGACTCATCGAGCCCACTCTGAAGCCATTGAGCCGCTCAATTTGAAATGAGTTTTGCGACTCCGACTTGAGTTCAGAGTCGTAAAAACTCGACTATTTAACAACACTAAATATAATATGACAAAATATGAAATTCAAAATAATTGTTCAGAGTAATGTTGTTAAACGGCTCTTTTTGAGCCGATTTTTAAAAACGATAACTCAATATTTCATCTTGAATAATATTAAGCACTGAAGATTTTATTTGTAGAAGGAATAAAGGTTTGAACATCTATTAGCAAAATCTCAAGGCTTAGGCAATATTTTTCTGGCTAAAATATTGAGTTAGCTTAGCTGTTTTTAAAAATCGGCTCAAAACGAGCCGTTTAACAACACTAGTTCATAGTTAGCAAATTTTAAAAAAGTATAATATATTAATATAAAACCCAACCGAAGGCCGGGCAAAAGCGAAAAGGCGACGCCCCTGCCTTTTAACAACACGAAATCGGATGATAAACAATGGATCCATGTGATAAAAGGCACTGTGTGTTTTTAGGGAGTTGATAAACTTACGCCAAATGGCGTATTAGCAAGAAATAAAAGCTATATTTTTTCTTATTTATACGCATTTTCCGAATCGATAAAAAGTTACGAAGTTAAATAAACGAAGTTAATTACTCAATGTTTTTTGATGATGTTCGCAATAGTTCTTAGTTCTTACTAAAGGTATATTGTTGATATAGACAAATTTATAAACCTTTTTAATTAATTAATAAAAAAATCTTCTTTACATTTTTTGAAGGATCTTTAAGTGACCTAGTAGAGGTAGAGTTTGTACACTCTAACTCAAAGTTAAAAAATTGTAATTTTTTACAGTTAATTAATTGTAATTCTTAAAAATCATGATTAATTTACTTTTTTTTAATATTTAAAGCTATAGATGAAACATTCATTAAAATCATTCAACATACATTTAAACATTTTTATAATCCAACTACCAATATCTAGAGAAAATATGCCTCTAAAATTTAGTGTCAGTAAAAAAAAAAGTCCCCCATAATATAGGAAGGGTGCTAACTGTTCCATCACAGATGGAAACAATTGAACCAGTTGGGAATTGTTTTTACTGGTAATTTAAAAATCATAAAAATTTTCCTGATTATATAGGTTAATATTTTATAAATTATAGTTGTATTTTTTTATACTAATATTCATAGGATATTGTTTTGTTTCTTTCTTTACCTTCAATTTTAATGATTATATCCTATATTAATTCAGAACATAGTTTTTTTTAAGCATGATTGATTTTTAGATAGTAATATTTAATTTTTTTTAAAAAAATAATTAGATCTATAAGTATGGATATTACAGGAAAACAAGACTCCTATGGTTTGATTAGATAAAATATGGTCTTGCTGATGCTGCAAAAAAATATATAAGATTATGCTTAAGGTCAATATACATGTGAAGATGATGTGCAACAGTATATAATAGAAAAGGTAAATAAGAATGCTGAATGGGTAATGATGCAAAGTGTTGCCACATTTCTCAATACCCCGATTATGGTGTATGCTAACTATGGAGCTTCATTTTGCTGGCAAATGTATCAGCTATTTAAATATGATGATGGAAATATAAAAAACATTTATATTAACAATTCTGGATCCCATTGTTAATGTTATTGATTTTGAAGATTAATTACAAATGTTGATAATTTTACTAAAAGTATTTTAGTTGGTTGTATTTGTCTAGTTTTTATGCATATTTCTTTTTTTTCCTATTTTAAGCATATTATAAATAAATATATAGAAGGAAGATATCTTTTTTAATCATACCATTTTATATCATTTCATTATAACACCATAATCACACCAATTATTATGTTTACTTTAAATTAATTTGTATTACTTGTACAATTTTTCCCAAATTTTAAAAATAAATTTGGAAATTTTTTTAAAATCTGAATTAATCTTTTTTTTTAAATCATCAACTCAAAAATGACTATATTAAAAAATTTAGTATATAACATGAATATCATTTTTTTAAATAAAAAGTTGCCACCAAATAAGTTTTAATAAAGTGTTAAAATTCATAATGAATATTTTAATGGCAAAAATTTTGCCAAAATGCATAATTTGACCAGTTTGAAGTAATTCTAGAAACCCTGAAGAACCATAAGAAAATCTCAAGAAGTCTTTTAGAAATTGGTATAAATATTTTCCAAATGGTCATAAGTTTTTAAAATTATATTAATTTAGGTAAATTAATTAAGAAGATTATGAGACCTCATTAAGAATAATTTATTTTTCTAAACTCTCTTTATTAAAAAAATATCAAAAGATATATTTTATAAATTTCAACATAAATTAAATAAAAAATATTCATATAAAAAATGAGCAATTGTTTGTAGATTTAAAACTTGCTAGGGATTGTGTGTGTCAATTTTATAGAATTAGTAATCACAAAGTAAGAACTTTAATGTTTCCAAGTAACCTTTAAAATAAGACGTACAATATAATTAAAAGGTATTTCTTTATATTTATTATTTTCTCAATATTTCTAAATTTCCTAATTCATTGCCATCTTATTTTTATTTTATATATCAAAAATAAACAACTATAATTACTTAGAGTGACCAAAATTTAAAAAAATGATATATAACATAACTGAAAAGATGGCAATAAATTCAGAGGTAAGTTAATTGAATTTTGTTTACGATATTATTTATACATCCAGTTTCTTGACCACTTCGTAACTTTTTATCGATTCGGAAAATGCGTATAAATATAAAAAAATATAGCTTTTTGAAGAGAATCATGATAAACGTGCAAGTATGTAAAAATATATTTTATTATTATTTACTTTATCTTTTTTTCCTCATTTTCTACTTCGTATATATACTACATCAAATTAGAATATAAACAAAAAAACAAAAAGTAAGATTACAAAAAATAAAAAATAAGGATACGAAAAATAAAAAGTAAAGTTACAAAATTAGATTATAAAAAGTTTGTATGCAAAAAAAAAAAATGTAAAAGTAAGGTTAAAAATTAGACTATAATGTAACACTTTTATTTCTTGCTAATACGCCATTTGGCGTAAGTCTATCATCTCGCTCTCTTTTTAGCCTATCATAAATTAATCACTAAAGTGATTCATCAGCCACCTTGAACTTCGTGAGACCTTAAAAATACATATAAGTTGCTTCACACTGCTTAATAGCTCTATGTGTTTTATAGATATTCCTAATGTAGTGGGATTTGTATCTAATAAAATATAGTATTTCTCGATATCTAATATAAGCCCTAACCCTTATCTATGTAGCATTTCCATAATCGAAGTACAAAGCAGTTCACAAGCTTGTTGTTAGGAACCTGAACAATTTTGTTCGATAAAAGTAAAAGATACTTATCTCTGTCTCATAGATTTCACCTAATATGTTGGGAAATTTAAAATATAACAATCTTTTAGCAACTGCTATTACAATTCACAAAATCGTTACATGACAAAAAACAAATCTAGCTGGGATAAAACCAGGTTAAATTTATTAGCTTCCTGCAATAATTACCAAAAAACCTCACGCATATAAAATAAACAGAGTCCACATTAGTTCCTAATCAAATTGTAATAAGCCAGGATTGAGCTTGGTTAAATATTAAGATTGCCAGTGTTTACATGAGCGGGAGTATTAACAGTCTGCATCCATTTTTTGAAGGGGGTAGGTTAGAGGTAGGATAAATCTATTGGGGGATTATCTATTAAATTTTTAGTTGAAATAGTGTATTACTGTAAAAATAAATATATTTATTATAGATCTATAGATAAAATAAATATTGCTAAAGGTCGACCATCTGTATATTGCACACAATCATAGATGTTATTTCCCAAATAATACTATTCTAATAATTTTCTGCTATCCTTATAAATGTAACTTAAAAGGGTTAGACATTCTATTAGTAAACCCATATTCATGCCAAAATATATATTATAATAATGCATTTGTAAATGAGGGTTTTTTAAAATCAAATTCGTGATCTAAAAAATAAAACTATTACATTCACAATATTTTGATAATGGAGCATTAATAACTTTAATTATACTTTTTAAAATTTATGAAATTAATACCATTATACTTAAAAAATTGTAATTCATAATGTAAAAGTATCGCAGCTTTCGGCAGCGATATTTTTTTTAGAGGTAGGTATAGGTTTTTGAGGCTTTCAATGAATATAATGACATGTAGATGCTTGTTTCATTAATTAAAATGAAGCCTCATATACTTTTAATGATTATAGTTCAAATAAGTTTTTGATTTTAACCACGTTGTTCCGTTAAATAGATATGCAGCACAGCAAATAGCTAGTTTTATATCATAATTAAATTAATAAATAATTATAACTATTCTTAAATTTAAACTTATAAGAATAATTATAATATTCTTTAATTTATACATAAATCCTAATCATATGATATTTATAAATAACACATAAATTAAATAATTTTATTAAAAATATTATATAAATTTTTCTTATAGAAAAATAAAAATATTTACATGATCCTATTTATCTAGTCTATATATTAGCTTGAATGGACCACAACACAAAGTTTTTTTTATACCATAGTCTTAATATGTGACATCTGTTATAATATTAAAACTTTTTTCGGAAATTATTATAAATACTTAATATCTCATTAATTATTAATTTGAAGGTAATTATAAAATCCTCGAATTAAACAAATCTAAAATAATATGATATTCAATCAACAAAATATTTATATAAAATATTTAGAAATATTTTAGAAAAAAACTATTATATTACCACATATTCAGCTTGAAATTAATAAATTTTTCTTGACAAAAATGATAACTCAGTAAATTATGATTTTTAATATCTATGGATATTGGGATATATTTAAGCAAATTTAAGCACATCTTTTAATTTCTCTAGTCTACATTAGCTTTTAGATTGGACAGCAAAAATTAGTTTATGTCTGTTATAATATACATATATATATATTAAATTATATAAATAATGAGACTTTTATTGAAAACAATTATAAATATTACTGAAATTTCGATAAATATCCTTCAGTTTTAAATCTTAATTTTTAATCATCATAAGTAGTATACTTTAAAAAAATATTGAATCTAAGAAAAAATTATGATACTTTTAAGCTTGTTTTCTATTTTGTATGTTCTTCTGTCAATGATTGAATGAAGCAATTTATGATTTTAATCAAGATATTTTGATCATTCATTCAGAGTTTTACTTTCGATATAATGTCTTCAATATATCAGCTACCAGGAATAGAGAATGAGAAAGGTGGTCTAATATTTCCTCTGAAACGTAAAGATAATAATAAAGAGGCAAAATCATCATTATTTGGGCTGGATAAATTGGCCGAAAAAATCAAAAATGATAGTACGCCATACACAAATAGTTTCTCTTACAACGAAGACGATGATTATCTTGTAACTAACCAAGATTCACCTATGATTCACAGAATAAAGGTTAAACAAAAGGACGATGAGTTATTCAAACGCCCATTGCCATTTAGTACTGAAAAATTAAGGTAATTTGATATATTAATGTTTAAATAAATTTAAATCATAATCCATTTATATTATATTTTTTCTATCACTAAATTTTGTTAATCAATTTTTTAAAACTTTTATTGATAATTTAATAAATTATCTAAACAATAATGTTTAAGATATATATAAAAGATTATAAAAAAATGTGTTAGCAATTTAAATTTAATATTCACAATTGATTAAATATCTTATTAAATAGAGAGCATTTAAGGAAACCACATGAAGAAACACCATCCTACCCAGGAGGGGTAAATAAACAATACCTAAAAGAAAAAAAGGAGAAGAAAAAAAGAAGTCATGATATTGATAAAAAAATATATCAGGATAAACATAAACTTCAACCAGATACACACTCAAAATCAAGTATATTTTTTTTCCTTTTATTTAATAAAAATATAAACTTAATTTTACAAATAATAAAAAGATTACATTAATTAAATAATCATCATGTTTTGGTATTCTATAAAATAATATAGTAAAATAAACACCTTCAATTTTAGAGGAAATGTAAAAAAAATTGATGGGAAATATTTGACTCATGTTAAAAATATGTAAATTCAAGAAGGATATTTATTTTAAAATATTTATTTATTTGCATAATTTTTTAAAGAAAATTTACTCATTCTTTCATTAAATCCACTAATAAAATGCTATTTTTTTTACTTTACCTATTCATAATCATTTAACCAAGATTAGAAGATCTAATATAAATAATATTTTTTGTGTTTTTAACTAGGTTCTGTCACAGGCCTTATATATAATATTGGTTTTATATAATATATAATCATATAGCTAGATTCAGCTAATGCACAAACTTAGATATTGTGTGTAGGATGCTCATTAACTTTATATCTATTTAATATATGTAAAAAATTAGAATTATTTATTATTTTCCATGAAAGGAGTACAGAGCATCTCTAAATGCCATAAAATAGCTAACTAAGCATACTTGAGAAATAAGTTCCTCCTTGCAGAATGACAAAAAAGCCATCTATCGGATAACCTCTGTGAACATTAGAATTAGTCAAATATCGGCTCATTAAGCCTAGTGACTGACCCTTTATATCACAAGGCCTGGGAGTAGTTCAAAAAATCACCTGAAATTTTAAATATATAACCCAATCTTTTATATTCATTTTTTGGGCACAAATTTGGTTCCACCTCTAAATAGCGAGCAGCAAAATAGCGAGATATTAAATGAATGAAAACTTAAAAAGTCTAAAATATATTTAAAAAAAATCTAAATTATTTTAAAAATTATAAATATACAAATCATTTTAAAAATTATAGATATATAAATCATTTTATTATATAATTATAATATATTAATACTGTTGTAAAAATTATTTTATTAATATATAAATTATTTTATTATAAAACTATTATTATAAATGTATATAACACATAATTTTTCTCTTATAATATTATAGTATTTTATAAATTATAAATTGTTTTAAATTATCAATATATAAATTGGTTTAAATTATAAAGAGCACATATATATATTATAAATAATAACTATAATTTTTCAATATTAAAATTTTGGAGGTAGGCATTAATTTTTGGGGGTAAGTATTTATTTTTGAAGGGTAATCTTTACTTGTATTATGATGTTTTTAAATCCAATAATTGATAAACCAAATATACCTCTTTAAAAATTAATCATCTTATATTTTTACAATATTTTAGATCGTTTTTTATAGAAATGAAAATGAGTTATCACACTTAATCTAAAAATAAAGTGATTATCAACTAAATGATAAAAAGATTGCACTATTAAAATATATATATATTTCCTATTTTTAGAAAAAGGATAGTAACATATTAATTATAACCTACAAATTTGAAAATCCTTATCTCCTAAGGCTTAAAATATTGTTAATAGAAATATGTTATAAGGTTGTATATGGTGGCTTACTGTAATATTCTTTTTATTAATATCACTAATGCATTATGGATTGGCAAATATCGCGGCCAAAGGGCGATATATTTTAGGGGGTAGTGGTAGATTTTGGAAAGTGGTTTGCATCCATCAAATTTTCTACCATGTAGATGTTGGTTATTGTTATTATATTATAAACATTTATATTACAATTTTATTTAAATCATTTGTATATTTTATTAGGGGGGAAGGTACCTTTTAATAGCATGTGGGGATAGGGTAGGGGGTATTTTTTCTCTCTCATATATACACCAGTGGCGTAGTCAGGATTTTCTCATGGGTGGTGGGGGGGGGGTACTGTGATAAATTTATGTGTTAAATGAATATATTTGATACCCTTTCCCTTTAATTATAGTCTAATATTTTTTTAATGTAAATTTTAATTAGTTTCTATAGAATTACAAATTATTGTTACTTTTCAGAAATAGTATTATTCTGATAATGGCTCATACTTGAACTTTAACTGCTGCAAATGGCCAATACTCAAAAATGATAACTAATCCTCTAATAGTAAATGATTGAACTTTAACTGCTGCAAATGGCCAATACTCAAAAATGATAACTAATCCTCTAATAGTAAATGGTTATAATTCTATTTTCCTACTCTTTTATTTAATTTTTTATCAGTACAATATAGGGTTTAACTTCATAAATTAATTTTTTTAGTCAAAGTAGTGTAGCCAGGATTTTCTTATGGGGAGGGGGAGGGTTTAAATGTTTTTTAGTAGGCTTTGGCCATAATATCCCATTTTTTATGAACACTCAATTTCTTATATCTTAGATATGTTAAAATTATCTGAAATATTTGCACATAATAAAATTTTAGAGAGTATAGATTTTATTTATTATATAAAAATAAAAATACTTTAGCATATAGTATTAATTGCATAAATTTTAAGAGTTAATACAAAAATTATATAAATGTTATAATTAAGAATTCAATTTATGAAAAAATTTGATGGCTAAATAATTAATAATGTTTTGATATTTGGCAGGGAACTAAAATAGTTCAATAAAGAGTTACCGACTCTTGTCTTTCAATGAATCTAGTGGGACAAGATTTTTTTAGTTTCTTTTTTTTGATTCTTTGAGTCAATTTAAAATCTATTTTTTAATGGGGGGGGGGCGTTGAACCCCTAACCCCCCTTCTCCCATGCCTACACCACTGGTATACACTGATAAGATCATAATTATTTTAATAAATAATAAATAATTCAGTAATATTTTTAAAAGCTTAATATATATTTTGACTTAAAACATAGTATTTACTTGGTTTTAATGGATTGGACCTGGCCTGAAGAGATAGGTGGGTTATAAAGAATATAAATTGGATATTATTTTGAAATAACTGGTATCAACTATCATAAAAGTAAGGATTCTCATTCCCCGTCAATTTTGTCTGAATTTTATTAAATTTATGAAATAAGCTAAAAAATTTGTTGAATCTCGATATCACATTTATCTAAATATAAAAAATATCTACTTTATTACTAAAAAGTTCATAATATGCACGCAAACAATTATTTGAATTTATACTTCATATTAATATAATATAAAACAAAAGGTTATTTAAATAAAAATATAATAAATGGGAAAAGATTTATAAGAATCGCGAGTTAAGATTGCAATTTGATTAAATAGGATATATTATCTAAAAAAATAAATACATCCATATCCCATTCGTGAAGGGAATATAAATTATCTATTAAAATATTAAGTTGAATATATTTTCGATTTTTTCTATTTATATTCAACCCGCTATTAATTTGTATATATTTGAGCTCACTCGAGTGTTGGTGACTTTTTAAAATATTTATTAAAGAATAAATATTAGGATGCGAAATAAAGGTTTGATAGGCTCTGGCAAAGCCAGAGGAAGTTTGAGGGGCTATTGAAACTTGGGCTAATAATTTTAAGTTAATTTTAATAAAAGTATACTAAGAATACCTTGATGTGTAATGGCTAGGGCAACTGAACTTGAAGGTGGAGGGGCTAATGCTAAATCTTTAAATTAATGTTAAAATTATTGTAAGGATACCTTGATTTGCATTAGAAGTTTGAGCAGCTATTAAATTTTGACAGTTTAAAGAATGTGGAGTGGTGATAATTAAATCGAGACCAATCATTAATTTGGCTCTACCACCACATCTTTTACGACAAGTAAGATAAACAACCTTTTTTCCGCTTGTATGGGTTAAATATTCGGTATGAGCTCTAAATAGCGAGCATCAAAATAGCGAAAAATGTGAATATTCTCATAATTATTATAATTAATTCACAAAAATATTCACAAAAATGGCCGCTATATATTTGATATGATTCCAACTGTAGCAGATAACCTTCAAAATTATCTTAAATACATACAACATGAAATAAAAGTAATAAACTATTTTTTATATTTATTATTATTGTTTTTAGCAAACACAGAAGAAGAAGGACTATATATGTTACCAAGGGCATGAATATTTAACCCATACAAGCGGGAAAAAGGCCGTTTATCTTACTTGTCTTAAAAGATGTGGTGGTAGAGCCAAATTAATGATTGGTCTCGATTTAATTATCACCACTCAGCATTCTTTAGACTGTCAAAATTTAATAGCTGCTCAAACTTCTAATGTAAATCAAGGTATCCTTACAATAATTTTAACATTGATTTAAAGATTTAGCATTAGCCCCTCAACCTTCAAGTTCAGTTCCCCTAACCATTACACATCAAGATATTTTTAGTATACTTTTATTAAAATTAACTTAAAATTATTAGCCCAAGTTTCAATAGCCCCTTAAACTTCTAATGCAAATCAAGATATAGGTACACCTAGCTATAGGTGGGGAAACGATTAAGTTAGCCTGCTAACCAAAGCTCAACCGAATCGACTAATAGTTAATTTTTTTTTCTAATGTGGCGGTTCATTTAACCCCGCGCTATAGATAGAAATCCCATAAAATTTGAGCAAATGCCACTAAAAAACCAATCTAACTTTGTATTAAAAAAAATAGGAATGCCAAGTTTTTGCCTTTAGACCAAAAATTCGTTTAGCATAATTATAATGATTAATTTTTCTAATATTTATTTAAAATGTTTTTTTATATGATATTTTCATGAGAATATATTACAGTAAATTATATTAATTGTTATATATATATATATATATATACCATATTTCCCCAAAAATAATTTTTCCAAACCATCCTTAAACCTCCGTTTTTTTGTAAAATTTAAAATTTTGTATATAGGTGTTATATTCTTTATTATTTATAAAAATGTCATAATATATATATTTTTCAATAATTAAGAACATTGCTATATGAAACAAAATAATACGCTTGTTTTTTAAATGTGTTTTTATCGATTTCCTTGATGTAAGCGAAAAACTTCATTCAATTAACTTCTAAACAGTTATAGATTGGTCATACGACCTATGATTAAAAATGTATTAAAAAATCAGAGAGACTTATTATTATTTTTTGGATAAGATTTTAAACTTTACAGTGGGGTTAAATGGACCGCCACAAAAAAAACTATATATTTTTTTTAAATAATAGAATTAGAATATATACACTTTTATTTTGATAAAGAAAGAAAAATCATTATTTAATATTCTTAGTTTTTAGTAAATCTTTAATTAAATGACCATCGATGGGCGTAAAAGATAGGTCAGTTTTCATATTTAGACCCTTGAAATCTCCAAAAAAAATTTTGAGCTAGTTTAGTTACGTATACCTTGGGGGGTGGTGGGGGGTTTTACAAAATTTTGCTTAAATCCCAAGTAGTCGGGAGAAATATAATTTGATATGTAATGATCCAATAATTCTCTAATACCAATATAAATTTTTTTTACCCTTATGGCTGTAGCATATTTAAGTGATAGTTGTATAATCTATGGATAACTTTTTTTTACTAATTCTCCTGCTCAAAATAAAAAATCGAAACAGTGTATTCAAATTTTATTTTATTTTAAGTATGGCTAGTTAATGATGCTACGAAAAAAATGGGACAATGTACACATCTCTATTGAATATATTAAGAGAAGTAGAAAAAGAAGGAAAAATTCTTGCACTTTTGATTCTAATTACTTTTAAATTAATTTTTTTTTTGAAGAATATTTTTGATATTATTTGCTTTGGATCATTCCCTTATATATAAATAATAATAATATGATTTAATATATTTCTAAAATTTACAAGAACACCAAGACAATTCAAAAAGACGTGACACGCCTAGAGGAGATAAGAGACGACATTACGACGAATCGATCAGGAGCGATAACACTACCAATAGGAGTTTTCATTCTTCCAAATACGACTACCCAACACCCCTCATCAAATATGGAGGTTTTATTTTTTATTATTTTTTTTTGGATTCAGTAGGAAACTAGTGATGTTAAGGTAACTAGTTACCTGTAACTAATTACATTTTGGCTAAAAAATAACTGTAACTAGTTATATTTTTAAAATTGTAACTAGTAACTGTAACTAGTTATAATTTTTGAAATGTAACTGCCAAAAGTAACTAGTTACTTTTAAAGATATATTCAAATAATTAATTTTATTTAAAATTTTGTGAAAATGTCTGATTGTTATAATTTCCCGTTCAAATTGATTTTCTTTTCTTAAATTGTTACATTGCTGCTGGGCTTCATAATTTTGTAAGCAAATTCAAGTAATTTAATAAATTTTAATATTATATTTATTTACAAATGTAGCACAATATATTTTTTTCCGTCAAGTAACAAGGATTGGAACTTCATATCATACGTAAAAAAAAAATTTAAATTTAGTATAAGGAAAAATAAAGACAGATTATTTTAGAATTTAATATTAAATTATTAATCATTACTTACAAGAACCAAGATTAACAAAAATATCATGTTATAGGTTTAATAATCTTTATGATAATGACTAGTGTTGTTAAACGGCTCATTTTGAGCCGATTTTTAAAAACGGCTAAATCCATATTTTAGCTAGAAAAATATTACCTAAACCTCGAAATTTCGCTAATTGATGTCTAGACCTTTGTGCCATCTATGAGCAAAATCTTCAAACTTGCATAATATTATTTTGGATAAAATATTGATTTAGCCGTTTTTAAAAATCGGCTCAAATCGAGCCGTTTAACAACACTAATAAGGACAACATCATTGCTGCAATTCTTCACCCTTTATTTAAAACTGACTGGCCTTGGATTAGGCAAGGAAGGAATAAAGCAAAAAAGGAGGAAATTATAAATTTAATAAATACCTTAATACCTCAAAGTGAATCCCAGACGAATGAATCATGCTCAAAACCAACATCACTTGATGTAGTTGGATTTTTTGACCGAAAGCGCCAAAATATTCTGGATAATGAACTTATAGAAAACTTTATCAAATCTAATAACAACACTTTTTCTTTATATAACGATTTTCCAAAGTTAAAATTACTCTTTATTTAATATAATGTTGTTCTAACATCAAGTGCTCCCGTAGAGCGCTTGTTCAGTCTAGGTAAGCTCATTTTTGGAGATAAACGAGCACGTCTCCTAGATAATAACTTTGAAATTAATTTGTTGTTAAAAGTAAATAAACATTTATTAGATTCTAATTTTTATGAAAAATAAATGTTTTTTTTTCAATGCAAATATATATTTTTATATTCGATGTAAATATTCAATTTTGCGATATTTTTTTATATAAATAAATTGTATATTATTTTAAATAACTGATTATACTTTGTTTATCCTAATTTTTTTTATATTAAATAAATGCATTCAATAAATAAATAATGCGCATATGAATGATGTATAAAGTAAGTAACTAGTTACTTTTGAAAATAACTGTAACTAATAACTAGTTACTTTTGTAAAAATGTAACTAGTAATTGTAACTAGCTATGTTTCAAAAGTAACTTTTAACATCACTATAGGAAACCAAAGGTAATTCAATTTAATCCCGCCTTTGTATCCTCCCTCAAGCGATGCCAAAATTTTCGCTAAGTAATTTACATAATCAAACCAATAATAGGAATATGTAATTTATCAAACGGGCAGGCCTATTTATCGCTCGGTTAACCACGTGATTAATCATTTAATATGTAAATATCGCTCGGCTATAAGTGATATGAATATCGAATTTTTCAGAATATTATTATCAATTTTCGCAAATTTGTTATTTATTTTTGTTTAAGAAATTACAATTTTCTCGGAATTTATCGATAGTTATTTTTTTTTATATAAAATTATTTTTATTTCTAGGAACATCTATTTGTGATATGATTTCACTATTATTTTTTTACGAAAATTGGAGAATAAAAATTTTGTATCTAATTTGAAAATAACATGAAAATAAGGTGACAAATCGTAATTTAATCGTGTAAAAGCTAAATATTGTATTATATTTTCATTCATATTTCAATGGGCTTTCACTTTCCTAGAGAATTAATTAGTTTTTATAAATAAAATAAATGTTTGGACAGGTATAAAAAAAATTATCTATTACTTATTTTAGCTTCAACACTTTTATAAATTTAAATTTACTCATAACTTTTTTTCTATTTATAAAAAAGTAAAAAAATTATATGTCCGTTAGATGGCGTTCTATAAATATTTTTATTTTTATATCATAAAATATAAAAATATTATTTTTTAAATATGCTTAATAAATTTTGACATATTCTATCATGATGACTAAAATATTTACGATTTTTTTAATAGCATAAAAAAAAACTTTTATAGTATAATTGGACAGTTAGGGTTTTATTGTTAATGTATTGTTATAACTATTTGGTATAAGAGATACAATATGTTTGATTCTTATATTAAATATATCATTTGGACATATGGTAGATGTCCACATGATTAAAATATGAGACTTTCTCTGGCTTACTCCCCTGCCATAAAGGATATCCTTAAAAGCTTTTAATGATTTTGATGGGCAATACATGAATTGGTTTGCCAAGAGCTGCACTTAATGCACATATATGCATTTGCTCAGCCCATCGAGTAACTCATGATAATCACTAACCCATATATTTGGATTAATTTTATAGATTTTGGAAAAATCCGAATGATTTTTATCATAATATTGAGGGTTAATAATTTTATTGCCGTTATTAGTCTTGAAAAATATGATGTATTTGTGTTTTATATAACGACATTGAAATCGCCCGGTAAAAGCGATTACCTTCAGATTCAATTTAATGTGGAATATAATTCTTTAAGATTGGTGATTGTGCCATTTGTATTATTTTTTCACTTATAAGATCTTTTGATATTTTCTTTAGCGTTATTGGTTGTGGCTCTCTTAGTTTTTTTTAAAAATCTTTTAAAGGCCATAGCTGGATCCCTTTTTAATCTGCAAAAAGGAAAAAAAAATTAATTTCTTTCAGGTGATGAATCTTGAGCAAAGAAAAAGATTGATGATTACCATAAATCATAAAATAGCCAAATGATAAAAATCCTTGATTTCAAATTTGGGTTTATGAAAAGTGAGTGTTCTGAAGTCTTGTGCGAATATTCAGTGTCGACATACAACATTGGGTAAAAGAATAAAAAAATATATTAAGACAGCCACAACCAATAATATTAAAGAAAATATCAAAGGATTCTATAAGTGAAAAAAATTATACAAATGGATCAATCTCCAATCTTTAGAAAATTATATTCCGCAGGAAATTGAATCAGATAGTTTGCTTTAAACCGGGTGGTTTCAATGTCATTATATAAAACACAAATACATCATATTTTTTTAAGACTGATAACGGCAATAAAAATAATTATGGTGAACCCTCAATATTATGATAAAAATCATTCCGATTTTTTCAAAATCTATAAAATTAATCCAAATATATGGGTAAGTGAGTATCAGGAGGTACTCGATTCGGCACTAAACATAAATGTTTGGGCCGATTAAATTCATATATGCGCATTGAGTGCAGCTATTGGCAAACCAATTCACGTATTTTGCCCGTCAAATTCATTGAATGCTTTTAACGATATCCTTCATGGCAGGGGAGTGTGCCAGAGTTTAAAGCCTCATATATTAATCATGTGGACATCTGCCATAATAAAAACTAATTAATTCTCAATTAATATGGAAAAAGTGAAAGATTGGGAATATAATACATAAATAAAGGAGTACTTATATCCGCGACTATGAATACTTAGACATTTTTAAAATTTTCTTTTTATGAGTAAATATGGATACCTTTAAATACAAAAAAAAACTAAAATAAAATAAAATATTTTTAACAAAAAGAAATAAGTGATTTTTAAATTATTTATATTTTTTCCATCTCAATTTATATATATATATAATACAAGGTAAAAATCCGGGGTACCATGCGATAATTTTCGGTGTTATTTAATATCGTTCATATTCCGCATTTGATTAGTCACATCATCTTTGAAAGTATTCATTGGTTGTTCATTTCAACTTTTATATTAAGTTTTCCATCCCTTGCTATTGTTGGTCGTCGGACATATATCTTGACATCGAACGACAGCTGATTATTAGACGTAGACATTTTGAATTGAACGTATTTTATATCTGACGTATGTTGATTAGCAAACGTATATTCTGCAGGTCTCTGTTATCAATATTGTTTGCCTTCATATAGCATCTGTTTGGATAAGGTAGATAGTTAGATAATTATTTGCCTTCATATAGGACTGGTTAGCCAAGCGATAAATAGCCCCACCCGTATGTAATTTATCATTTAAATGATATAATGAAACTTGGATGTTTTGGTGGGTAATATCGAAAGGTCTTTAACGTTCTAAATTATTTTATTTTAAATAATAATATTAAAATATAATAAATGTCACCTTTCAGATTATAAAAATGTTAATAGAATTCTCAACTGTCTTTATAATATTGTTTATTTCCGGTAAAAATAAAATTTGGCTAATTATATTTTTAAAAAAAAGCAGACGATCAAAATTTATCCAAAGCTCGATGGGACGAAGAATCAGACGATTATTTAAAAACTCCTTCAAATCGTTCTTTTCAATCATCCCATATTTTTAAAAAGTAAAATGGTTGATTATAATATCTTTTTTTGAATAAGAATCTTCCGTTCATATCAAAATCTGAATTTTTAGAATCAGGTGATGATAAGTTGGAATAGCAACATCCATGCCTATGCTAACCTATAAATAATAATTGTTCAAATTAATAAACTCTACTATAGGACAAAACTAGTGGCGGGTTAAGAAAAAAAAATCAATCAAATGTGATAAAAGAAACAGCTGATTAAAAGAGAATTGTTTTTTTTGTCTAATAAATTAGGAGGGAGTAATATTAAATTAATTATTTGAGCGAACGTAAAACACGAACGCGTTCGTCAAAAATGGAACGAACGCCTCTTCATACGAATTCGTTTACTACATTATAAATCGATCACGTGCTTTATATTTTTATGAAATTTTAGTATATATTAAGCATATTTCAACCTCGCAGCTGTTATACTTTTGGAGATATTAGTGTTAGAAGCATGAAAATGGCTTTTTTTTATGAATCCGTCTACCATGTTTTTTTTATAAAAAAGGAATTTTTATCTTTTACAATACTAGTAGTAAGGTATAAATGGAATAATAAATAAATAAAAGAAAGCAAGAAAAAAGAATGTATATATTTAAAAAAAAAAGAATATGAATAAAAGAAAGGGAGAAATGAATATTATAAAAAACATAAATTAAAAAATAATGACAAATATAATAAAGGTATTTCTAATTATAATTATTTATTTTTAGACAAAATAAGAGATTCGACGAACAGACCCCTGGATTAAATTCTCCTAGAGGTAACATTTACTTTATTTACTAAATGCCACTTTATAATTACAGCTTTTTTTAAAAAAAATGGAGTAATAGGTTCCTAAATTGCAATTTATTATTATACCTTCCGCAAGACTTTTTACAGTAAGCGTGAAATAGCACGTTATCATTTAAGCTATGCGTATAATTCATTGTTAAGCGATAGCATATATAATTTAAAATGATGTATTTTTTTCGCTCTTATTTTTTTTATTATTATTGAAGCCTAATAACCCATCATAATATATACAATATCATTTTATTTTAGGAATTTTTCGAAAATAGTTTATGCCATTTCCGTTTCGACCCTTTTTAAACGTGATTTTATTATGAGACTGCCATTAATTTTTGGTTCCTAAAGGATTTGTTTATAGAGATTATAAGATTATATTTTTCTTTCTTTCCATCCATTTTTTTTTGTGACAATTTGTTCAGTTTACATTTCCCTTCTATTTCGCCCTTATATGACTTACCAATATTCAAATTAAAATTCATGTAGCTAAAGACATACCCGAGGATGATTGGGACCGCGAACAAAATCGTTTGGACCGGGATTGGTACGATATGGAAGAAGAATCCTTTGATCCGGATAAAAATCCCTTTGCCGGTAAACCATACATACCTTCTTTTTCATTCATTCGTTCGTTTTTTATTGAAAAAAAATGATAGATAAGAAAAAGCAAACGACAATTTTATTTAAAACAAGGAGTATCGACTGTTAATGTGTTAAGATGAGCTAGGGGTAATCACTAACGTTTGGCGAAAGTAAGAGTCAAAAATGGAATCGGTTTTGGTCACGGAGTTAAGTGCAAATCCATAACTTACCTTTAAATCATCAACGAATATTTTATTATAATAAACGCGACAGACATGTCTCATCAGTTGACGCAGGAAAAAGAAAAAGCCATGGAGGATAAGAAAAAAAAGATGTCAGCTTATCAAAGGCAAATTAACCAAGTTTCATTTCTTTGTTAGTTTATCCTTCGCAATTAAATGCAAAATTAATTTTACTTGCGATAGAGTTTTAAAGTTTACGCAAAGGTGTTTTTTTTATTTTCGAAGCTTCCCTCTCATATCAGTATACATTTATTTGTTGTTGAGCGTAAGGCGTTTTGACACTGATTTTTTTTAAACGATCGAATGTCATTCCTGCCATCAATCGTAGTTGATTTTTAAAGACCTCTCACCGAAACGGTGATTCTAAATCATAGGAAATTTTAAATCCTCCAGGAGGTCATCCATGTTGAGGTAGAAAATCACTAAATTATTTTTTGAACTAAAAATATGGGAAATATTGTTTTATTTGTAATTGCTATCTAAGAATTTATTTGTAAGCTTTTATGAGTTTTTACTATTTATTTTGCTATCTTCTCTTGTTTTATTATCGAAATGATTTATTTTACTGGTATTTTCTTTCTATCTTAAATATGGCCTCTACAAACAAACACCTGAAAACTTTCGCCGTAATAAAATAAACAAGAAAAAATAGTTACTATAATATCTACGATAAAACCATGTGTTAAGGAACCGAGCATAGCCTTATAATTAGGATCTACATCAGAAATGAACCGATAGTGAGCTGAAATCGCTACAATTCGCTACTTGAAAAATTATATATCTTTATTTAAAGAAATTAGTGAGGGTCAAAGACTAGACCTAAATGAAAACCGGATTTGAACTGTTAAGACCGATCAAAAAAACTGGACCGGAAGAACGATTTTTGTTAAAGTGTCGCAAAACTTCCTTTTAAACCTTTGATGGGTTTTCATATTTATTTTTTAATGCACTTTGTTAATATTATATTTTTTCTTCTTATTTTGGTTCTTTTCTAAAGTTCAATATTACAATCGTGATACAACAGCAGAGGGAAATGAAGAAAGGAAGATATGAGATTTGCAATTATAGAATATCAAAAATTTGTGAATATCTTTTAAGAGAATTTTGGGATTATACTAAAAAGGTTTTTATTTTTTTAGGACATCGCCAAATGGGAAACAAATCGTATGCTTCGTAGCGGAGTGATACAAAAACTTTCTTCAGATGTCCCCGGGAAAGATGGCGCTGATGCTGCTGGAGGAGAGGATTTGGATGAGGGCTTAGTTTCCGCGTCACGGGTCCATTTATTGGTTCAAAATATAGTCCCGCCATTTTTGGATGGTCGTTTTATATTCACCAAACAACCCGAACCAATCATTCCTATCAAAGTTAGTCCTCCCTTTTTTGTTTGAAATATTATATTTATAAAACCTTGGTTCCAATTTGTTCCTCCATCTTGTAGTATAATATTTGCTTAAGTAGTAGTGTTGTTAATTTGCTTGGTTACGACACAATTTTGTGCTCATGCATGCTCTGAGCATGAACCCTGAGCACAGACCCGGGGTCCAGACCTTGGGACCCGGCACAAAAACCCATTTATTTTTAACTTTTTTTTTGAACTTTGTAGAAAAGTATACATAAGATTTATTCATTAAAAGAACAAGCGTTCCCTCTCGGTCTCGATAGGCTAATAAGGCTAGGTGTGTTAATTATATACTGCTGTCTACTAGTAATCATAATTATTATTCCAGATGGGTGGGTCCAAGAAGTTATGAATATTTTTAACAACATGATATTGGTGTTTTAATTAAATTTTGACTTTAATAGTTATTATTAATATTCTAATTAGGCGGGTCTAGGAGGGCACAGGAATATTTTTAACAATGCACTATTTATCCGCAATTTGAAAATTTTGACCTGGAAACCCTGTTCACATTATTTAATAAATATATATTTTATTATATCATATTTTATATTCCCGGCACAAAAACCCATTTATTTTTTTTCCCCAAAATTATATATAAGATTTATTCATTAGGAGATCAGGCGTTCCCTCCCTACTCTGTACTGTAGGCTAATGTATAGGGTTTAGAAGGGGTAGGAATATTTTTATCCAAAATAATATAGGTAGTCCTGAGGAGTCAGGGATATTATTATACGTACGATAAACTCTATTGTGTTTATGAATATATTTACATTTTATTTTTAGTAAATTTACTAACCAAGGGCATCCTACTATAAATAGTAGGATTTTTTTGATTTCCTTTTAAAAAGACCTGTTGTTGTAAATTTAACTAGAATATAATTTAAATAATTATAAACAATTAATTCTTTAAAATAATTATTGTTTAAAAAATAAGAATATATTTTTAATATTTCTACTATTAATAACTTTCTTTCACATCCGTTTTTTTGATTTATAAATATTTATCCTTATTAAAAAATAAAAACTATATTTCCATTCCCCCTTCCATCTGTTTTTTTCCAAAAAATTATTATTTTTCATGTTAATAATTTTTTTATTTAAAATCATTTAAGTAAAGATTAAAAAAATGTCCTCCATGAGAATTCAACATTTATAATTCCAAAGTGCCGATAACTGAGAATTTTGCCGTCAGAAGAAATTAATTAAGTAAGTTATTTTAATGATATACTGGCCATCCATCAAGATAAAAAAAATAAAACAGATATATTTTGACAAAGTAACCGTTAAGTATTTAGTATCTAGGTGACAATTGACAAACTTATGATATTAGAAATTTTGATATATATTTTTTTATGAGAAATTATTTTTTCATGGTTAACATAAACATCTTAATAATCGCATAATGTGATATTTTATTATAATTTATATTTAAACAAATATATATAATTATAGTATTATGATAAATATAATGAAATAAAAAATTATATAATATACATTTAAAATATATATATATATATTCTACAATCCAAACGCATAAAAAATATTATGTTAAAAATTCGTATAACGTTATATAAAATTGTCATATTCCTATTACGAGTGAGTCTTGCATGGTAGAGAGAACATACATAAAGCCCCGCTTCAAATAATATTTTAACATATATGTAAATATTAATAATTTTGGTTCTTAAACGGCGCGAATTTAACCAAATAAATATTCGCGTGCCTGCACTTAGCTAAATTTCAATTTATGTTTTTAAAATTGACTGCATTTGAGACTTTTAACAACACGAATAATAAATTAAACTCAAAATAACCTATTAACATAAATATTTATTATAGATATTTTACTTAAATAAATTTCTAAATAAGTGATATTTTATATTTCTATTCTTACCTCTCTAATTGATGTATGTTTATTAAAAATATGATTCCATATACTGTAACACCTGAGAAATTATTGCCATATTTCATCACGAATAGACATTATATCTATATCCCAGGAAGAGAGTGACATGCATTGCTTTAGCGTCGATGGGGCCATCCTGTTCCTCAGTTTAGTCATAATATTTCCGGCCAAAGAAAAAGCTCTTTCCGATGCCACTGATGTTGTCTGTTGGCATAAATAGTCCCTGGCCATCATTGCGAAATGAGGAAAACGATCAGCATTTCCTCTCCACCAATCTAAATATATTTGTGATTTCGGGCGCGAGTGGTTCATTGAGGTATGACGTTAATTGATTATTATCATTAGTGCCATTTGATGCTCCTTTTCTAAATATGGATAAATTTAAAATATCAAAGATTATGGATTTATAATAGAACATTTAACAAATATACCTTTTTTTCAATCCCTGCAATATTGAAATAGTTAAAAAATCATACCGTGGCATTTTCAAATTTGTCAATAAAAGAAGTAAATTTGGGTGAGCTATGTAATTTATTAACTATATTTTCTATTTTTTTCAATTTCGCCTTAAAAAAATGAAGGCTCACCTTTACTATTAAATTAATGATGTGGGCCATGCAGCGATGCCCATATAAAATTTTCGAGTAATGGTTTTGATAATACTCTTGCAGCAGTTGTACTGCCTTGATCTCATTTGATCCGTTATCGTGTGTTATTGATATTATTTTATCACTTAATTTAAAATCTTCTAATGATGATAAAACAATTTTGCAGATATTATCTCCAGTGTGTGGGTGAGGAAACAAAATAATATCTAAAATCCTATTTACAATATCCCAATTGTTATCAATGTAATGGAAAGTAATAGCACAGTAGGACGTGCTATTATTAGCAGTCCATAAATCTGTAAAGGATATCATATTACCTTTATTTTTTAATTTATCAATTAGCAAAATTATAGACATTTGTTTGGCTACACCACAGCTTGATATTCTTATTTGTATAATAGAATATCCTCTTAAAAGCTGGGTTATCTATTATGTTAAAGGAACTATTAGTTTTTATCAAGAAAATTAAGATGAGTTTATTTATCATCAAATTTTCATGCGATAAAAGCTTTCTCATCCCCGGCATCGAGTCATAAATGGAACCCTGTGAGTGTGACATCTCTTTAAATATGTTAGGATGCACCGATTTGAGATGTTTTTTCAAATTCGCTAAATATATAAAATATAATTCATAAATTAGTACAGGAAGTTTTTAATAAATAATATTTTTCGGTCTAAACCGTGCTCAGAACTAGCCTGAGCACTAATTAATTTAAAAAGCTAAATTTTTTCCTTCTCAAGCTGGCTCAGGATAGGTTTAAGCCGTTGGTTCAGGCCGGCTCAAGAAATATTTAAAGCAAAAATTTAAAATTATTGTTACTTGTTGAAAATTTGTATACACTTGGGCATAAATTACATTTTTTGCGTGTCTTATTAGTAGTCATCGTAAATGAATTCCTAATGTCTATTGCTATGGATGACGATGAGGCTTCTTCAGAAAAAGAATCTACCAATTCTTGTCCTGTAGTTGATTGAGACAAAAATGAGGATTCATTAATTGGAGAAGATGGCATAGATTGGTCATCATTATCTGACCAATGAAAATGATCCTCAGAAAACATATTAAATATAAAAATTTTAAATTTATTTTATAAAATAAAACTGAAACTGAAAAATCTATTAGAATTAGAATACATTAATGTATATTCTTTATTTTTTAGTTAAAAATAGATTTACTTTTTGATATTTTTTAAAAATCACTAAAAAAAATAATATGTTAAGCTATAAAAAATTATTTTCCCAGATGGAATTCAAAAAATAATAATATATTTATAATATTTTATTTATACTATAAATAACTTTATTTTACATCCGTTTTTTTTATTTATAAATATATTTATCCTTATTAAAAAATAAAAACTATATTTTCATTCCCCCCTTCCATCTGTTTTTTTTTCCAAAAAATTATTATGGAAATAAATCATTTGATAATAAGTTATTTTAGTTTTATATTTTTGCTTATTTCACAAGTATAACTAAACAATAAAAAAAAATTAAAAAAACGTAAAATAGTTTTCACCATTTTTAAAAAATTATACCGGTTCATTTAAATAACAGTGTTTTTATGAAAACACCGCTAAACGCTTCTACTCAATTTGTAAGCAATTTTACTCGTTATTTTCAAATAAAATGAAATTAAAATACATGTGAAACCGGGGCAAAATGAGTTAAGTGTTTATTTATTTACTCTTACATATCTTACATTTTTTTTTGGATAAGGGGGCAGGCCTATCTTTCAGCATAAGAGTTCTATATAGGCATAAATATCATATGAGATAATTCAAAATTGAGTGCAAAATCGTCACAATCCTATTTTTTTTAAAAAATATTATTCAATTAATATAATTATAAAAAAATGTTTCGAAATAAATTAGTCCTTATTAGCAATTATCGCTATAATATCTTCGCGATAGTTGTTTCGCGATATTGTATTCGCGGTAATGTATTCGCTCTAAAGGTTTCGCTATAAAAAATTCGCGATATTTGTTTCGCTATATTGTATTCGCGGAATAGTATTTGCTATTATGGATTCGCGATAAAAGTTTCGCCATAAAATCCATTCGCGATAAACGACATTCGCGATAAAAGCTTCGCGAAAAAGTGTTTCGCGATAAAAGTTTCGCTGAAATGTATTTACTGGCTATAACATATTATTTAAGAATTATATTATAAATACGAAATACTTTCAAAAGACCAATCTTGTATATTTCTTCAATTTTTAGGTATATAAAAATTAATTATACACTAATTTAATTAGTATTATTAACATATACACATTTTGACCAATTTTGATAGAAATCGGTCCAATAGATAAAAAGTTAAAGGGTGGTGGCCAGTCTTCAAACATGGCCATTTATGGCACATTTCCCCTAATGGTAGAACAAAATTTTGTCATGATTTGTGTTCTCCTATGTATGCAGAGCCTAAATAATGATTTCACAAATTTACACAAAATTGATATATATAATATAGATTTACTTTTTATAAAATAATAAAATTCTTTATTATTTTTTTTAAAAAAGAATGGGTTTTTGTGCCGGGTCTGAACCCCGGGTCTGTGCTCGGGGCTCGTGCTCAGAGCTGGTTTAGTCGATATTTTCGACCCAAACACCGGGTCTGGGCTCTACACAACCAACCAATTAACAACACTATTAAGTAGACGATTTATTCCTTTTTAAAATGCATTTCGAATAAATGAAACCGAATTTAGTTTTCATCTTGCAATCTAATTTTACAATTTAATATAAATCATTTATACGGGAAACGGAAATGGCGTGCCATCAGCTGATTTATATTTTGAGGAATCGTCAGTTCTAGTTAGTATTAAAATATCTTTTTAAATTAAAATTTAAAATAAAAAAGAGAATACTGTTATATACGCATTTAAATTCAATATCTAAATAATAACTGAACCGAATTCCCTGACAGGTTGTGCAATTCGTATTTCATTTATTTGATTATTACGAATCGTTGCATTTATTCTCATTCATTCATTTGGCTCGTTCGCTTATTAATTAGGATCCTACTTCGGACATGGCCATAATATCGCGCAAGGGAAGCGCGGTCGTTAAATTCCACCGCGAGCAGAAGGAAAGAAAACGTGCCCAAAAGAAGGAATGGGAACTGGCCGGAAGTAGGATAGGTCGCGTCATGGGCGTGGCTAAGAAATCGGACGAAAACGAAGCCGAAATGGCCGAGCGAGCAGACGATAATACGGGGGACGTTAAACCGAAGGATGAAGAAACGCGCGATGAAGATGATAAAAGTAAATATTTTTCTTAACACTTACGATCAATTTATATATTAAATTAATAAACCAAAGTATCCCCAAGGTAAAGATCGAAAAATGTAAACACATATAAGAAATTATAAAGAACATGATGGAGAGTAAAATGAAAAAGAATTCAAGTGGTAAATCAGGTGATAATAGGTGATTTCGAAATTTAAGAGAAGAAACTTAAGGAAGGAATCAGCTGTTTGTACCAACACTGTAAGTCTAACGGTATACAAAAGTTATGCGTTACGCAAACAATAATGGCATTTAATTAGTGAGAAAAAAAATGCTATTTGCTAATTTCGGTTTATTCTTAAATTCACGTTAATCTTAAAAATTATTACGATTTTTTTAGCGGGTGAACGAACGCGCAAAAATAAATCAACAGACGATAAATTCGATTACAGAAAGTCTCACAGATTCAATAAAGAGGTTAAAACCAACTTCTATATATATATTTACTAAGAAATAAAGAAAGCCAATTGAATCGTTCAATCATTTGGTTTCTAACAATCTCTAACACCGAAAACCCTAAAAAAAATTAGAAATTTTCAAAACTTTTGGCTAGTATAATTTTTCTTAAAATGATTTAGTCTGATTTTTTTATAAATATTAGGTATCACCTCGGAACTTTCTATGATTCCCATTATATTATCTCATTAAATTACGTCATTGAAAACTATTTTGATTTTCAAAGTGTTTATAAAAAACTTTTTTAAAAAATAGGAAAAACAAGAAGGGAACGACCATTCCAAACGAGATAATAATTCCGCCGCCAAAACTTTGAGCGAAGAAAAAATTAGACGCATGAAACGAAGCCTGCCCATATTTTCCGTCAGAACCCAACTCATGAATATCATTCGCGATAATCAAATAGTCATAGTTGTGGGCGAAACAGGGAGCGGGAAAACGACTCAATTAACTCAGGTTTAAAATGAAAGATGAATCCCCCATATTCGTTATTTTATAATATTACTGGAGAGGAAGCGGATGACAAATATTTTATGAAGGCAGTTTTAAAATGTCAAGATAAATGTAAAATTTTTAATTTTTTTTAAAAATAGCGTATTTTAAATTTTATATTATGAAGTTTGGTTTGGTGGCTTGTAAGATTAGACGCGGGATATCCTTGTTTAGTTTGTAATGAGCTAATTTAAATGATGTCCCCAAAAAAAGGTTATATTTATTATGAAGGGATCATATTTTAAGGAACCCACTTGGTCAAGGTTATCATGATAATATAATATAAAGGTAGTGCTAGTGTTGTTAATCTTGCTTGGTCGTAATATTTACCACTCATTTTGGGGCCCAGGCCCGCTCTAAGCACGAGTCGGGAGCCGAAACCCGTTTATTTTAAACTGTTTTTTGTTCTGGGTTCATGCTCAGACCTAATTTAGCCCGATTTTAAGTCTCGGTAACTAATTAACAACACTAGGTGAAACAATTATTCAAAATTCTAATTTACATAAAGTATCTGAACGAGGAAGGATACACGAAATGCGAGATGGTTGGGTGCACTCAACCCAGGCGAGTGGCGGCCATGTCAGTGGCGAGGAGAGTCGCGGAAGAGATGAAAGTTAAATTGGGGGAGGAGGTCGGTTACGCCATACGATTCGAGGACTGCACTTCGCCCGTAAATCTTTACATTTTTTATTTACAATGCAGGAAGAAAAGTACTTAAAAAAAATGACCAGGGTATTAGACAGATTAAAATGGCGGAAGGTGAATACATTTAGATCGACAACCATTTTTTTTAAAAACTTTTATTTATTTAAAAAAAACAACAAATTCTGTTTTCATTCGAAGAACACGATAATAAAATACATGACTGACGGTATTTTACTACGCGAATCGCTGCGCGAGCCAGACTTGGACAATTACTCCGCCATCATAATGGACGAAGCTCACGAGAGATCCCTAAATACCGACGTCCTTTTCGGACTTTTTAAACAGGTTTGAAAGAATTATCACTGAAATACAGACGTTCTAGGAAATCCTTGAACATATATTTTTTTTTGGCTCGTTAAATTGGTTCACTCAATATTTATAGCCAGAAAAATATTAAAAATATTGGCTAAGTCACGAGATTTTCCTAATAAATGTCCAAACCTTATCTTCAGGGTTGCTCAATAATATCTTTCTGAATAAATTATTGAGTTAGCCGTTTTTAAAAATCCCTTCAAATCGAGCCGTTTTACAACTTTGTGTTTTTTAAGGCAAAAAAAAAGGTTAGGGCGTTACTTTAAAATAAGATTATGTGGGATGAAACGAAAACACTTAAGCAAAATCCCTGAAAATTCGGGTTTTGTCGCCTTAATTTTTTCTCAGTGAGTATCAGCTTTGCTACGAATATTTTGTTTTGTAATATCAAATATTGGTCAATCTCTAATTACGAATTTGATAGCCAACGCCAAAATGGCATGATCGAGTTAATTTTTTTTTAATGGCACGATAAAATTTATGAATGTACCTTTTGTCTGTGGTTTAGCTTGGTGTAATTTGTGTACCTTTTGAAGGTTAAATTTATCCTTTCTTGATAATACAGATAGTAGTATTGTTAAAATTAGGTTTTTTTATTTAAGGGGTTGGAAACAGATAATTTAATATGAGCCATTTTTTTCTTCCAATTTTAATTAACAATTTTTTTTAAACCTCCAACTTATAAAGATTCTGAAACGTCGCAAGGACCTCCGTCTCGTGGTAACCTCCGCCACCATGGACAGCGCCAAATTTGCCCGTTTTTTCGGCGGGAACATTCCCATTTTTAATATTCCGGGTCGAACATTCCCCGTCCAAGTATATTTCAGTAAACACACGGTAGAGGATTACGTGGAGGCCGCAGTTAAACAAGCCATTCAAATTCATCTCTCGGCGGATCCAGGTTCAATATGGCGGAAAAGAAGGAAAATCGTGAATAAGAGGGGAAAGGGGGGGGGGGTTATAAATTGTCATTTATTTTACTAATCTTTTACTCCATATACCACAGGCGATATCCTTATATTCATGCCTGGTCAGGAAGATATAGAGGTCACTTGCCAGCTACTGCAAGAAAGGCTAGAAGCGCTGGAGAAACAACAAGACGACTCCGCGCTAGCACCCAAGCCCCTTAACGTACTCCCCATATACTCCCAACTCCCCTCCGAGTTACAAGCCAAGATTTTTGACCAATCAGCCACAGGTATCTCCCCTAACTATTCCTTATCTTGTTATATTTTTACTGTTAAGATTTAACTTTTTACAAGAGGGTGAAAACTATTTTTATTTAAATTGTTTAGGTTCGAATTCTGGGTTTGACGGTAACAAAGAAGAGATTACTCGAAAGTGTGTCGTGGCTACAAATATCGCCGAAACATCGCTGACTATAGATGGTGCGTATAATTTTTTTCCTCTCTCTATCTCTCTCTCGTTATTTATGAAATTAGGAATTATAACTCAAGGATTATGAATTTAGTTGCGAACCAATGACATATAATAATACCTTGACTGACGATGCATTCATTAAAAGTGTACATCAATGAAAAACAGCTGGATACGCCATTTTGATAACCCATATGATTATTAAAGATTTTAAACGAGAGGCCAATTTATTCATATGTCTGCCGCAAACTTTATTAGAGAATTCGCATGATACATTCAGATAATAATGAAGCACGTTATCAATTTAATAGTAGTTTTTGACATGAGAATAATTACTATACGGCTTACCAAAATGGCGGGTCCAGCTGATTTGCATTCAACAAGCTTTCAAATGCATTATTGTGAACGCATTGCTAGTCTAGATATTTTTATATGTCATTGATTTTAACATAAATTTCAATTAGTTCAAACCTTTTTTTTTGGGGGGGGGGGAGGAGAAAAATAAAATGTCTCATTCCAATCCGATTCATAAATCTTATTTTTTTAAACGATGAAATTTGTTGTGCTTACCATTTATAAAAACAATGTTTTCAATTTTCTGCTTCCTTGAAAAACTTTGAATCGATGGAAAACTCATAAATTAGAAATTTGAAGCGGGGTTGGAGTAATTATTGTTAGTGAATTAAAACTCTCCCAAGATTTAACACGCGGATCAAATTCCACGATTCCAATCAGTCACCCATAAACAAGGAAATTTTTACGTTACGTTCCATTTCCTTTAGTTCTTTTTAATGATCATCTTTTTCGACCCATTCCGAGATTCACGGAATAATTTTCTTTCTAGAACCCAACACGTTCTGGGATTTCTGGAACGAGTTTCGACTGGTTCCCCTAAAATTGTCCCAGAAGGATTCGGTTTGGGATATGGCTCTGCCGATTTTACGTTTTGAAAGTATCGAATCAGATCCCATCCGATATTTTCATTGTTTTTGGTTATTTTATGCGTGTGTATATATATATAATTATATTTTATAAGTAGATTTCATAATAATAATGATAAATTAATAAAAGAAACCAAAATTCAATTCAATTATTATTATGTTATATTATCTACAACTGTAAAAGGATTTTAAGATATCTAGCATATTTTAGCTAGTGTTGTTAAACGGCTCTTTGAGTCGATTTTTAAAAAAGAGTAAAATTAGTATTTTAGCCAAAAAAATTCCCTAAGCTTGAAGATTTTGCCCAGAGATGGTAGAAAGTGCGATTCTAAAAGGATTTTAAAATATCTAAGGTTCATATATTACTAGTGTTGTTAAACGGCTCTTATAGTCGATTTTTTAAAAAAAGAGGCTAAATTAAGATTTTAGCCAAAATAATTATCTAAGCTTGTAGATTTTGTCCACAGATGGTAGAAATTACGACAGTAAAGGATTTTATGATATTTAGGGTTTATATTTATCTAGTGTTGTTCAATGACTCTTAAAAAAATGGTTAATAAATTATAAGATGCTAGCCAAAAAAATTACCTAAACTTGGAGATTTTGCCTACGGATGGTAGAAAGTTTTACAGTAAAAAGGATTTTAAGAATCGTATATTCGATTTTTAAAAGCCAGCAGGGATCAGACATTTTCCCACCCTTTCGATCTGCACGTCGGGAGTTCCAGACCAGGACTTGTTGTCCGACTTCATACGGGATTTTATCCTTTTGCCTTTTTTGATAATCTCCTTTTTGTCTATCTTGGGCAACAAGTATATTTTCTTTAATATTATGGTGTTAAATTTGTTGATTTTGTGTTTATAGATAATGATGGCCAAAATTATTTCAAGACACTATCGATTTTATAAAATCATGTGATAGATGTCAGAAGGCCAATACAAGCCTTTTCCAAAATTTCTTCCACTTTGAATCCAATAGATGTACCATCTCTTCCATGGGCTCAAATAGGAATCGATCTTGGCAGCTTGCCCACTTCAGAAGAAGGCTACACATGTATTGTAGCTGCCTCTTATTTCACAAAATGGGTTGAGGCAGAACCCATGAAATCAAAAACAGCCCAAGAGAATTGTAAATATTTCTCAGGTCTGATTTGCCGCCATGGTTGCCCAAATATAACTCTTTGCAGTGCATATACTCCTCAAGCTAATGGGTTAACAGAAAGGAATAATCGTACTATCCAAAACTTAGTGTTAAAGGTTTTGGGAGATGATCAAACACAATGGCCTATGGTTCTTCCAGGGGGTACTGTTTGCAATACCAACCAGTGTACACAAATCTGCAGGATTTACCCCATTTTACAGGTTATATGGTCGGAACGCAAAATTTCCATCAGACTTAAATTCCAAAACTGAGCCCAGATATTGTTGAGGAAATAAATAATATCCGGAGACCCCTCTGATGTAAATAATATTGATAATGACCTTGACGAGAGTGAATTGTTAAAAAGAACAATGAGCATGTCAGTCGTATGGAAAAAAGGCCAAAGAAAATATACTTGTTGCCCAAGATAGACAAAAAAGAGTTTATCAAAAAAGGCAAAAGGATAAAATCCAGTATGAGGTCGGGCAACAGGTCCTGGTCTGGAACTCCCGACGTGCGGATCGAAAGGGTGGAAAAAATGCCTGATCCTTAGCGTGGCTAAATATAATTGATAAATTATATGACAACGATCTTTATAGCGTGAGTAATAAAGATAATACTCTATTAAAGCAAAAGTATAACGCGGCACATTTTATTTGGTCTGGATTTTACTGTAAAACTATCGTATTCGGGCCATGGTAATGTTAATTCGCCTGATTTTTAATTTTCTGAATCAGTTGCTGATGATGAAATAGTAATATCCATCCATATGCTAATCTATTAAATTAATATATTAAACAATAATATCCAAATTAATAAACTATAATATTGGTTTGTTAAAAAAATTGAAATGTTAATAAAGAAAAACAGCCGATTAAAAAAATATAAGACTTTTTTTCTTAAAAAATTCGAATCAAAATTAAATTTTATAAATAAAATAATAAAAATATTTTTACAATTGAACGAACGTTAAATTCGAACGCTTTCGTCAAAAAAAAGGAACGCGTTCACGTTAGAAGTTCGTCAATAATGAACACCGTTCATCATTTTTTTCAAAAAAAACGAACGTTGTTAACGAACGCGTTCAAAATAAATGCGTTCGTTTACAGCACTAATTTAAAAAAAAATTTTTTACAAATCGAAAATGGTCGCCAATTAATTTGAAGCTATGAAAACTACTTAAAAAAAATTCAATACTATATTGATTCTACAATACCAAAATATCATTACGGTATTGAATCTACAATGATAAATATCAATACGGTATATAAAGCCACAATGGGTATTGATTTCACAATCCTTCACCGGGCCTGGCCTTGCAAATGGTACCTTTGCAGATCTCTGATTTAAATATTGAGACACTACAGTTATGAAAAAAAATAATCCCTCGAACAAATACTGCGGATAAATCCCTTGTTTCCCCCAACCTCTTAGGATTTTTCACCCTAAGTTTATCATTCCTTTTTCAGAGTTGAGGTTAGTGTTGTTAAAAAGCCTGATTTAGGTCAATTTTTCTAAACAGGCCGATTTAAGATTTTAGCTAAAATAATAATTATGCAAGCATCGAGAATTGGCAAATAGATGTCCAAGCATTTCTGCCAGCTGTGTGCAAAATCTTTAAGCTTACATATTGTTCGGGCTTTTTATCAACACTACTTGAGGTGAGACATTCTATAGCTTTTTACGATCTTTTTCTTTCTCTTGTATTTTTCTGTATTCTAAAAATAAATTTTTTTTTAAATGAAAAAAATAATAAAATAAAATAATATATTCAAGGAATATCTTACGTCGTCGATACCGGTTATTGCAAATTGAAAGTTTACAATCCTAGGGTCGGCATGGACGCCTTGAGCATATACCCCATCAGTCAGGTGATCACTTACATTCCGTGATACAATAAATGTATCTTAGAATCTAAACAGCTGGGAAGGGCTATATACTATTTTTATTTTATTTTTTTTGCAATTCAAAGAAGTACACGAATGAAAGGGGGGGGGGAGTTAAGGCTAAGGATTAACGTTTTAGAAAAACTATTAAAGTGATTTCAAAAATAAAAGTCGGTAATAATTTGGTTATTTAAAATGCTAACATATTTTTAAAAATTTTAGGCTAACGCGAATCAAAGGTCAGGCCGGGCTGGTCGTACGGGGCCCGGGACCTGCTTCAGGCTTTACACGGAAAAGCAGTACAGAGAGGATCTCTTAACGGGTACCGTTCCCGAAATACAACGCACCAATTTGGCCAACGTCGTGTTGCTCATCAAGGCTTTAGGTAAAAAAAAAACTAAATAATTATGAAGCATTTATCACTAATTTCGCGCGATAATCTCCAAACCTCTTGGGATACTGTCAATCATACTTTTCATTCATATTTGTTAGTCTCTGATAATGATACTATACAAATTTTAGAAGTTTAATCTAGTATAAGGAGTGCTAACTTAACATACATTGATTAAGATGTTATATCAATTGGAGTTAAAATTTTTTGGAAATTATTTATGATGATATAGTATCTACAATCGTATAATAATTTACGCATTTTTTGCGCAGTATTATGTTTTTTTATTTTATTCCAAGACATGATCAACTGATTAGCGATTATCGTTAACCCTTAAGTACTCATTAAAATAAAACATGAACGTTCTAGTGAGGTTTAACAGACCCTACTTTACAAGAGGAGATTTACAAAAAAAAAAAATTATGGCTTCCCCTCCAAACCCCCATTTGCCAGTCTTTCTCTCTTGGTTAAACGTTAGCGGAACAAATCGAAAGCACTAAAATTTCCGCCAATATTTTGTAACTTTTCTATTGTCGGTGAGCGCCTTATCTAGTATATTTAGCCATTATTTAGATGAAGAGGAAAAAAAGCAACAAAATTTTGGCCAACTTTTAAAGATTATGGGGGGGGGGGGAGTTGTTTAAAAAATAATATAAATGCCAATATGCCGGATTGGAAAATAGAACTGAACTTTTGGGCGAATATTTAGTTCCTGATCGGAATTATTAATTCCTAAATAAAAAAATGATTATGCGTATGCCTACCATTTTGAGATCTACAGTTGTCAGAGCGATGCTGACGTGCCATCGCGAAATTTCTATAGGCTGTCGATGAGCTGCTCTCATTGATAACTGAGTCGAGAACTCGTTTAAATATATTTGAATTAAAGAATTTTCTTAAATACCTTTTTATATTCCCTAAACAAATGCTTTACAATCTCAATTATACGAGAGAAAAAAAACAGATAATAGCTAACAGATAGGTATTGCTTGCAAATTCAAAAAGTTTCAAAACTTTCGCAAATTTTAAAATTTCATCAATATTGTATATAAAATTTTTGAAATTTATAAAATTTTTTATAGAATTATGTTTAGGACACGTTATTATTTTTATATATAAAATAGCTTATTTAGTTATTTTCATTAAAGTTTCGAAAATTTTTGAATTCGTTTTATGTTTTGTGCACAATGCAGGGTTTGTTAAACGGCGCGATTTTGCCAATTTTAAAATTAAGATTTTAGCCAAAATAATATAAAGCAAGTTCTCGAGATCTTGTTAATGATTTACAAACTTTTCTGCCATTGCGAATCTTCTTTTTGATTGGCTAAAATATTGGGTTAGCCATTTTGCTAAAATCGAGCTTTAAACAACGCTACTCGCAAGCTAGCGATCGTAATTCGATTTTTTAGTAATATGGAAGGAGTCAAATCTCAAAAGAACCTATTATTTATATATAATATTTCGGCACATGTCGGAGGGTAATAAATACTGGCATCTTTAGTATTTAAGCGCCCATATAAAAATTTGAATGATATACCCATTTCTATGATGCGAAAAAAAAATATCAGGCATAACAGACGAAGTTCTTAAGGGTAGCGTGACGAACACTAGCTCCTCTTCCAAATCCGACGCCGCTAACCCGTTAAATTCTAACATTAGCACCGCGATAGCTAATCCGGTAAACACGGGAAGCGGGTTTTTGATGGACCCTCCGCCCGAAGAAAATATGCTCAATAGCATGTACCAATTATGGATACTCGGGGCGTTAGACGATTGTGGACGGCTCACTCCGCTGGGCCGCCTCATGGGAAACCTGCCCCTGGATCCTGCCCTATCCAAAATGCTGGTCGTTTCGGCCTTGAGGAAAAATAAACAACAACGAAGCAGAGATCCCAAGACAGGGAAAAAGATGAGGAACGACGACGACGGGAAAGAAGCGGAGGGCGATTTAAACGATTTCAACGATGTCAATAATTGCGGCATGGGCTGCGCCGAAGAAATCTTGGTATACATTCCTTATTTAAAAAGCTTTAACAAAATACAAACATTCAAAAAGCCATTATCATTTAAGGCATTTTATGCTTCTACAACTACAAACAAAGAATTAATTGGTTACAATTGTCTGTTTTTTACAGGAAAAAAAACACATTATTTTTTAGAAAAATTGGTATTTGTTTTAAAGGTTTTGTTGAGACAAGTGACGTTCGATCATTTAAAATTATTCTTATTAAAATTTTTACCCATTTAAATTTTTTTTAATCTCTCGTTCGAAGAAAAAAAATAATTTATAATGCGAATTTTGTGGCAAAGGGAATTTGCTCGATTTAAGATAGGAATCAGCAAGAACGCCAAAAGGGGGTTTACGTTTCCGGTTTAAAATATTTTTAATAAGGCGCTTCCGGTGCCCGAAAATTATCCCAAGTTCCAATTCTTAGAAAACTCCGAGGGTTCTGATTTCGGTTTCAATCTCTGCTAATACCAACTAAATAACACATTCTAAAATTAGGAATCGCCGGAAATTTTGAAACTATTCGCGTGCGTACAAATTAGTTGCGTTTTTTGTTAGATCCAGTTCGTTTATAGAAATTTTTTTTTTTGAAAAAGGGGCTTCTCTTTAAAAGGTTTGGGGATGGGGAGGGGAGTGGGCACTCTGGGGTATGTTTTCGAATCATGTAGGGACTACCCTGCGTGTATCCTAGGTATAGTTGATTTGGTACTTTATTTTTTTAGCCGGCTAAGAAAATCGGCTAAACAAAGTTGGAAACTATCACTATGGACCTCGGGGGTTTTCTTAGAAAGATGGCAGCGCCAATTTGAAAGAAACCTGCATAAATTGAAATACCTCAATGTTAACGGATTTTCTCCGGCGGGCGCCTAAAAATTGAGCCGAATTGTCACGACATTTAGCCACTCAACTATAATCCTTAAGACACCCCTTTATAGACGAGTTTGAATTTAAACATGATTTTTTTTTCAGACCATAGTATCTATGCTCAGTGTTCCCGCCATTTTTTATCGCCCAAAAGGGCGCGAAGAAGAGAGCGATAACGCGCGCGAAAAGTTTGCAGTGCCGGAAAGTGACCACTTAACATACCTCAACGTATTCGACCAATGGAAGCGCAACAAGTAACGAAAATATTCGATTTAAAGAATTATTGTTTTTACTTTTGATTCATAAAAGGGGGGGGGGGGATTATCACCTTTTTATTTACATTCCTCATCCAACTTTTCATTTTACAACGTTAATATGATTGAAGAATTCCTGATATTTTCTGATGGATGGATGCTCCTCTTAATTTTTTTTTGAAAATATTAAATAACGTATATACCCAAATTCTTCTATTATTCCTAGTAATCTGAACGATTATATAAATTTTTTAAAAAGTTTTTCCTCCCATTGGTGCACCGATCATTTCCTCCACTACAAATCCCTCCGAAAAGTGAGGGAGATAAGGCAGCAACTCCGTGACATAATGGTTCAAAACGGGCTAGAGGTCACCTCTTGCGCCGAAAGAGGGTGGGACGTTGTCCGGAAATGCATTTGCTCTTCCTTCTTCCATCACGCGGCTAGGCTTAAGGTTTTTCATGTCTTATAATTCCATAACATATCCTCCATTTCCGTTTTCTCTTTTCTAACTTCTCCCGCCCTTTTAACCCCTTTTCATTTTTTTTGACAGTTTTTTTAAGTTCCGCCCTTTTTTAAAAAAAAATATATAAATATCCTTTGACCGTTCCAGCTATCAAATTAGCATATGACATATAATAATACCTAGACTGACGATGCATTCATGATAATGCATTTGAAAGCGTCGTTGAATGCAAATCAGCTGGACCCGCCATTTTGGTAGCCCATTTAGTAATTATTCTCATGTATAACAACTACTATTGAACTGATAACTTTCTTCCTTATTATCTCGATGATCAGGCAATTCTTTGCTGTTTGCGTCAGACATCGTAATAAACTGGCCTCTCGTTTAAAATTTTTATTATCATTATATGGGTAACCAAAATGGCGTCCCCAGCTGTTTTTCATTAATGTACTCTTTTAATGACGTCATTGCACCCACCCAAAGGAAAGCAATGTGAGTCTAACCTTTTACCTTTTCTTCATTACAAACGGATGTATCCTTTTTTAGAATGATATAATTTTCTAAGACAATGGTGGGAAAAGGGGAATCCCGTTTCCCCAAATATAAATTTTACCGCGCGTATTTGTGTGTTTAATATTAACTTAATAAACAATATATAAATAATATTCGTCAGGATGAAAATAAAACTAAATTTTATTTTGCCTCCCCAGAATCGATGTTTAAAAGCAATTTGACAAAAAAAAATTTTTTCAGGAAATCTGGAACCGAGTGTTCCTTTCCGCTACATTTCCTCCCGATTAGCGGGTAAGATTACGACCTTTGTTATAGTTTACATCATTTTTGTAATTTTATTATTTATCGTGTTATAACAGGGTATAGGTGAATACGTTAACCTGAGGACCGGAATGCCATGCCATTTGCATCCCACTTCGGCCCTTTACGGGATGGGGTACACTCCGGATTACGTTGTCTATCACGAACTAATCATGACCTCGAAGGTTCAAAAATTTTAATTGGCGCCAAAAATCTAGAATTTTTATAAATTTTTTTTTTACATTTTGGGGTAAAAAAATTACACTTGTTTTTAAAATTTTTTTTTTTTTATTAAGTTCAAAGAAAGAAAAAAGAAAGAAAGAAAGTTGTTTCGCAACTCACCCTTTCTAACATTATTAAAGTATTATGCCGACATGTAGGCACATTTAATCATAAAACAGAGCTAATTTAAATTGTACAGTATTTATACGATACTTTATCAATGACATGAATTTCGGAAGTTGGTCAAATTTTCTAAATTTTGTCAATATTGTACTTAGTGTTGATAAACGGCTCAATTTTTTTTAAAAAAATGGCTAACCCAATATTTTAGTCAAAAAATGTTACGCAAGTAAGTGGATCTTCAAACGTTTCTTCCATCTATGAGCAAAATCTTCATGGGTTGCATAATATTTTTTGGCTAAAATATTAACAACACTATATTATAAATTATACACTGTTATGTTATTTATATAACTCGATGAAACATTATTTATTTATTATTATTCAAAAATTATAGATAAAAACGAAAAATAATGTTTTTTTTAATTTAAGGAATACATGCAATGCGTAACGGCCGTGGATGGTTTTTGGCTGGCCGAGATGGGGCCGATGTTTTACCATTTACGCGTGACGGATAAAGGCGCCGGCGCCAGTTTGAAATCCCGCGAGGAATCTAAATTGCGGGCAGAAATGAGCGTTAAGCGTATGGAGAGGTGCGCTTTATATCATTTTTTTGGTGTTATCTGTGAAGAATTAATTATCAATCTTGAGAATCTGTATAAAATTGAAAGTATCGGCTGATGCATTCCGATATCGGAAGTAGCGTCTATTTCGCAAGTTAAAAAATAAATGTGTAAGGTACCATTTTATACTTGCATTGCATAAATGTATTTTTTATATCTACCAACAAACCTATATAATAAAAAGGGAAATGGCCAAGGCACAAGCCGAGATAAATATCGCGGAATCCGAAATTAAATTCGGCCCGGAATCGGAACAAGCTAGTCCTGGTCCGCTGAGCAGGGAAGGCTATCTGGCCGAGGCCATAGCCAGCAGTAGGCGATTCAGGAAAGGCGGAATTTTATCGGCGGATACGGCCTCTCCCGGATTAGATAGGAAGAAAGTTCGGAGCGGAAAAAGTGAAAGTGATAACAGGTATAAACAAATCTAAATTTTTTTTTTAATCACTCCATAGCCAGGGCACACGAAACTACGGAAGAGGGGAGGGTTGAAAGCAAATTAATACGTTTAAAAAAAATTTACTAGCATTTTTATAGAAGCTTAGAGTTAAAGATTAAAAGATTTCTTTTTATGACAAGTTAAGTTATCAAAATTTTACTTTTAGAAAAGTACTATTGATACTTTTGTTAATTTCCCTATTTTTTATATTAATTATAAATTATTATAATTAATTTCTTGCAAAATCGAGTGAAAATTGCCTATATCGTTTTGTTTTTCTAATAAAACGGTTTTGTTGTATAATTTGAAGTTGTTATTTATTTAAACTGAAAAACTATTTAAACTATAAAAAAAAATTATTATCCATTTTTTTTATTAGAACGCACCCGGTTATAGCTACTCCTGGTCGACGCGACTTTAAATCGAACACAAAAAGGACACCTCAAAGATTCGGCCTTTAAATTGAAGTGTTTTTGTTTTCCCCCCAAAAAATTAATGTATATAACTCGTTTAATTTATTGTAAATAACGGTGCCAAAAATGTACGTTGTTTTGCGATAAAGAAATATGAAAATAAATTGTTATTTTATTTATAAAAGTTTTATTTATTCTTTATTCACACAAATAACCAAAATGAAATATAAAGTTTGATTTATTTATTTAAATAAATAATTTTATTTGGTAAGTGAATTAGCGACGGGGCCATTTGTCATTTACTCACTTGCCAAATTTGATTGACTCGTCTATTTTAAGTCGTTCCTTCCAGAAATACGATAATGATCATTATTAGCTTTTTTTTAAATCTTTTATTTTTGAATCTATGGGAATCGCTAGAACTCAATTTATAATTTAGGAATAATTAATTTCAATTAAAAAAATAAATTAAAAAACATTATTGACTAATAAATAGTATGTTCATAAGGGTTGGGTGCGTAATTTTTATCAATTTTTTTATCTTTATATATGCCAAAAATATATCACAAAGTTTTTAATGAAACTGGATAAAAAAGTAATATATTTTTGTAATATTATTTCCTATACCTTTAAAAACAATGCCTTATCAATTCATATAGAATAAGTATATATAATTATTTTCTGATCCTAACGTATAATTTTCCATTCCATATTTATAATATATTCAAATTAAAAACAAATATTAATAAGTCAGCGAATGAACGCGTTTTTTAATATCTTTTTCAACGATCCTTTTCTATTTTTCAAATCGTCACCTCACATATTTTACCATATATCGACAAAAAATCAAATATTTTTTATCCTCTCCCTACCCCCCCCCCCCTTTTTTAAAAAAAATATTAGATTCAAATTCCTATCATATTTTTTGTAATATTAAAATATTTAAAATGATCGTTTGAAAATATTTTAAATTAGGGAAATCCATTATACTTAGATGTAATTCATTCTTGAATCACCATTCAAAATTCGATAAAGATATTCTAATAGCTTTTGACTCTGTTTTTAGTTAGTGACTGGCAAAACTGATTAATGAATTTATTATTAAGTACTTAAGACAATAAATATTGGCTCAATCCAGATATCAATTTTGCCAATAAGGATCAAGGTTTAACTAATGAACTTAGTGATTAATATATTAATAAAGACTAGGTTCCATCTCCACTATTCTTATAAAATAAGACTTCGAGGAAAAGCATAGGGCTGGATAGGTAAATTTTTTAAAAAATTTTAATGATAAATTTTATAAACCAAATAGTCCATTAATCATAATATAAATTTATTAAGGATAATCTTGTATCTTTTTTTAAAAAATAAGTACTAATCAATTAATATGATCATAAAAATAAATATTTGACTATTATCGCAATATTAACCTAGTGTTATTATTTCGATATAATATTTTCGCGAAAAAGTTTTCGCTATATTGTCTTTGCGGAAAGCTGCATCCTGATTGGTTCATTGATTGCTACTTTCAATATATTAATTTCAAAATTGTTACCAGACATCGCAATCGGCCTTTATATGATGGAATAAACTATTGACTGATGAACATAATTAAAAGAGTCTAAATCGATCGTTTTACGAGCTTTAGTATAATTCGCTCCAATTTAGAGAGATGCTTAGGATTTCTGATTATAATTTAAAGTGTTGCGTATATTGAAAATATAATTCTTGCAATTTTAAATAAAATTAAGTCTACTAGTCGAACTAAAAAAGTAGGTAATATACGATAATTTTAGGGATAATAATATAATGTCCCTAAATGTATTTGAATTAAGTAAAAATATTACTCCCTATTTTTCAGAAATAGTTTATTCTTTATTAGCACGTTGGTCATAGATCTGTCCAAAGGTGAGCGTACGTGAATTATATGAAGGCCCATCTTCCATATAAATATGCCGATATTTTTTTACTCGAGGATAAGCCATAAGTATAGCAAAGAAAGAAATAGAATATAAGAATAAAAAAGGTTCCCCTTAGAAATAGTTTATATTTAACATAATGCCAATCTTGCTAATAAAAATATATCAATAAGAATAGGAAATTTTTTATTATTATTTCTTATCTGTAGAAATGTTTAGATCAAATTTATTTTCTTTATCCACATTTGCCTTAAATGTGAACTAATTATTATAAAAAAAATGTATTAGGGTTATTAATATTATGGTATCAGTTATAATTGAGCATCGATAGCGTAGTTACGTGGTAGATCTCTTACGAAAATTAATAAATATAATGTAAATAAATTACCTTTTTTTGGGCAAAGTAATTTATTAATGTAACAAATAATTAAAAAGCAACTTTTATTAACCCCCCAATATCGGTAAAATTATATTGCATCCAACATGTCGTATAAGCGTCAATCAAAATATTTTTTTTAAAAATAACATTTTAATTACTTAATATTGAAATAATTTTAATCCTTTTATAAAAATAATTTATTGTCAAAAAATAAATAATATTTTTTGTTAAACATTAAATGCCAACTAACGGATTATTTCTCGTATATATTTTAAATTATAAAATAAAAATTTTGGATCTTTAGACTTGTCCCTATGCAGGGGATTTCAACAGCTATGTATTAATAAAATCTTAACAAAAATAAGTATATTTACCATCTTCATATTGATAATTTTCATTACTACTCATTTGCTCAAATATTCCTCTGGCAATATTTGCTTCATCAATTTTAGATATAACAGGATTTGTTTTTTTTTTCATATACTGAATTTCTAGCTCTATAATTGGAATAAGGAAAGCCATTTTATGGTATAATTACCAAAGATCTTAATTTTTTATGTTCCCTCATAAAGCAATCTCTTATATTTTTCCATGCCGATTACTGTAAAAGAAAAATATTTCAAATTAATATACTACTCTTTAATTACCTGTCTCAATATTGTTTTCAGCTGATATTGATTTCCATATAGAGTTATTCTTCTGGGTATTTTTTTTATACCCTATGCATTTTTTGTCATAAAGACAAGAATGGTACCTGATTGAATTAATCAAATCTTTTTTATTGATTTTCTATATAAAATTATTAACATAATATTTATTTATATTCTAATATATTTATATATATATATAACATTTATTATTTTAATAGCATTTCAAAAATTTACTTGCAAATTTTCGGCCAGATTATAGAAAATACAAAATGTTTTGTAACTTGATTTCTATGTTTAATGCGTCAAATTTGGCGGAAATGTCGTATCGCGTCACAAAAGCTCACTATGAATAGTCATTGGTAATTACATATATTTGTATTTTGTCGTGTCGCTCTCTACTATGAATGCACCCTAAGACAAATATACTTAAATTTTTGTTGAAGATTAAATAATAATCCTCATATTATATTTTAAAAATTACTCATATCAAATCATACTAATTGAATTTATAAAAACATACTTATCACAATTGCTCATCATATAATAAAATATATATTACACATATAAAATAATATTAATTGCACATACACAAATTTTTCCCCCTCAAAATTTCCAATTAATATGGTTCAATATAATAAAACAATTTTTATAATAATAATATGATTCCGTAATATTTACTTTTATTTTGTATTTTTATAAAATAGGAACACCATGCGTGCTTGGACTAGAAGGGAAAAAGGAGAGTTTCGAAGAAACACTTGTAGTTCCCCTTTAGGATTTCGAATTGGATTTTTTGTTTGAGATAGGGGCTCGTTTTTGACCCCTGTCCTTAATGAAATTCTTCTACCAATTTGATTTAAGAGCTTTAGGGATTGAGGACCGGGGTTTCCCAGAACGCTAAAAATTAGGGGAATGAATATAAAAGAATTAGAGAGGGATTTATATTTATTAAACTTATTGATTTCTTGAAGTTCCAAGGGGTCGGTATTTCCATTAACCGGAAAGGAGGTAACACACGAGACATCCCAGACAAGTCTTTTGCCGCCGTTCCAAGTCGTCAAAGACATGCCGTCGGGACACCGTCCGCATTTAGGAGACTTAACGGCTCCAAACTATTGGGGAAACCGGCTGAAATCAAAGCTTTGCCTATTAACCTATTAAGGTTGTCGTGCCTTAGAAAACGGCCACTGACTTTGAGACAAGAAAAACAATGTCTAGAGAAGGGTTCAACCTGTTTATAACAGGCAGCATAGGTGTCCACAGAAGGGATAAGGCAATAGTTTGAAACTCATCGACTGTGAGTAACTCCTTTTTACCACTCGGAATCGCGTCTAGCCATTCATGGCCGTTAGAATTTTTTTTTGCGTTTCTGAGCAGTTGAAGGTTAGTTAGATCGGGATACTGACAAAGTTTTTCAAATGCGCCATGAAGCATAGGGACCAGGGAGCTCTTTAGATGACTGGAAACTGGCTGCTCGAATCCTTGGATAGCGAGAGTATGCCACTCTTGTTTAGCTGAAGATAAAAGGGGATCGTCCAACTGGATAAGCGATAAAATAGAATCGTTAAAGGATATCCGAGATGAAAGAAAGCAAATTGCCATTAGGAAGGGAAGGGAGTGAACATCCAAGTTCTTTCCGGTAAGCGGGCATAGAGGCGAAGGACCAATTAAAATCGGAAAATTTTAGGGATTCGATAAAATGTCTAAATTTTAATTCGAAGAACTTAAGGAGGATATTAAAGGTTTAAATATGTGTAAGAATTAAGGTAGGAAGACATTTTTTAGTGAGGAAAAAAAACTGATGCTTGGGAAGATGAGAAAGATTCTTGAGTGAATTTTTTTTCTATTTAGGGAAAGACCGATTTTCGAGGCTTCCATTTCAATGTACTCGATGGCCGACAAAACATTGGATAAAGAACCACCAAAAGAGCCATCTTCGAGATATAATAAATTAAGGTCTAATTTGAAATCAGACTTTAAATTTTTAATCAAATCCTGAATCTCTATAGTAAAGAGCAAGGAACCTAGTGGATCACCTTGCTGAATCCCCTCTTCAGAGGATATGGAAAATTCCCCGAATTTGAGTAACGAAGGAAATCCATAACAGGAATTAAGGAAATTCCAGTATTTTGGAAAATGATGCAGAAAATAGGGTAAGAATGCGTTCCTATGCCGTTGAAGTCATTTCTGAAGTCTAACTTGCTGAAAACCTTATCCGCCTCAGTATATAAAAATACGCGCTACATGCGAGGCCACTTCGCACCCACCTCTCACTCCAAATCCTAACTGTGAGGGAAATAGTAGGGAACTGGCCTTTGGCCGGATCCTATTTACAATAGCCTTGGCGACTAATCGAAGAAAGAATGACCCTATGGCTATGGGTCTAATGCCACCATCCGGCTTGGTTAAAGAAACACGTGCGCCAAAAAAATAGGACGAATACAAAGAGGAACTTCGCATAAGAGGATATTATTGTAAGGTTCAGTTAATGATTTCAGCAGAGGGTGAATAAAACCACTATTAGAGCACTGAATTAAATCAACAAAAAAACAGGTCTGAATCCGTCCAACTCACCTGTCGTTCCTTTTTTAAAGGACTTCAAGCACTTAAGTACTTCATCATAGGTAAAGGGAATAGGGGAAGAGACAAGCGGGTGAATATTAAAACAGTGGATGTTTCTCGAGAAGTTGTTGAAAGATAGTAACTTTGATAGGGGAAATAGTATTATCATAAGTTAATGTTCGAGCAGCGCCGTTAATATCTCCAAGATCTAATTTTTGAGAGATCAATTTACAATGGAAAGAGTTAGGATTTAAAGAGTTAGAAAAGAAAATTCATCAATAGTATTGACAAAATTTAACACTTTTTCCTTGAGAGAGGCAGATAAGTTATTCATTCTATTCTTGGGCTTAACTAAACTCGAAAGCAAAAACTAATTAGATCTAACCACAAGGGTGTTGAGGAGAAATCTGATTTTAAATTATTCAAGAGACGTAAGGAACCTTAAGATTGATTCTCGGGCAGCTATAGGGATCCTAGAAAGGACTGGGGGGTTTATGTGAATTAAGAAATAAATCAACAGAGCTGGAGGAACAACAAACCGGACTGGGGTCATAGAAGTAAGGAGCTCTAATAAAAGGATCTGGGAGAGAGGGGAGGGGGAATTTTCCAGAATTAAGGCAAGCGGGTGAACCATGTTTTCTAAATACGCCATTTAATTAAGCGAAATTTTTTTTAAACATACATGGCAACAAGAGTTTACCATGAGATGGCAGAGGTGGGGGGAGGGAGGGGGTTTGGGGTTGATAAATTTAAGAAAAGAAATTATAAAAAAAAGAGTAAGTTAATGGAGTATAAAATTATATTTTTGCAAATGAGACAATAAATGGACGTAAACAAAAAAATTATTCGGGAAATATTAGGGTGTAAGTGGGAAGATTTGGCAAATAAAATGGGACATTTATAAATGATCGTAAAAAAAGTTTAACTTATAAAATACATTTACTTAATGAATAATGGTTTTATAGTTGTCAGTTTAAAACATAATTTATTTCATTATAAAAATATTAAGTTTAAATATTTTTTTTCATTGCATATATAATACAAACAAATCTTTTTTTTACAGATTTAGTTTAAGTATAAAAGGAATTTTTAAAAAAAAATAATTTAAGTTATAACGTTCTGGGATATTCTAATATAAGACAATAAAAAGGTAAAAATTATGTTGGAGTTTTTTTTTGAACATTAATTGAGTTCAAATTGTTATTAAGAAGTTATTGTTTAGGGTTAAAAAAATTTTTTTTTATCTTGAATTGCAAAAGTAAAAATTTTGGAATGTTAGGTATAAAAGTAAAAATAATTTTTGTTGTACCGATTGAGTTTAAATTGTTGGAGCTGTTTATTAAAAAATGGGATTCAAGAGTTATAAGGTTAGGACTAAAGATTATTAGGTTACAGAATTTTTGAGACAATGAGGAAAAGTTGGATTTTCGAGGATTGTTGGAGATGCACTTTATAATAGCGCCTCGGCAAACGCCCTTACATGTGTTTTCACGATAAAGGGAGCCGCCACTACAGCTGGATAGTGTGACAAGACATAGCCGAAGATCCGAGGGTGAATACCGCCTATGTTTAGGATGCGGGGATATTTATGACGCTGGTGTCCACGGGATAATCCAGAGTGAGGAAGCCGTTCGGACTGGGCCGGTGATGGTTGATATACCAGTATCATGGAGAGAGTTGCCTAATCATATTGAGGGAAGGTGGTGAAAACCTACTCCAGAGGGATTCGGGCGATAGTGGATGCGGCCAACAGCCGATTCTACAAGAGATGTTATGACGCCAGAGCTACGGGAGACTGCAAAGACTGTGGGAGGAGACAAACCAGGACACTTCACCCCAGGAACAGGCGGATGAGAAGTCAGCATGGCATTAGTTGTTGAGTTAGAGCTGGGGCCAAGGCGAGGAGATGTTGACGGAGGTGCAAAATGAGGGAGCGGAGGAGATGGATGAGTTAGCCGGCACAAACTGGTCAAATGGATTAGGAGACCTATTGGAATACATATTGTCTGATTCAGAAAGTGGTTTTTTTATGGTAAAACTGTAGTAAATATGTGTTATTTTATATTTTTTTTACCGATTAAATATGTTTATTTATTTATTCTTTTTTTCTCCAGTAAATAAGATATATATTTTGCTATTTGCCTCTCATTGCAGGACAGTCTCGAAAACTTTTGCCACATAAATTTCCTAATTTTTTTTTCTTAGAAAGTTTTAGTTTTGTTTATATTCAAAGATAAAATTAAAATCTAAAATATTAATTTTTTGATTACCCCCTGCCCCATCAGTAGGGTAAACACTGAATAATATGATCGCCTTGATATATAAGTGTTAAAATTGAGGTCAATAAATAGACACACTAAAAAAAAGAAATTAAATTTGGTATATTTTTATATAACTAATGAATATTTTTCCCATCCCAAATTTTTCCTAGATAGACATCTCCTAAACAATTGAAATCAAGTTTTTTTGACTTTATTACTTACTAATTACGATCATCACAAATGAAAATCTTCCGACACAAAAAATATGAAAAGATAAAAATTTAAATCACGGCAATAATAAATAAAAAAATTTTTAGTTTTACATTTTGGGTAAAAATAAATAAACAATTAAAACACAAGTATAAAATAAAATTATTAAAAATTGCACTCAACTAACCGTGATACTTAATAATATTTATTTTAAAGGGATAAAATTTATAACATCGAAATTTCAATAAATCGTAAAAAAAAATATATTGCAAAATAAATATGCTATTTTTATTTAGACTACTCTTCTATAATCCGTGATACAAATAAACGCGTGGGCAATATATATATATAAAGAAATGTATAATATTTATTTATGCTAAAATGTCTTTTAAAAAAATTCCAAAAAAGCGAAATGTACTAATAGATCCGTCGCGCCTATACGAATATATAGGAAACACTAAAATTGTATTTTGATTAATTATTCTCTTTAATTTTTAAATAAAGCAATTAAACAAAACCTGCGTTTATAATTTTCTTACGCTTATAAATGGAGTTTAAATAATCGAATTTTCGGAGTTGATAAACGTCTTTAAGCTGGAATTTATATATATATAAAATGAAATGTAAATAATGACGCCATTTAACTTCCTCGAGAAAAATAATGCTAGGTATATCGTATGTTAAAAAAAATGGAGATCCTTAATAAACTCTCCCGGCCTCGAAAAGAGATTGCCCAGCTGCGCCGGCATCCGCTCCAGATCCTGTATATTTGCCTTCGGCGGCCAAGTGGTTAGCAATAGCACGTTTGAGAAATATGGCTTGACCATTCTTAACGTTCTCAGGTTTACCAGCCCAAGTCATCAAAGCGCTTTCCTAATTTTTTTATTTATTTTAGGTTACGTTACTATATTTTAAAAATTTAGAGAAGACAGTATATTCAGAAATCCGCGATTTTGATACACGGTAATCCAAGTCGGGGTTAAAACGGTTGCGAGTCAAATATTTTTTTTAATTAAAAGCCAGACCGGGCTCAAAAGTGAGATTTTAAATCCTACCCAGATCGTGGTCAAGGAAATGAGGTCTCGGGTTTTTGGTAATATAATATACTTAGCAGAGTTGTTAAAAGATACTTTTTAAATGGATCTAGATACAGATACATCGTCTAAAATAATATCTAGATACCGATATTTTAATCAAAAATCTATCTAGATACAGATACCACATTTTTATATCTAGATACAGGACAACTCTGATACTTAGTGTTGTGAAATGGCTCGACAAGACTAACCTAACATTATAACCAGGAAAATATCGCCTAAGCTTCGAGGTTTCGCCAATAGATGTTCAATCCCATGTGCCATCTATGGGCAAAACCTTTAGGCTTGTATAATAATTTTTAGGATAAAATATTGAGTTAACTGTTTTTAAAAATCGGCTCAAATTGAGCTGTTTAACATACTATCTACATATTTTCTTTCCTTAACTTTTTTTTAGAAATTAAATGAAATTCAATCATGTTTTTTTTTCCTTCTTCAAACTTGCAAAGCTCGTCCGAAAGAGAATGTCAGGGGCCACGGTTTTCGAGCTCCCTTATATTTGTTGATCTCGTTCAAGTTAACCGTAGCTTGCTCTTCGGATTGACCGCCCGAGAGGAAAACGATTCCGGCCACTGCAGGCGGTACTCGCCTAGACAAGGTCTCGGCAGTGGCTATGCCAATCTGTTTTTAAAAAAATAAAAACATCAGAATTAATATTGTCATTATTAAGAGTAATGGGCACTTGGACAATGACAAATAATATCTACACCAACGATGTATTCAGTGTACATAAATGGAAAACAGCTGACGACGCCATTTTGGTTACGCATAGCATATATATAAAAAAATATTTAAAATCCTAGCTCACAAAAACCAAATTCAAATAATTTAAAGAATTCTGGGTTAAATATAGGTTATCCAAAATGACGTGTCACGTGGTTTCCAGGTGATTTGCATTCAAAGACGCTTTAAAAGGCATTATTATAAATGAATTGCCCGTCTAAGTATTACTATATGTCAATGCACTTCGAGAAACGTTCCTTATAACTTATCTTATCTTTTCCTAAAATTGGAGGAAGTATATAAAAAATAAAAACTACGTTTTAATAAATGGGACAAAATATAGATATTAGCTAGTGTTGTTAAACGGCTCGTTTTGAGCCGATTTTTAAAAACGGCTAACTCAATATTTCATCCAGAATAGTATTACGCAAGTCTGAAGATTTTGTTTAAAGGAGAAACAAAGGTTTGGACATCTATTAGCGAAATTTCGAGGCTTAGGCAATATTTTTATGGCTAAAATATTGAGTTACGAGCCGTTTAACATCACTAGATATTACGGGGAAGCAAAAAATAATATATATTATAGGCCGGGTCCTAAATATAAAAAATATTAAATAAATTTACTAATTTTGAAAGAAAAAAATAACATTACGAGCTATTTTTAATGTAAAAATAAAATAATGTCCTAAATCACATTATTTACAAAAATTTATTATAATTATTATGAAAAAACTAAGTAATATTAAAGTATTTGGTGGCTGTTATTTTTGGTATTTAATTCCCTTTTTTTTAACTTTCTTTTTTAAGTTTATTTTCATTTTTTTTCTATTTTAATTTTTTCTTACAAAACTTTGGAACATTTCGGACATGTTTCATAATTTTATTAATTTACAAAAATTTATCAATTTTGACGTTTTTTTCCAATATATTTAGGACACCACAACCTTAAGATAAATTAATAAGATTTCAAAGTTTTAAAAATACTCGAGAAAAGAAATATATCCTAATATCGTGGATGCACTACTAACCAATATTGTGTTTAGTATTTATTGGTAAATAAAGAAGAAGCAAAGATAAAATCTCTTGAATTATCATCGTTTTCATATATTTTAGAGCGGTGCCGATCCATATATTTTCGACCGATCTGATATCCGATTTTTAAATTAATTTAAATTATTTTTGGCCAAAATACTATTAACATAAAGCCTCCAAATTTTGAGAATAGATGTGCAAACCTGTCAACTGTGGGCAAAATATCCAAAGCATGGATAATTTACTTTAGACTAAAAATCTTGAGTTAACCCTTTTAAAAAAGCTAGAATATGAATCGTCAGATATTTTAAAATCATTTTTTTTTGTTACTGCGGATATAATATTAAATTTTTAACCACTTCCGAATCTCATAATTTTAAATCATTTATCCTGAGCGATTTTTTAAAATGGGGAACATCTGATATGACCGGAAATCTATTAGAAATCTATTACAGCACATATAGAAATACCGGCACTGTAAATTTCAAACAAATTTTACCGCGAAATATCTAACTACCCTTAACTTATATTTCAAATATAAATTTGTTTAATAATCTCAAATATTTAATGATACAAAAAATAGCCTGAAATTTAGAGGGCGGGGAGGTAGTTACTCCACGAAATGCTTAGAAAATAATACATTTCCGGTCAAATCAAACTTCCCAAATTTAAAAATGGCTCCCAGTAAAATGATCTAAAATTGAGACATCATAAATCTTCGTGAATGATGCCATATCCCAAATACGACATATATAATCGTTAATATAACCAAAAACAATTTTTAAAAAAATGGCGAAATATCGATCCAGATCAGATCTAGAATTAGGCACAGCCCTAATTTACTTATAACTAACCAATGAAAATTAACGTGTATTAATTGTTTTCAATTTGCCCCGATTACCATTTAAAATGCAGTGTCAAATAGGTTGCACCATTATGTATACATGTTTAAGTAGGGAAATAAAATATAATTCTTTCTAAATCTAATAGTAATTCGAGGAAAATAATCGGGGGGAGATCTAATATTTTAAAAAAATAATATGTATACGTCAAAATTTTAAGTGCAGTGTAAATTTTGTACAATTCAGTTAATTTAAAAAAAGTAAACCAATTTTAAGTTTAAAAAGGTAACCTCTTGAGGAGTAGCCCTTTTTGGGCATCCTTGACCAGGGGTCACCATGTTAGGCTTCAGAAGGGTTCCTTCTAAAAATACTTTGTGATCCGCTAAGGCCTTGTATTGGGCCGCTAGTACCTATTACGATGTAAAATGGTGTTTGCGATGATTGATTATTAAATATAAAACATTGTATGTAAATAAAAATCTAACTAATTAAAAAAAACTAGACTGTCATAAATTGAGCTTAATTATGATTGGTCACGATCAGAATTAATTATTTTGTAATCTGGAATAAAATTCGTTCATCTGATTCTGTTTATGAATTAAAATTTATCTAGGCAAGCTTAAAGAATGATTTCAAAAATGTTGAGGAATGGATGAATTCGATTATAAGAGGGGGGGGGGCAACACTTTGGAAGAAGTTGATGATTAATGGAGTGATCATTTCATTGTAGAGAATTTGTAATAGTCAAATATCAAATCATTATTGTATAATTTTTTTTATAGGAGAAAATATAATTATCCATACTAATTTCTTAGAAATTAAAAAAATTTAGGCCCGAGTTATTTTTAAAATTTTTAAGCCTGAACCCGACTTCGAACCGGTTATGTGGGATCTGATTTGGCTGTTAAAAAATCGTGTTTTAAAGATGTTAGAAAAATAGTAATTAAAATCTCAGAACGATATTCAGTAATTAAAAAAATTTATTATATCATACAACAGGCCTTTTAACCTTAATAAAATATGTAAATGAAAGATATGAAAATAATACAAATTGAAAATTCGGGGGGGGGAGGGGTAAAATAATGAAAAAAAAATTAATAATAATTTCGAGAGGAAAAAAACCTTTTCTGTAACTTCCTGGCAAACATGCATATCGTGATCTCCGTCTTGTAAAACCTCCGGTTCCACTATGGGAACCAAATTGTTCTAAAATTAAGAGAGAGAGAGATGAAAAAAGTATATATTATTTCATTTACGATTATGGGTATTATATTTTCCATTTATGCTCATCCTCCTATTCATCTTAACTTATCTTTCTATAGTCCTTATCAATCCCACCCGCTCCTTCTCAAAAAATCTACCTTTTGACAAATGAAGGCGTATTCAGCCAGTATTCGGGCGTTCTCGTAGATGGCCTTGTCAGACGGTTTACCCTGGGCGACGTTAATGTGGATCACGTTCCGCCATTTGGTGAAAACGGCTCCTTCCTTCGAATATTTAGCGCATCGCTCGTCCAAATCTTCCAGTCCGCTAGTTATCGTCTCACCCGGAGCTCCGCCCTCTAAGGGCTTAACTCCTTTGTCCACTTTAATACCAACTTGGATGCCTGTTTTTTTTAAAAAAATATATATAATTCAAATTTAAATGATTATAACATATCAAACTTTCTATCTTATTTCACATTAACAGCCGATTTTAGAAAACGGCTAACTCAATATTTCATCAAGAAAAATATTATGCAAACCTGAAGATTTTGTTCATATAAGGAACAAAGGTCTATACATATATTATCGAAATCTCACGGCTTGGTCAATATTTTTTCTGGCTAAAATATTGAGTTAGGCGTTTTTAAAAATCGGCTCAAAACCAGCTGTTTAACATCACTAATACTACTACTACTATAGAGTATGAAGTGCAACTGATTTGAATGATTAAAAATAGTGCCTACAAATTAAGGCGATTTTTCCTCTCTCTTCAAATTCCGTATTTTAATTGATAAGCGTAAAAAATTTGATAAGGTTTTTTTCTTTCGCGTTTCCTTTTAAACAACGGAAGCGTTTCATAGAAAACGCACAATGCTAAACACTACCGTTCAATTCGTGAGCGTTATATGAAAATACCGCTCTTCTTTTAGGTGACCAAATGATTTACTTGCGTCCATGGCGGATTTACTTTCCGTTGGGGCGACAACTCTATTTTTCGCCAACTTCAAATCGACAAAACCGGGTTTAACTGCGAAGTATCGCCTTAAGATTTGGAACTTTTCAGCCCACGGAGAAAGCGGGGATATTTTGCCACAATTCCTACCTTATATATTTTTTATAATGTCCACCTGCTGAACCGAATTAGTCGATTTTAGACCATTACCCAACCATCTACTCCTTTTTGAGTGATCGTTCAATTAAATCTTGAAATGAAAATCATAATTAAGATTTATAAAGACCTTCAATTATCAATCCAATGTCAATCATCTGTCACACATGATATTTCTATATGCAACTTGTTTTAAAAATTCTCTCTAACTTATTAAAAATAAATTGAAATATAAAATTATTTTTAAATTAGAAAAAAATCGATAAAAATTCTCAAGATTTTTTATTGAAATTTTTTTTATTTTTACAAAAATCGCGCTTTAGCCTTGACTAATTTTACAAATTTTTTGACTAAATTTTCTGCCGTTTTGTTGAGAAAAAAAAGCTGCAAATCTCGAGGGTAGTATCAATTGAAACTTCTAGAATCTTGATGAAACAGGGTGTCTACTGTTTTTCTGTCACAGAATAAAAATCCTGTCAGAACTCATATTTATTCATTTCATCCACATTCCACATCATCCATTTTAAAAAGGACTAATAAAAAAAGGCTTCATTTAATTTTTCTGCTTTCCTTGAAAAAGCATTAACTACCCCCTCCTCAGCCAAATAATCTTGAATATTTATCAGATAACCTATACAGGCCGGGCTTACTGCTGACATTTTTAATTCCCATTTGAAACAATTTATATAAAATAAGCCAGAATTATTTTAAAAAATATCTGTTGTATAGACAAAATCTAAGGAAAATATGAGTTATGGCAGCACAAAATACTGCCTAAATCGCTCAAGTATTCATAGCCAAATGATAGCAGACGTGTACAATTTAACATAATCCATTTTTGTAATTAGAATCGGATTTAGATCTTTGAAGAAAAGTAATGCTGGATTAGATTGGCTGGACAAAATTTAAAAAAATTATTAATTCTTAGTTGAAGCCAGGCCAGATTTAATGTTTCAAAATATAACTAATTGTATACAAATTCAGGAGCACAAAATTATTTGGCAATCTAAAATCATTGTTATTGCTAGAAAAATAATTAGTAGTCTACAACATTTATTTCCTTCCATAGAAAAAATATATTTAATTTATTACCCAAAAGTTTTGTTATTATTTGAAAATTATTTGTTGCTTATTTTCTTATGATTAAAAATATAATAAAACATTAAACTTGTCTTATTTGAATTTTAAATTTGATAAAGGAGGGCTAGGGTTATATTTATAAAGCTAGAGAAAATAGGGTTAAACTTGAATGTTTAATGATATAAGGTAGAGTTAAAATCAATTGGCTAGTAAGATATAGGTTACAATATAAATTAAAAGGTTAGGAAAATATGGGTTAGTTAATTTATATTACAAAATGTTTAAAATATTGTCCCCAATTTAGAACATTGAATTTCGATAATGTAAATGATAATCTCATTATTTTTGTTCAATGTAGATTATTTAATAAATAAATTTTATTCTTTATAATTTTTATTTAGGTTAAGAATATTGAATTTATGTTCCGGTCAGGTTTTTATTTTAAAATCATATTTGAATTTGGACCAAGTTAGGAAAAATTTTTCTTTCCATAAGTCAGGTTTAGGATTATTTTTTTAAACCTATAATAGGTCTTTACTGACATTGCACATAGTCATAAATATTACTCAAAGGGTATTTAAGCATTGCTATCAATTTACTGGAGATGGCAAAATTTTATGACAATCATAAAAAAATTCTCCATCGGCAGTAACTGTAACTGGTATATAGCATCCTAAATATCTTTAATATTTCATATTATTTCAAAAAAACACACTTCCCTATCAATTAAAACTTTCCTGCTGTTTAATAAAACATTCTCAATGGAAGTTATCCAATGACATGTAATTTTTAACTTGTGTTAGTAAAATATTTAATGCTAAAGTAATTCAATAAAGAAAATAAAATTTATATAAAATAAGAAATTTTATTCTAAAGTATATTCAAGTATAAAATATAAAACTTTTTTTTAAAAAAAAATGAAATTGAAATTAAATGAATAATTAATAACTATAAAATAATTTAATTTTAAAATTCTGTGAATTTCATTATTATTTAAAGGTAATCAATTTAAAACATATCAATCAAATACTTATTTCTGGCTTAATATTTCATAGTATAAATATAAACCTTCAAAAAATTGACTATAAAAAATCAATGAATAATTTTTGAAAAAATGTATTTTATGGTAATTACCTATTGATTTGACAAAATCTCTAAATAGCTGCCCATTATCACCTTTCTGATAAAAGGTTTCATCAAAGAAAATAATCCCACCAATATATTTGGAAAGTTCGGGACTAGCACTAAAGAACATATTTCTGTACAATCTTCTATTTTCTTCATTGTTTTCAATATGAATTTTTTCAAATTTTTTGGGGACTGAGGTATTACTTTCATCGGCCGCAAGAATACCCTTTCCAGGGGCTACGATTAATGATGCATTTTTAACTAAATTAGTTCTTTGAGCTTCAGTTAGGGGTGAATTTGCCATTTTTTATAGTTTATATTGTGATAACCTAATTAATAAAAATAATTTGTATACTTTATTATATGTAAATATTGATATGTATTTTATATAATTGATTTTTAAAAAAGTTTATAAAAACCTGGAGGTCGGAATAATATAGACGTATTTTTTATGAAAGGAGAATTGAAGGTTGAGTTTTAATTCAACTCTTATTTTTAAAGATTTTTAAAAATTCAAATGTGCTATTAGATCTTTAAATGCAACTCGGGTTGAAGTTTTAATAATAACTTTTTGATTTTCTTATTTAAAATAATCATATATAAAGGATATTTTTCAATTTCAAATATTAATAAAGTTTAAAAAATGTAAAATAAAATATATAATAAAGATTTAAATTGTCTCATTAAATAATACTAATATCTCTTTTTAAATTATACATTAAAAATAGTTTATTACAATAAAACATAACATTAATAATAAAATATTACTTGAATTAGAAAAATTATGATTTAATTTGAAAAGTTATCTCTAATGTTAATTGATTGTTAAATAGTTATTCAAAATTATATATATAAGCGCAATTTAAGATAAACCTTGATAAACTTCAATAGAGGGATATGAATTAGCGTCACTAGAGAAAGGCTCAAGTCTCTTAAAAAATTTGAAGAGCCCCACAAAATTTTAAATTATTTTTGTACTAAATGTAATTTTAAAAATGTTATCTAAAAAAACGAAGGTAATTTTGGGTAATATTAGCTTAAAAAAGTAATTTTCAATAATGTTAGCTAAAGAAAGAAGTAAATTTGGATAATGTTAGCTCCTACTTCAAAGTAACCCCTTCCACCCATTCCCTATAAAAAAAAATGTATAATAATAAAATTGGCAAAAGATTCATCCCAAATCAATAAAAAAAATAATCATGGCTGTGTTGTTAAGCTGATAAAAAGTTTTATAATTAAAATATTAGCCAAATTAACGATAAATTGAAGAGATTCTGAAAGTATGCATTCGATAGCTACGGTGATGTAATATTAATGGGTAACCTCATAGTTCAAGAATCAGAATAGTTTAATAATAATGAAGAAAAATAATAATCTATCCATGAAAAAAAACCTTATTTAAAAAATTAGTGTGAATTAGATGATTATGTTATTTATAAAAAACTGAAACATTTTATGTTAATGCGATCGATTTTTGATTTTATTTTTATATTGAAAAGCTCAATTATATTAACCTATTAAAAAAATTCTTCTATGTAGTTGTAATGATATATTGTGATGAAAAAATGTAATTTAAAATAATTTATTAAAAAATGATTTATTTTGCGATTCAAAATAAAAGAAAAAATATTATCAAATAACTGAGATTATACTAATTAAAGATGCTTATAACTTTATACAATAATTTTATTAGTGGAATTTTCATAACAAATATGATAGAAAATTAAAAAGTTTAGTAAAATTAATTCCTTAAAGGTAACAAGAAATGAACTGATATATTTCAAACCCTAATTTGACAAACATGAACGTAAAAACAACCATACCATGACTGAATTTATTAAGCGTGATTTCCCAAAATACCAGCGATGAGAGTACTACATATGGTAAAGTACAATTTCTCAATACCAGCAAGATTTCCGGTTTGGAAAAAGTTGTTCTATTCCTGCAAAGCTTGCCTGACAATGAATTCAATAACATTGGAGCGATTTGCAAGGAAGCAGACCTTGTGGACCCAATTTATAGGAAAATTGATATTAGAATTCCCTCTAAGCCCGAGCGCCAAGCTCACGGAATTCTATGGTGCCGTTCAGAGCAAGGACGAGAAGTATTCGGCAAGCGTTACGCGAATAATTAAACTAAAACCACAAATTTACTGAATTCAGCGAATCACCGAAAAAATCATGGTAGATACAATGTCTAAGAAGTGGGGAAAAGAGTTAAATAATACCATGAATAAAAGACTTCTATAACATAGGTCTAGTGGAAGAGATTTTGGTAGTAAGTGATTTCAAACTTATGTCTAAAGTGAAGGCGATACATTTAAGTGAATCTTCACAAATGGAAGACAATAAAGACATACATAAGACTTAGGACACAAAACAAATAGTAAACAGCTTGCTCGTTACTACAACCGTTACGATGATGTTACAACTATCTCTACCATAACCGCTACCACAATCGCTATTACAACTGTTACAACAAGCATTATGATAACAGTCACGACAATCGTTATGATCATTAACAGAATATTTATCCACGCTAAGTTAACCGCAGAGGTTCAATCAGTAAATTATTTACGTCATGAAAGTCACAGATTCAATATAAAAAACAGCAATGGTTTTCCAAGATTATTTCTAAAGCTCAATTAATATAATAGTGATAACTTAATAGCGATAACCAGTGTTGTTAAAAGGTTCGATTTGAGCCTAATTTTTAAAACGGCTAACTCAATATTTTATCCAGAAAAATCTAATGCAAGCCTGAAGATTTTCACTTATAGATGGCAGGCGTTTTTAAAAATCGGCTCAAATTGAACCATTTAACAACACTCTCGATAACCATAACACGAACCAATCTCACGATGATAAAAACACGCAATAAATATTATAGTGACAAAGGGCAACACCACATTCAAACATTCTGGTCACCATGAAAGAAGAATTTTTTGATAGGACAATACAAACATCGAAAACAAATAGTAGAGTCTACAATCTAGAAGTGATATGAAGAATAACAACACAAGTTTATTTTAGCACGTACAACATCACAATAAGTATCAACAATGTACCAGCAGAGATATGGCGAATAGCAAAGGCTATTTGCAATAACAACGACTTAAAAGGCCAACGACTTACGATGGTAACGAGATCAGCTTTGGCACCTAGCTAAGGATGATGTTACCAAGTCGGTACAAGCACTCAAAACCGCGTGGTGGATGGTGGCAATCCCTTGTGCTTTGATACCAGGAATAGGAAAAATAGTCGTTGGCTATATGAGGATATGGGATTATTATGAAATAATCAAAGGCTATAAACGAGAAGGAATAGATCTCACTTCATATTAGTGTTATACGGATCAGGTTTTATAAAACAGTTAACTATACTGCACTGATAGATTTAATAATAATGATGAACTTTTTATTGGACAAAAATAGCTATCATTTCTAATATTTCCTATTTTTGAAATAATAGTACATTACAATGTTGTTAAATAAATTGATTTAAGCCGAGTTTTAAAAACAACTAACTCAATATTTTAGCCAGAAAAAATATTGCTTCCTCAAGATATCGCCAATAGATGCCCATCTTTTTGCCATCTATGAGCAAAATATTTTAACTTGCGTAATATTTTTCTGGAAGAAATATTGAGTTAGCCTTTAAAAATCGGCTCAAATCGAGCTGTAACAACACTAGTACATTATGGCAAAGTTTACTCCAAAAAATATATATAATATTTTGATTAGAGTATTTATGTCCTTATGACTTCCTCCTTTTTATGAATAATTATTTTTTTAAATAAGTTACGATTTTTTTAATATTAGAATTTTGATGAGTTAGAACATAGCCTTTTCTTGTTCGACAATGCTAGTTATAATTCATATCAAACAAACTTTTACACTTTTTAAAATATGGCCAAAATTTAGTTTACAAGCGTAAATAAGGAACTTGTACCCACGATGGCTACGGCTTAGGGTTCGAACTATTTTTGATCTGGCTACTTAATCGTTATCACATTAGGGATGTTACATTATTTCCTAGCCTAGATACGTAGGAAGATGCAAGCCTTGAAACGACGATATATATATAATTTTTACGATTTTATCCAATCATATCATTTTTATTAATACCATATTGCATGTAATACATCAATTTATATTCCCGCTATACTGTATATGAAACTAATTTTTTAAAATTCTTCTAGGATAAGGATTTATCAGTGTTATATTGGCGCATCATATCAATATATAGGAACTTTATATAGTTATTTTTTAATATTTATCAAATCCGTCAGTGTTAAGAATTTTATAATATATTAAAATTATTTTTTATTTTTAATCTTTATTGATCAGGTGAGTTTTTTTATATTCAGATTAATATTATTACAAAGTAAATTAATCAAAAGTAGCTCATTTCATATTCATATATTTGTAGTTTTTAAAAGTTTTAAATACTTGGATACTACTTCTAAATTTATTCCTCGCCATGAAGTTCATTTCACTGCATGTGTTAAATTTTCAGTACTCATTAAAATTTATGTAATTGAAAAACAATGATTTGTGACACATTTATATTCAATATGTTATAACTATTTTCGGTATAAAATTAAAATTTTATTTTAGTATTAAATTGATAAATTCTAAATATATTATTACAATCATGATGACATTTTTGTATAGAATAATTGATATAAAAACTCATTATAATATAAATTCAGATATGGCACCCCAGCACATCAAACCTCAGTACTGGATTCTGGGGTTCAACTCTTTTATTCTTCATTCTTTTGATATTTTTGTCTCCACCCCTTGGGGAATCATCAAAGTAATCGCTGCTATTGTTGTAATTCTCTATGCTTCTTATTCCTTCATCGTAAAAATGGTTAACATCTAAATTATCGCCCGGCCTCAGATGTAATCGAGCTTCTCTTGGCCACCAATCTATAACATGTATGCGCAAAGCTTCTGCCGTAAAAGGAGCAGGCGGATATCTGAGCCTGGGTCTTTGAACGTCCAAATTTTTGAGATCCTCTAGATTTTCTAACCTTTCCCCCGGATCCATAGCATTATAGATCTGAAATATTTTGAACATTAAAATTAATTTAGATTAATTAAAAAAATTTTTTACCAATTCATCGCCATTTTTATCCGTAAATTTAAACCATTTTCGTGAGCCAGTTCTCATTTTAATTTTATATTTAGTCACCAGTCTTTTGCAAGAAACGCACTCTAGATTTGTAATAATAATAATAATAATAATATAAATTATGATGGGCATTTAAAAAAAATATATATATACTTACGGCTCGATTTTTCGTATCCGCCCCTGCTAACAAACGCCTTTATTAAAACGACCTTAGGAAACTCGATCTCCATTACGTGATCGAATTCGGGGACGCGGGTTTTTACGCGCAATTTTCGCAATTTATCCGCGTTGAAATTCCAGCCCAAATTGTTTTCGTATCGAATCCAAAAATTTGGCCTCAATATTTCGTCTCCATAGATCTTCTCCTTATCGTGATTTAAATACAATTTGGTGGCTCGATTCATGAGC